GTACTGTTTGCAGGAGCTGCCATCCCTGAGGAGCGGGAGATTAATGCTCGGTGTCACCTTTGATACCCAGCTGTCCTTCTCAACCCACCTCCACTCCATTGCAACCAAGGCTGCCAGCGGCTCCACTGCCTTGCCATGGTTGCCCCCCCCCCCCCCCCCCCCCTAGACGCCAGAGCCAGAGGTCGCACAACTGTGTACAAGGGGTCCGCCCTCTCATGGAGTACTGCTCCTTGGTGTGGATGGGCTCCAGTACCTTTTTATAGTAGTATAGTATAGTGTTTATTCATATTTCTCTAGGGCAGTCCCCACAGACCTATGGTCTCCTTACGGGGTACCCTAGCCAATCTAGGATTGCGATACGAAATTGATTTGGTGAAGCAGCAAGGCGGACCGATGCCGGAACTGAGTTCCAGCGGTCAGCGGCTAAAAAAGAAAGAGAGGAATAACCAAATCGAGAGGAGGCTCGTGGCAGTACAAGTCCAAGCGAGACTTGACCTCCCGCTTGGACACTGAAGATGCAGCACAGGGCGCTAAAATTCACGAACACGAAGCAGCCTCCGAAATGGGCTCCCCGATTGTGCCATCCCAACGTGGAACCGCCTGCCAGCCAGTACACGGGGGTCCAGTACCAGGACACATCTTGCGATCCGCACCGCACCCACGACAGCTGAAGTCCTCCAAGGAAAGATGCCATTGGTACCTGCTGCGCCTTGACTGGCAGCAGCTGACGCTCTTTGATTTTCCAGTGGATGCGTGGGCGCTAATAGTGGGCGCAGCACTTCCGTATACATGTACATGTACATGTCTTGCTCTCGTCTTGTTACATGACTGTACGATATGTATCATATCCTTCACTATTTTTCTTGGCGCGCTTTGTCTGTGCAGACCGCGGCCGAGACCACCAAGCTCTGCAAGCTTTGCAAGGTCGGCTGAGCAGCAGGGCCCCGCCACCACTTTCCGCATTCATTCGGGAGCATATTAGAGAGGTTTTGCATTCCGAATTTCGGAATTATTTTCGGAATGTGGCGGCAGGAGTCGAAAAAGTAGTCGAACTTTCGGAAGTGTGGTGGCGAAAGTGCATGGTTTTCCGAAAATAGATTTTCGGCTCTTTCATGTTTGGGAGTGCATATTTGAATACAAAAAAGTGTATTTTTCATGTTTGTATTTTTGCTTTCTGCTGCTCTCGATTATTTGAAAATTTCCACGTATGTAGTTTTGATTTTTGCTGGTTTTGCTGCTCTCGCTGATCTCGCCATGTTGACTAATCTTCTCACACTTCATCACACTCTATCTTCCTTTGCCCTGGAGCCTACGAACAGTACAAGACAGTAGTTCGCCAACCTGTTGTTGTTGTTGTTGTGTTTATTTTAATTCGCAAACCAAACGGGCAGATCTGTCCAATGAAAAGGTGGCGAATGCAGATAGAAAGCAGTAATAAATGAAATTGGGGACTGATGTAATTAGGATAGAGGTGGAGAAAAACTAAGCCAGCTGATCATCAAACAGGACGTCTGGTACTCTAGGTACTAAGGCCAGTAAGTGTGTGCGGGATCATGCTAGCGCGGAACTGGCGGAGCGTGGAGATGGCACGTATATCGCTGGGTAATGTGTTCCACAGCTGGGCGCCCCGGAACGCGAGGCAACCCTTGCCGAACCTGGTGGAAACTGGCGGTTGGCGCAGACCCATGGTGGAGTGCAACCTAGTTGGGCCAGCTGCCGGCGACCTCGTCTTCAGCTGTTGGATCACTTGGTCCACCATCAGTCCGTCCTCGTCTTCGAACCGCACCCAAATTCAGTTTGACCTGCGCACATGGATTTGATCCTGCTCAACCCCTTCGACGCTCTCCATTTTGTTTTGCATGGCAACCCTTGGAAACGAAGTCGAATCAGATTTTCGGAATGCAAAACACTGAAAATACCGTTTTTCGGAACGCTCTTTTTTCGGAAAAGCACAGTCGAAAATCATTCCGAAATTCGGAATGCAAAACCTCTCTATTATTAGTGTAGTGGACTTCGTAAAAAAATTTAGTCAAGTGCAGCGTGTAAGTGTAAAATCTCCCAATTTCCTGCGAACACACCGATATTTTGCTCCATTTTTGTCAGCAAATTCCCTTTCAAAATTCTTCGATATTTTGCCATACTAGACTATAGCCTTATAGGCTAGCAGTGTAAGTCTGTAGACTGGTATACAGAAGACTGTAGTCTGTACTAGCAAAATCGGGCTATGCATAATGTACAAGAGTTCATAACCCCCAGGGGGTTATGAACTCTTGCTATGTAGACTCTACCATGATGTACACGTAGTAGCAAGGGGGGGGATATGTACTCTTGGTAGTAGTAATAAAGCAAGAGTACATAACCCCATAATATGATTGTACTCTTGGTCACAAATAGTTGTAGTCTAGAGAATCCAGTACTCCCAGGGCAACCCCCAGCACAGCCCCACCCAGTGCTCTTCACCAAGCTGGACAGGACCGCTGTGCGCCAAGCTGCACTGCATACCACCGGTTCTGCAGGGCCGTCTGGGATGGACGCAGATGGCTGGAGGCGTATGTGCACAGCGTTTGGGGACATTTCAGACGACCTATGTGATGCTCTCGCCAGCTGTGCCCGGCGAATCGCCACTCAGTACGTCAACCCAGCATCGATGGAAGCCTACACGGCATGCCGGCTTATCCCTCTAGATAAGAAACCGGGTGTGCGCCCAATAGGCATCGGCGAAACCGTCCGTCGTATCATCGGCAAGGCTATTCTGAGCGTGGCGGGGGACTCTGTTCGTGAGGCGACAGGGTCACTGCAGATGTGCGGAGGCCAGGAATGTGGCATTGAGGCGGCCATTCACGCCATGTACGACACGTTCCATGAAGAAGACGTTGACGCTGTGCTTATGGCGGATGCATCCAATGCGTTCAATCGCCTTAACAGAGAAGCATGTATGCGCAACGTAGCGCACCTCTGTCCAGCCATCACACCCGCTATCGTAAACTGCTACCGTCAGCCGGCCCGCCTATTCGTGGACGGGGAGTGCCTCCTATCGCGAGAAGGCACAACGCAGGGAGATCCTCTTGCTATGCCGATGTACGCTTTGGGGGTACTCCCCCTGGTGCGCAGAGTGGCAACCCCAGGAACACGCCAGAGCTGGTATGCGGATGACTCGTCCGCGGGTGGCGGGCTCAACCCTCTCCGCCAGTGGTGGGACCGACTCGTCGGGGATGGGCCGGCGTTCGGGTATTTCATTAACCCCAGCAAGTCCGTCCTCGTCGTCAAGCGGGACAAGCTAGAGGCAGCCGAGACCATCTTCGCCGGCACGGGTGTGTCTATCACCACTGACGGGTGCCGTCACCTTGGATCAGCCATCGGAACTGATCAGTTTGTGCAGGAGTTTGTGGCTTCCAAGGTGGCCACCTGGTCGCAGGAGCTGTGCAAGCTGACAGATTTCGCCCGGTCACAGCCTCAAGCAGCTTACTCTGCACTGGTGAACAGCCTCCAACACCGGTGGTCCTTCCTGTGTCGGGTTCTCGATGGTGCTGCAGAACAGATGGTACCCCTGGAGGACATCATCCACCGCTGCCTAATCCCTGCCATTAGTGGACGGACGGCGCCCAGTGAAGCTGAACGCATTTTGCTCACTTTCCCCTGCCGGCATGGAGGCCTCGGCGTGGCCAACCCTGCCACTTTTGGCTCACAGTACGGCACCTCCAGGCTAATCACCACTGCGCTGTACGACAAGATCATGGCGCAAGAAGAGCACCTCGATGATGCTCTTGCCTGTGTCCGCAGGGCCAAGAGTCAGGCTCGCTCTGAGGCCAGAAAGGCAATGAAGATAGCTGCCGATACGTTCCGCACCGAACACAGCGAACTCGATCTCGCTATCAGTCTGGCAGAGGAGAAGGGAGCATCAAGCTGGCTTACCTGCCGACCCATCGCTCGCCATGGCTTCGCTTTGTCGAAGGGGGAATTCCGGGATGGCCTCTGCCTCCGTTACGGTTGGACGCCTTCTCGCCTGCCCACCACCTGTGTTTGCGAGAAGGCATTCACCACTGCTCACGCCTTGTCCTGTCCTTTCGGTGGGTTCCCCTCGATCCGCCACAACGAGGTGCGCGACATACTGGCAAGCTCATTGAAGGGTGTCGCCCACAACGTCGCAGTGGAGCCACATCTCCAACCCCTGACTGGGGAGCAGTTTCAGCTCCGGTCAGCATCAACCGAGGATCAAGCTCGTTTGGATGTGGTGGCCAGTGGAGTTTGGGGGGGGGGGGGGGTCGGTTCGAACGCACTTTTATTGATGTACGGGTGTTCAACCCTTATGCGTCTTCGAACCGCACCTCCTCTCTCTCTGGCTGCTACCGGCACCATGAGCAAGAGAAACGGCGTCGATATGATCGGAGAGTCCGAGAAGTGGAGCGATCCACTTTTCTCCCCTTTGTGCTCTCTTCCACCGGAGGATGCGGCAAGGGTGCCGCTGCACTGGTGAGCCGGATTGCACATCTCCAGTCGCTACGTGGGAGGGAGGCGTATTCTGTGCTAATTGCCCACCTCCGCTGCAGGCTGTCTTTCGCCCTGCTGCGTTCGAGTGTCATGTGTCTGCGTGGGGCTCGCCGAGTTTGGCAGCCTCCAATGGATGGCTGTGCCTCCCTGGCTGTCGTGGAGGCTAGGGTGTCCCGTTGAGCCTTGCCCCGTGATTGTGCGGACTATGCTATGCTTCTCTTGCTGTCTGATCACATGCGACGTCATCATTATGTGATTTGTTTTCAATCCTCCGCCGCGCCATGCATGGCATTGTTTTGTTCGCCCGTAAAAGAGGCTTTTACTACGGGTAAAAAAATAAGAGAATCCAGTACAGTACAGTGTTTCACATTTTTACTACTCGACCGTCAAAATCAAGACTCATGACGCAATTTCTATCCTAGCATTTCACATCATTTTCCGGAGTTTTCTGCATAATTATGTGGTTTGGTTTTGAAATCATAATAATGTAATCAGGTTCTTTTGCATTGTTGCATGGATGCATGGTGCAATTTTTTTGTGGCAGGTATTTGGTGCTTCTTTGAGCCAAGCGTAGACTAGTTGAGGTAGAAGTAGACGTAGCGGGAGCTCTGCAGGTAATAGGCGACTTTCTGTCTCATAGTTGACTACACGAGCTGGCTGCTGCTTTGTTTCGTTCGTGCAGAACTGCTCTCACGACATCAGCCAAGCAAAAGGTTACATCTAGGAACTCCTTGCAGTTTTCACCATTTAGAATGAGCAGTCAGTTTGAGAAGGTGAACTCGACGGACTTAGACCCCGGAGTTCGGGTGAGTAAATATCGATCACCACGCACTGGCTTGACAGTATGCGTTGCTGATGTTCCTGGCCCAGTTGTCAATGGATTCTTTTGTTTGGCCACTGAAGCTCATGATGATGATGGCTTGCCGCATACATTAGAACACTTAGTGTTCCTGGGCAGTGAGAAGTACCCGTACAAAGGTGTGTTGGACTTGCTGGCTAACCGGTGCTTTGCCCGTGGCACAAATGCGTGGACTGATGTGGATTATACATGTTACACGTTGACGACAGCTGGCAGTGAAGGGTTCCTTCAGATCCTTCCTGCGTACCTGGACCACATTCTCTACCCGACACTAACGGATGAAGGCTACGTCACCGAAGTGCACCACATCACTGGCAGCGCTGAAGATGCAGGTGTGGTGTACTGTGAAATGCAGGCACGTGAGAACACAATGAACGATCTGACTGCACGGGCTATGCTGCGTGCCATGTACCCAGGTCACTGCGGTTACAAGTCAGAGACGGGTGGCATCCTAGAGAACTTACGTGTCAGCACATCAAACAAGAAAGTACGTGACTACCACCACGAATTCTATCGTCCAGAGAACCTGTGCATCATTGTGACTGGGCATGTGGAGGTGGAGGCGCTCTTTGCTGCCATTCAACCATTTGAGGATAGGATCTTGTCGAAGGGAGAGCGTGGTTCGTTCCAGCGTCCCTGGCAGACACCGGTACCTGCACTTGAAAAGAGTGTGACACGGAAAGTTCCCTTTCCATCCGATGATGTGTCCTCCGGTACGGTGACAGTGTCGTGGAGGGGGCCCAGCGCCTCCGATCAACGCACTCTAGTGGCATTGCAAACCCTGTGGGAGTACTTGACCGACTCTCCTGTTGCACCGCTCCAGCGTGACCTGGTGGAGATTGATGAGCCGTTTGCATCTTCGCTGGATTTCAGCCTGACTGAGAATGCGGAAACCTGTATGACCGTGTCCGCGGAGAATGTACCAACGGAGCAGTTAGGTGAAGTCTATGATCTGATCATGAAAGTCCTGGATGGGATTTCATGTGGCCGTGAGGAAATGGATATGTCACGTATCGGCTCGCTAATCAACCGCAGTTGTCTTGACATGCTCGACAAGCTGGAGGACAGTCCACACAACACTCTCGCAGACAACTTCATTGGCGACTTTCTCTATGGCCAAGCAGCCGGGGACTTCACCCAGCGAATGGAGCTTGTTGCCACCTTGAAGTCTCTTCAGGGTGAAACCTGTCAGTTCTGGCAGGCTTTGCTGAAGAAGTTCGTCATTGGCACTCCGTATGTGTTGGTGATCGGTGAACCTAGTGCACAGCTGGCTGCTCAGTTAGCAGAAGAAGAAGAAACTCGAGTAGCTGCACAGCATACCACTATTGGTGAGGATGGCCTGGGTGCATTGCAATCTGCACTCGATGCTGCAAAGGCCAAGAATGATGTAGAAGCACCGCAGAGCATGCTTTCATCGCTGTCAATCCCATCAATCAACTCCATCTCCTTCCACAGTGTATCCATCAGCACTAATAATCCACGTCGTCAACTCGCCACCTCACCTGCCTGGGACCTGGCATCCCTTCCACTGGTCATGGAGGTTGATAACATCAGGACATCGTTTGTTGAAGTCGTTGCCGTGCTGGATACAGCGTGTCTCTCTGATGAGCAGCGTCTGTATCTACCGCTCTACCTGGAGGTCCTATTTGAGTCGCCCGTGGTACGCAATGGAAAGGTCATTGATTACGAGCAGGTGATCACTGAGTTGGAACGGGATCTGCTCAACCAAGGTGCTGCTCTTGGTTTCTACTGTGGCTCGGCGTTCCGCTGTGGCTCGTTTGGTGAGCTTGCTGTTGTCTCAGTCAAGACAGAGATGAGCAAGTATGCGATTGCTGTACGCTGGCTTGAAGAGCTGCTTTATGCTGTCAAGTTCACCAAGTCGCGAGTGCGCTCAGTGGCCAAGAAGATGAAGAAGGAGATTACGGAGCAGTTACGAAGTGGTGGCAGGGTTGCTAAAGTCTTAGCCCGTCATATCAACTTCCAGTCTCGCAGCAATCACATCAATTCCAGCATGCTTAGCCAGCGTGCCTTCCTCATCTCTCTGCTTCGCCGACTGGACAGTGAAGCTGTAGTGGTCTGTTCAGAGCTGGACCAGCTTCGCTGCTTACTGGCTCGTCCAAGTAACACCGTTGTCCGGGTTGTCACCAATGTGCAAAAACTGCAAGAAGTCTGTCCTGATCCGCTCGAGCCATGGCGCAGTTTCATCGCCAGTTCCAGTTCTTCCAGCAGCCCAGCGCCGACTGCACCTCCATCGCCACCACCAGTCGTTATGCAGTCGGCCGCGTTCGTTCAGCCGTATGGCACACCTGTATCTGCTAGCCAAGTCTTCAGCAACCCTAATGTTATCTTAGGACTCAAGTCGGAGGAGTCATCGTATCTTGTGCAGACCTGCCCTGGCATCACTGGATTTGACAACGCGGATACCATGGCTCTGCAGGTGTTTGTTGAGTACCTTATTGCCATGGAGGGTCCTATGTGGCGCTTGCTACGCGGTGCTGGCCTCAGCTACGACTACAATGTCACAAACGCCTCCGAGTCAGGCTTGCTGTACTTCAGCCTGAGCAAGTGCACTAACCTGCTTGCTGCATATAAAGAGGGCAGACGCCTTCTACTGTCCTACGCCGATGGTGAGGCTGAGTTTGAGAGTGTGAAGGTCGAGGCGGCCATTAGCAGTGTGGTCTTTTCCTTGATTCAAGATGAAGAAGGCGTGTTTGACGCTGCTGAGCAAGCCTTCATCAACTACTACCGCCAGGTACCTGTTGACTTCCAGCGTCGCCAGTTGCAACAGGTCGTCCAAGTCACCCAGGCTGACATGAGACGAGTTGCTGCCAAGTACTTCAAGCCTCTCTTTGAGCCGGCTACGTCTCGCTGTGTTATTTGCTGCAATTCGAGCAAAGTGGAGGAGATCACGACCGGTCTCTCTGAGTAAGTGTGTGTGTGTGTGTGCGGGGGGGGGGGGGGGGGGGGGGGGGGCACCTGTCAACAGCCGTGCTGAATGAAATCCAGCCGCCACTGGGTTTTCTCGGTTTGAGAGCACTCTCCACCATTGGCTTACATGGATACGAATTCTATCTCAAGTTTCTGAGTAATCAATCCTGACGATGGCCCGAGTCCGAAATATTGATTGATAATTTGTTATTCATTAGTTGCGGAGATGGAAAAGGGAGAAAGTCTGAAGAAAAATTGACTGTCACCACCAGGACTCGAACAAGGAGGGACCTTCGCTTGAGGCCAGCGACGCCTCTAACTACTGGGCTATGGTGTACATGTAGCTGTCATCTTAACAAAGTCCGTTCTACACCCCCTATTCGTTTTATTTGATGTATCCGGGACATGTATTGCACCTGTAGACCATTTCCCACTTGTTTTGGACGCAAGTAGTTTACTGTGTGTTAGTTTCTACTTCTAGTACCGTCAAATCCCGCCAGAGCGCCCCTACTTCCGCCACCCTTCGAGTAGGTCCAGGTGGGGAGGGGTGAGTCCTACTTGCCATATTAGGTACTACATGAAAAAGTACTCACCGTGTGTGTGTGTGTGTCTAGTACACCGACCAAAGATCAAGAGCAGAAAGTCGTACAGACCCATCAAAACCCAGGGTTTGTGCGAATACTGCGATCCCTGGTCAAGTGGGTGTGCTCGACCCGGTTGGAAATGTCCAACCGGGTCGAGCACGCGTCTGCAGTGCGGTACGGCATCACACTTCACAGAGTCATACGAGGATTCTTACTTCCTCGACAAGAAGTCGGGGAGGGGCGCGTGGGAGAGACAGGGCGCTCTGGCGGAATGTTATGGTAAGGGGAAAAAACGTTTGCGCTGTATTCATTGCATTGTTTGTACTGTACTCATGGCATTGTTTTGTCTTTGTGCCTGTGTTGGTATTGTGCTTTCTAGGTTCGGAGTCAATCTGGTGAGCCTGCCTGGTACTGACAAACTGGTATAGAGAGAGAGAGAGAGAGATGTCTCGTGACGTAGTACTAGCAGAGCGCCATGCTGCGTTTGTTATGTATAATATTGGTCCCCTTCACGTTGCCTTTGCCTTTATGTATTTTCTGGTTCAAAGTATGCCTTTTGTTTGCATCCTTTGGTTAGTGCAACTTACCTGTATTGTACATGTAAGTGTGGTATTATGCAAGCCTTCAAACCTTTACAAGTATGCAGTGTGTGTGTGTGTGTGTGTGTGTGTGTGTGTGTGTGTGTGTGTGTGTGTGTGTGTGTGTGTGTGTGTGTGTGTGTGTGTGTGTGTGTGTGTTGTGTGTGTGTATAGTGTGTGTATAGTGTGTGTATAGTGTGTGTATAGTGTGTGTATAGTGCTGGTCATGGTGATACCTTCAATAATGTTCTACTCAGAGAGAATTTCATTCTATATTGGGTTAAAACTCTTTCTTTGTTGGGTTTTTTTATAATCTTAGTATACTTAACAAAGTATGGTGCCTAACAGCCCTCATGTGTTTCAACTTTGGTTTAGTCAGGCATTTTGTTAGTAGATTGTAGAGAAAACCTTCTTGGCAAAACTTCCCTTGTGTTCAGCCTACTTTCTACGTTTTGGCGGCTGTGCGCTTTCCCTATCATGTTGCCTTTGCAATGATCCATTCCTATTTTGCAAAGTTACGGAATGATATTTGCCCAAGATTTTCATTGTGTGCCTTTGTGTATTTTCCAAAGTTAGTAATGTAACATTGTGTTGCTGTTGATCATTGATACCGCAGTGTCACCTTTACTGGTTTTCCTGTGCTGTTTTTGTGCACATTCTACTCTAGCCGGATACAGCTGTACTGTACATAGAGCGGAGCCTCCAGCATGTACTTGCATCGCTGGTCTGGGCCTGTTGAGCAGCGCATGAGATTGCGAGTTCGATTCTCATTGTGTGTGTGCACAGATTACTACCATGAGTTCATAGCCCCCTGTCGCGATCTATCTGGGGTTGGGTACCCGACTTCGGTTGGGGAGGCAAAGGCAATGAGGGAGAGAAGATGAGTGCCGCCCTAACGTGTCGAGCAGGGATCCCTACACATACCATACTGGTACATGTATATGTAGGGATCCCTGAGTCCCTGGTGTCGAGTTCATTGAAACAGGAGTCCAGAGTACTGTAACATTTCCGCCCCTACAGTGTACCGCCATGTACCTTGACCGTTTTCATTGCTATCAGGTTCGGCCGCATTTTCTCTGTGCTGCGCTGATGAGTCCACACGATATAGGACGGACCAGTTCTGTCCGCATATTGGCTGTACTGTGACCATGGCAACGGGCAGAAGGGCTGCCTTATTTAGCCAAGAGTCATTACCCCCCCCCCCCCCCACTGGGGGTTATGGACTCTTGGCTTTAGTAGCCTTTACTTTTACTCTCTAATCATCGGCACGCATCGTGGTATCACCGTAAATCCCTACACCGTGCATGCCATCGCAGCCATGGCATGTGTACTGCTGCCAGTGGCGGGCCAGTGTTGCTGGCCCCGGCTTTGCAAAGAGCATGAAGACTGTCAAGGCTTGTGAAGCAACAAGGAATTTAGTATTCATAACTGTCTGCTGTTTAACAGGTGTGTGGTTCAAGGCCCTCCTCAGCCTAGAAAAGACCATACAAACCTTGTGGCAGCCCCCCCCCCCCCCATCTCCCGATAATTATTAGCCCCCCCCCCCCCCCCCCGTTTTCTTTCGACGCATTTGCTGTGCAGTGAAGCCGAGACCCTAGGTCGGTGGAGCACATCAGACCCCGTCACCACGTCCACGATTCATGCCTGCGATGCTGCACCGCTGCTTTGCATGTCATGATTGGAAGCTGTGGCCTTAGTAGAAAAAAAACAAAACAAAAAACAAACACATGCATGAACGTTGAAACATACCAGCAAAAGTACTAAGTAAGTTCTGCCATTCTTTCTGCCGGCGCCATCGCCATTATCCGCCAAGAGCTAGCTCTACTAAGCACTATGTAGTATGTACATAAGTCATTGTTGTTATGTTATTTCCAAGACTAAAGTGCATGACCATGACAACCCTCCCCAGTTCTGTCCGCAGATTGAGTCCCCCCCCCCCCCCCACACACACACACATTGGCGGATAATGCTCGCAAAGGTGGCAGATTCTGCTCGAAAAGCAGTGAAATTGGCAGAACCATACAAATCTTATGGTGGGCAATTCCTCGAATTCTGTTCCATTTCTTTATCCACATACCAAACATGCATGAAACTTACCAGAAAAAGTAGCAAATTCTGCCAATTTTTCTGCCGGCAGAATCCGCCGGACCCTACCCCCCCCCCCCCCCACACCCACACCCGTTACCATGGTTATGACCTCTTGACTCTTGTTACTTTCTTACAGCAGTGCCAGCACAGACTCAGTCCCTGCATCATGCATATGCCTTTGGCTTTGGGCCTGGCCCTGTGCTCTGCACAAACGTCACCCTGACCTGACTCATGCCTACCAGTCAGTACTACATGATGTACATGTATAGTCATTGTACTTGCAGCTAAACCTTGTTATGTTATTGGTCGACAGCATGTAACAAGATGGAGGACCACCGTGTTCGGAAACAGTGACCTTTCTACAACCATCCACGGTTGGTAGAGCCCCGGTCTGTTGAGACCAGGGAGTAGTACAATACTCCCTGGTTGAGACCATCTGAACCGTATGTACGGCGTATGGATCTTAGACCAGCTTCTGACCCTCTTCATTCTAGGGCAGCTTTATAGACAACAGTCACTGTTGTGTACATGTATGTCACCACCCTGACGCTGTCGTGAGAAGGTGCTCTCTGTAGACGAGGTTGGTGATGTCCGACGCGGCCATATACTATTTTTATGACTATGAAGAAGACATCCAGGACGGCAGGAGCGATCACAGAATACACGACTGACGTTAGGAGAAGTCCATGAAAAACTCCCCTAGAATACTAGTAAATAGGGTCAGAACTCAGAAGCGGGTCTAAGACCCATACGGTTCAGATGGTCTCAACCTTCCCGGAGCTCTACCAACCGTGGATGATTGTAGAAAGGTCACCATGGTCACTCACACTGTTTCCGAACACGGTGTCCTCCACCTTGTTTCATGCTGTCAACCAACAACATACATTGTACTTGTAGGCAGTCGGCTGCAGGCAAGCAACCGACATAGCAACATAACAACAAGGGAGATGAATACTGTTTGTACGACTCCCTGCATGCACATAGGGCATGGATCCATGGCGACACACAACCAAACTCCAAAGACACAGACAGTGTTAAAACTAAAAATTTAGTAAAATGATAGGTGTCGCAAAAGATAGCCCCTGCATGCTTGGTGTTACCATGAACACAATAATTACCCTGGCAACTAGTGACAGGTGTCAACGCGTCAACCAATCCATGGACATGACTGTAATGCCTACTAGTACTACAACTTACAAGTAATGGTCAACCATGGTCAACACCTTTGGCTTTGCCTTGACTTAGCCTTTACTTCACCATGTTCACTGTCTTTAGCCGGCCTTTACCATTGTTTACAGACTATCGTATCAATATCTGAGTATCAAACCATGATTTTAATATCAGTTTACCATTGGCATTGGTTTGCCTGGCTGAGCTGAGTCAAGACACTATGACTCTGAGTATGCCTCCGACAGCTGTGTTGGTTGGCCAACAAAGGCAACATGCTGCAGAGCGTGCCACAAAAGTCCTTGTTCGCCTACGCAGTGTGCATACACAAGATAACGGTGCGACTAGCCGCCCACAACTAGAGGTCCACTTCACACAGACTCCTCATGTCATGAGCTCAGTGTTCTATTCGGCTTCCAGCCACCACTGGCACTGCTAGCATGCTCTAGACTGACTAGAGACTAGAGTCTGCTGTAGTGTAGTTGTGAAGATTGGTTGTGTTTACTAATACTAATAGTACTTAGTAGATAGCTCTCGCCTGGGTACTGGCTCTCTCCGTCACACTGGCAACTATCACGTCGCATGCCGTAACAGAACCAAGCATCGACTAGCTGGCAACGGAAGAGCAAACTGAACACTCTTCTGTGCTTGTGGACTTTTAGACATCGGTTTCCATTAGAGTAGATCAAACTTGCAGTCCACGTGTCTACATTATTGGATATTGGACATTGGACTGGTGACTGTCATTCAGATACTTATGTCTTTACTTGACTTGCCTGTTCACTGACTTGAGTTGAGCTGAATAGTGAACTACCACTAACGTTCCATTTGTTTTGTTCGAAGGCGAAGAGTTTTCATTGGATCCGTTGGGGGCACCCTACATGCAGTTGGCAAGGAACACGTTAGTCAGGTGCGGATTAGCAACAAAGGCAATATACAAGCTAAGCTAGCACCTCTCTAAGCCTGAGGTCGGTTCCAGACTCCTCTGCTGTTTGTTGTGCTCACCCAGTCGATTGAAACGAACACCGCTGCTCTTCTGTTCCGTTTTGTGTTGTGCTTTGTCGACTGTCGTGTTGCTCAGCATCGGTTAGGAAGGTGATCCCAAGACTCCAGGAGTCGGATACCGGACCGTCTACTCGTTATTGTGTTCGTGGACGTGCTCCCTGAACGGTCCGCTCATGCCGGCTGACACCGGGCATTGGCAACCTCATCCGTTTACCCAACGAACGCGACTTTACTGTTGTTGTTTTCTTCATTTGGATTCGCTAAACCTAACGGATAGAACTTCTGTGTGAATGGCTGGGTCAGGCGCTTGTGTCTCGCGAGGAAGTACAGAGCTACATAATCATTGACATTGATAGCCTATATATGCCGCATGAAGACTGGCACGCGGCGACACTCAGCAATCAGTTGTGTGGTCATCAACAAAGACACGGTGATTCGCGCAAGCAAGCGGTCAGTCAGTGAGTGGGTACACTCACAAGTGTTAGTCGATGGATAACTACCGCGTCATCCGTCCGTTGGGCGATGGGTCGTTTGGAGTCGTGAGTTTGGCGACCAGCAAGAAAAGTGGCGGAATGGTGGCAATCAAGAAGTAAGATTGAATACTAGACTTGCACTCAACATTGGGCGCTTTCGATTACACGTTTGCACAATTCTGGAACTGTTTTTTAAAATTCTGGAATGACCAGAATGAGCAGATTCCGGCCTTGTAAACGAACGACTGGAATTCACAACGCATTTTATTCATGTCATGTCACAAACAAAATATTTGATGAATTGTAAAAAGAGATCACGTACAGGCCTCGCGCGCACCTGGACCCAGCATCACGCGCACGCCGGCCAGGGAGGCTCTTCGCGCGCTTGCCTTGAGTCATGACCAGACCGGTAACACACCGACTGTGCAATTCTGGCGCCAGAATTAGAGAAATTCCGCCCTCTCTTCAGAATTGACGGATTCGACGGAATTGGATAAAATCAATTCTAACGACGGAATTTGTCACTTTTTGTGTAATCGAACTGTGCATCAACGATAACTAATTCTAGAATTGACCAAAATGCGTGTAATCGAAAGCGCCCATTGAATACTAGACTTGCACTCAACATTGAACATGCTAAAACGATTGTGACTAAACGTTCCTGTTGACTGACAGTCTGTAACATGCAACCCTGGATTCCTAGGAAATTCCTCCTGACTTGCCTACAAACGGATTTCACTTGCTGTCAGCAGGAAGGAGAGATAAACCAAAGTCTGCAACTCTGAAATCTCCACATCCATGCTGCATACAACCACGTCCACGGAGATCTTTTCCTTTACATCGTCTTGAATCATAGAGACGGATCACCAGTCATACAATAGGTTCAGTGCCAAATCACCATAACTTTGGTCTATTATCCCAACGGTGAATATCATCCGGGGACCATTGCGTGCATTATTCTTTCACCTTTTGTATGACAAGCAGCAATGTGCAAAAGCAATTACCTTGGTGATACGGTGAAATGACCACGTGAACTGGTATGAGTTGCAGCAGAGGTGAGTTGCTATGCCGTGGGCTCATTCTCGTGGAGCTTCACACCCTGGTTTATGTGCTCTTGACGTCTTCATAAAGAATCGGTGTAGGAACCATTCATGCTACATGTACAGTCATGTACTTTCGAAGTACAGTCGTGGCGAAAAAAATCAGACCCAAGTGCCGAAAGCAGCGCCAACGCTCATCCGGCCCCTGCGGCTCTCAGATAGGTTTTTGGAACGTGCATGATATAATTGAAATGGAAACGCCGCGCTGCTTTCGACTCATGGGCCGTATTTCTTTGGCCACGACTGTACATGCCCATGTGGTTGCTGCTACATGTATTGGGTCCGGCATCCCCACATACGTAGGGAGAATCTCCACAATTGCATGTACACTAGGATGTTTCACTTCCGGCAAACTAACTCCGGGTCTTGATAATACGGTAATTATGTACTTTGTACTGTGGAGGCAACAAACTGAAGTGATAAAAAGTACGAAATAGTGGTTGCGACTTTGGGGATGATTTGTTTGGAATGGGTTTGCTCCCCACACTGGAGCTCGCGCTATTCCGCCGACTTGAATTGACACTGACTTGACTTGTGTGCTCTGGATGGCAGTCGTGAGTGAGTCAAGTGTCAAGTCAAGTCGGCGGAATAGCGCGAGCTCCAGTGTGGGGAGCAAACCCATTCCAGAAAAAATGATAATACAACCAAGCAAGCAAACGGCTAACAGAAGTATCCTCCATCGTGGACTTACCGTTAGCCATTCCATTGTTCATTCTGGGTTGTTTCTGCACAAGGTTTAAACAAGGCTATAAGAACTGGCAAGAAGTGATACAACTGTCTGAAGTAAAGGTATGTAAACCAGCACGATTGGCAGTGAGTATCGCAGCATATGCATTGTACTTCAAAGTAGTATCATGTTTTGATTAGATCATGACTTGAGCATCGCATGTTTCGCTGAAGAATGATGACGTAACTGTTGCTGTAAGTATTATGCTGTGTGCTGAGGTCGAGGTCATTATTTCAGCCACATTTATTCTGAATGCTATACCTAGATGTCCGTGAAGAGAAATAACGTTATGCAGCAGATCAGAGGAATCCATGGAGGGAGGGGGGGGGGGGGCATAGCCTTTTCACCGAAATCCAATGATGTGATTGTTCTCACAATCGACATGTTGTCGGTAGGCTGGAGAGTGCAACATGACAAAGGAGACCGTGGCCTGTGTGTACTCGCTGTCTCATTTTATTCTGTGGTGGTTGTGCTCCTCTGTATGCATGTGATGTGTGTAGTCGCTACGGGCCTTGAAGCATATCAACATTGTCAAGCTCATTGAGCTGTTTCGGCAAGATGGCAACCTCTACATGGTCTTCGAGTACATGAAGAGTAATCTATATGAGCTGCTGAAGGACAGGTATGTGTGCTGGGGGAGGGGTGGGGGAGAAGAGAGGGGGGGGGGGCATTTCATGCTCCACTTACACCTCTAGAGCCCCTTTCCCATAGCCAGCAATCGCATGTCATCACGTACATTGAAAATCAACATAATTTTGCGAATCGACCTTTTCTTCAGGATCACTTTTCAACGAGGACGAAGCAAAGTCGGCCGAACGAAGCCTAGTGGAAGAAAATCACCCTCTCCACTTCACCATCACGATACTGACATAGATACGAGATGAACCAACTAAAAAATCCACGAGAAAACTGTACGGCTATCTTCGCGCTGACTTTGGACTGAGAATTTCTATCACGATCAAAAATGTACGAGGAGCACTCAAAAATAAGCTACAGACGTACCTTTATCGCTCTCTACTCCTTTTTCAAGGCACAAAAGTCGACTCTCCACTTTCAAACCAGGAACCAGACATACCAGTGGTCCTTTTCAGCTGCTCCACGAGCGCAGGAAATGTTCACCAAGGGTCGCAGAGCAGCATCCATTCCAGAAAAAGAGCTAAAATACGAGTGAGACTGCATGCCTGAGTACATGAGTACATGCAGAAAATAGTCAATTTCAGCGTTTCTGCTCCAAACAGCAACTAGCTTCGACTAGAAACAAAGATTACACCAAAGGATCAAACAACAACCATTTTCTTCAGTTTTTTTGCAGATGGCTTCCTTGTGCTTGGCCCAGCACGCCAAAAATCACACCTCGGAGGAGTACAAAATTACAACTCTCAGATGTCCTCGATTGCTGGCCAGGCTGTACTGTATCGATGAGGATTTTACCTTTGATATCAAGTATTTCCCTAATAGGCATGACCATCATTGGTACTCCACCTCGGAGACTTTTGACGTCAACATGCCACGTGTCCAATTCCGCTGCTACGTTCATATAGCATACCCTCCCCTAAGATTATGCCATGTACTGTACTGTAGTAGCTTTATTCAACCGCCAAAAGAAGTATGTATTTCCTCTCAAGCTTCCAGTTTGAGGCTGATTGAAAAGTTGTCTCTGCATTTGGACACTCGATTATAATCGGCCTGCAGCATTTTCTTTCTTGCAAATGATTGGATTGGTTTGTGCACGGCAAGTCACCATCTACTTGTATTAGCAAAAATCATGGTGTTTGAATATGCCTGACTTTGTACCTACAGAAAAAGCTACGTTCCTGAAACGACTGTGCGCAATATCATGTACCAGATTCTTTCTGGTCTCTCCTACATGCACCTCAATGGTAAGTATAGTACACATGGACATGATGTTTTCTGGACTATTGTACAAACCATTATTACACCTGAGAGATCAAATACACACATACATAACTGCATCACTATGCTGGACTTGGTAGGGTCTGTGCTCATCTAGCATACACTCATAGTCTGGTTGTTTTTCAGTTGAATCTAAAGTGTCTCTGCTTGAACTGAAGGCAACACTGCTTCACGTTGTTGTAGCGTTCTTTCGCCCATGCAAAAGGGACACGATGTATAAAATGATGTGGTTCTGCTGCAGCATCCCACAGCATCCCATGACTGTATTTCTGTACATGCATGGGTGTTTCTGTATGCGTGTGTATATGTGACTGCCCCGCGTGTTCTGTGCTCCGTTCAAAGGCTATTTCCATCGTGACCTCAAGCCGGAAAACATTCTATGTTCAGGGGTTGACAATATCAAGCTCGCTGATTTTGGCCTGGCAAGGGAGATCCGCTCACGTCCACCATACTCAGATTACATCAGCACACGATGGTATGGTGCCTCGATGTCGGTTGTGTATTAGTGAAAGGTTCTGCATTTTATCCACAATGGCTGCAGTGCTCACAATTGAAGAAGATTCAGGGACTCTATATGAAACTGAACAAAAATATGGAGGATTACCTGGGATCATGCAACCACACCAATCAAGGAATGGGGATACATAGATGACTCTCATGGCTACATAAAAGGATCGCTGAAGATCAGCCAGGCTCACCATGAGCAATGCTAATAATTATTATGAATGACTGCCTGCTACCTTTGAGTTACAAACTACAATCACTGTTCTACTCTGCATTTTGACTTTGTCAGGTATCGGGCTCCAGAGGTGATTCTCAGGTCAAAAAATTACAACTCACCCATAGACCTATGGGCTATTGGTGCGATAATGGCCGAAGTCTACAAGCTCAAACCGCTATTTGCTGGTAGCAGTGAATTGGATCAGCTCTACAAAATTTGCTTAGTGCTTGGACAACCAACTCAGGTAAGCGGTTTGCAACGCCAGTTCTCTTCGCACTGGACTGAAATATACATTTGCAGTAAAACCTGCCCTGACCAGACACCCTTGGTGCAGCAGAAACTGTCCTGGTATGACAAGACTGATGTCTCTTGATCCAGAGATACACGTTCGACCCACAACACTGACTTTTCACTTGTTTTCGAGGTACAGGGCTTATAGTAAGGAGCAGCATAAATAATATATCAGTTTCATCAGAGTACCTCACTAACACTTCAGCATGGGAATATATTTGGAGGTTGTGTGCTCCCTATAGCTTAGTGAGTGCTGGAGCAATCGGCCGGTGAGGCTCTAGGTTAGATACCCAGTAGGTGTCACCTGACTTCCTCGTCGGCTCAAGTCAGTCAAGTGTTTCAATTTGAATTTTTAATATGTCCTGGTAACCATATTGCCGAATTTTCTAGCATCACGAGCAGGTACGAAACTCTTTTGCCTTCTGTACGATGATCATGATTGCGGTTGACACGGGGGCTATGACGATAATGACGATAGATGTTTTTAAATAGCCTCTCTCCGCTCGTACTATTCTCGGGTGAGTATTCTTGTGCAGTACGCCTGCAGACCCCGCATGTGTGTATGTGTGTGATGATGGTGCAGTTGTTGGATGGGGTTACGGTAATGGGCAAATACCGGTAACCCCGCAAAGAATGTGAAATCTGAGCTGTGCTGAATCTGTCTTTCGTCCTATTCAGAAATCCTGGAAAGAAGGCTTCCAACTTGCAGCAACCTCGAGGATAAAGTTCCCAGCAACGGTACGCCGTAGTGAGATGCATTGTTGTGTGCGTAATTGAAAACCATGTTGAATAATGCAACAGTTGCCTGGCAACCGTGACAAGAGCATTCATGAATGCATGCCAGAGACAAAGGTCTTTCTGGACTAATAGTGGGCTGGAAGAAGACATACCTGGTACTGCCCATGCACACAATTTTAAACAGTAGAACCTAACAATGTGATCAAGCATGATGGCATAAGCTTTTACTATTTTAAAGAGATTTTTCCTCAAATCCGTATTCTCACGTTGCTGTCATTGTTATCGTTGTCGTCCTTGCTGCTGCTGCTGCTGCTGCTGTTGTTTCAAATCTTTATTCTCACGATGTTGTTGTTGTTGTTGTTGTTGTTGACGTCATCATCATTGTTGTCACCATTGCTTGTGCTGGCACATTGCTGGCCTAATGTAGCCATCTATGAACTCACTTGACATGGCAGTGACCCATGCCAGTAGAGAGGGACTGGAGCTGATGTACGACTTGCTGAAATGGGATCCCAAGCAGCGTATTACAGCACCACAGGTAGGTGTACGAAATCGTCGAAATATTTTCTTTTCCTTTTCCATAATATTCATCTTGCAGTGGGAAGTCCAAGACTGATCATATGGCTTCTATTGCACTTCAATGTTCACAATAAAACACTCCTAGAATGCAAAATCTGCCGTATTGTTATGAAATTCACTACGTGCACTTCTCACCCCTTACTAGAAGAATGGTCCGTGACTACTCTCTAACTCCATGGTGGACCATGACCATTGACCAGTCACTACGGAATCCCATGCCTTGAATAACGACTACACCATCATATAATCTTGGTGCTTTGACCACTGCTAGCCTATATTAAAGGTCCCTGGAGTTGAGTCCTGGTGGTGACAGTCAATTTTTTTCATCAGATTTTTCCCTTTTAATCTTTAAAACTTATACTTGTAAATAGTCACATGTTGTGTCCAATTCTGTTGTTCCTTTCCTACGCACTGATTCCTGCAGGCACTACAAAGGAAATTCTTTCTGGTTGGTACAAAAGGTTCTGATGAAACTGGTCCACCACAGGCCACCCGGACAATGCCGGGCGGAGTAGCATCAGGATTTGGGGGAGTCAGTTCAATAGTCGGAGAGAACAAGCCAGCTAGAAAACCTGCTCCCCGTCAGAGGAGGGACAGTGATGATGATGATTTCGATGTAAGTGACTATGAACTTACTTGACTTACAATGCTGTGTATGTGTATATGTGTGTGCGTGCGTGTGTGTGTGTGTGTGTGTATGTGTGTGTGTGTATGTATGCGTATGTGTGTGTGTGCAGCTAGTTCGGTTGGTGGGTACACTTATGCCGGATAGTGTTGGGTCTGTTGCCAACGGGCTCGGCTGCTTGAAGGTGTAATGTTGTACCTACCACCTTTGTTGGTTTAAGGGTTCATATACTTTCTATTTGAAGTATACATACCTGTTAACCATGGACTACTTCTGGCTAGATTAACTCTTGTGTAATCATGGTGCTAGTGAAGCTTGTATCAGATCCACTCTGATTTAGCCACCCACACTAGTAGCAAGTATTACCTTCACTGGGGGCAGGGGTAACTGCAGTTGGATCCCGGGACGGATACCCTGATGCCATCAATCCTTTTTCTGCACCTTGTCCTCACCCACTTACTGAGGTGTGGTGAGCCCATAAGTGGGATCATTTTCAAGTCCACCCGGAGTTTTGGGGATTTCAGGGGGTGTCGGCCGTTGGGCGGTTCAATAGCCAATTGAGTCATCTTTCCAAGATTCCTTTTGAGTCTCTCTCCCCTCTCCCGGGGAGACCCACGTGACCAGTTTGGCAGTGAGCAACAACAACTACAAGTGTGTGTGCATGTGTGTGCCTGCATGTGCATGTGTCTGTACTTGTGAGCATTCGTATCATAGCAGAAGTAAATGTATTAGTACTTGTCCTAAATTACCTATCATGTGAGCACACAGATTGGTGGTACATGCCTCATGCATACATACAAGGAATTCACCGTGCAGCTTGTCATGGCCTCAAAATGGTTTAAATTTAACTGTAAGGCATCATTTCAAATGTTGATCAGAAGCCTACGGAGCACTTGAAGTAGGCACAGGTTTTGGTATTGTAAAATTGATGGCTGTGATTATTCCCGCATTGTTGAGCAATGGTCCATAGCAGCTGTTTCATGTCCAAAGCATTGGGATGGTTCACATGTGAAATGCAGTAATTGATGTACGGAGATATCTCAGTGCATCAGTGATCATCTTGAACACGTGCACGGCTTAGCTCTGATCAAAACTTTCATGTGTTGCTGGATTTGACACAGTGGACTCCACCCGGCTCAGCAGACAAAGAGACCACTGCTGTAGATCAACCTGCAGGCCTCTATTCCAAGTGAGTGTTCAATTGTTTGGTCTCATATAATTTCTATTTCTCCTAGTGGATTGGTCTAAGACCATTGATGATTGAGAAGTGAAAGGAAACTGGTTCGTGTCAAGTCCTGCCTGGGAACAGTTTTCCGGCTGTGCTGCTGCCCACAATCAACTGGGAACTTATATCCAGGTACAAGTGGTGCACGGATATGGCTGCTGGGGGTTTCAGCACTTGTGCCGATGGTTGCAAGACTTACCCCCACCCCACCCCCCAACCTCCTTCGGTAGGTATAGCATCTGCCGGTGGGTTATTCCGGGTGTTAGCGGCCATCATGAGTTCCCTCCGGAATGCAGACAGCATTTTCTTTTTTTGACCATGAGAGGTATGTGTGGCAGGCGGTTACAGAAACACCTCGATCTCCGACCACCTCACTTTCACAAGCCATCCTCGAATGGGTTGGTGTATTCCAGACCCCGCGGAAGACTCACATATGCACGCATACGAAATCCAGCAGACCGCCTTGGAAACGGGACCACTCAGTCCTAGATCAATCCCAAGTATGGTGAAATTTCTGACATCATTCCACTGTAGTTCTACCTGATCATACACAGATTTTAGAAGTACTTCAGTACATGCTAACATTACAATCCTTATGCCTTCGTCACTTCTATAGAAATGAAGCATATCTATGCAGTAAACTTATAATGAGTCGTAAGTACTTGTCGTGTACTCGGAAGAGTCCATTTAAGGTGAATTTTCAACGTCCGATTCACGAATGCTGCTGCTTACTTTCTTCTAGATTGTCGCAGACTTCCAGCTTTCGCTCCCCAAACCAGCCACAGGCACACGGTGGAGCGGCTACATCGGCATATCCCTTTCCAGGCGCACCTGCTGATGATGTAAGTGATGACGAAGGAACATCAGGCTGCCATGCACATTGCATCCATGCAAGGATACCGAAGGATACATGCAGCCGTGTGTGTTGCCCTCGGGTTCGCAGGTGATTGTTGTGTTGCTTGTCTGCTGCTGATAATCTAGTAATTACTGATAGTGTGCGTGTGTGTGTGTGTGTGTGTGTGTGTGTGTGTTTCAATCGGATGAATCTGTCTAATATTGGAATGCATGCCAACAGTGTCTATCCATCACCATGCGTTCCACAATATGCATGTGTACATGACAGTGCAGACTCTGGTGTGGTGAAACTCCAGTCTAAAGTACATGTACCATGGATATGACATAATATAGTGGAACTCTGAGAAGACGCAACCTCATGGGGAGCAGGAAACTGTGTACTTACTATCCAAGGTCCTGCTTATCCACCCATTCAGTTCAATATGGATCAAGACACCCATTCAGTTCAATATGGATCAAGGCACTCATACCCCTGACAATGTCCGTACTAAACAAGTGCACATCTGATCAGAGTATGTACACTACATGAGTTCCACTGTACTAGTACAGTGGATGATGTGTTTGTATTGAAATTATTTCATGCATGTACTAAGGCGACTACTACGGAATAGTCTTGTTTCGCTTGGATTAAAGTTATGAGATGTTTCCAGCGTATATACATGCACTTGTATGCATAATTATGGAGAAACTTTTACTACAGGCAGGCCTGTATGATAGTGCAACCCTCAAAGAACTTTTTGATGATCTGAACTATGAGCTCAACTCACAAGAGTGGATAGGATCCTACTATGACATATTGATGTTTTAATAACCAAACTAGTACATACATTTACGGCTGGGAGATGTAAACACATAACTACCATCATCTAAAGCAATACTTCCGTAGTGTATCAGGGGGTGAACCTGTACTGGTTCTCTTGCACTCATGCAAGCTCCGGTGAATGATCCCATCACATCATACATTCCTGCTGTCAACCGTGACTACTGTTTTATGATGGTTACAAACTGAAATGCAAAACTCAAGCAACACGTCTGCTCTTCTGCCAGTCAAGTTGTGTTTTCTCGGAAGTGTTTCTATACTAGCCACCTGATATCGAAATAATATTTTATCAAGACATCATTGTCATGCATAAACTACCAACCGTTGGACCATGCTAAAGCATGCATTCCTGTCTCCAAAGAACACCACACTGTTCTACATCAGGAGCGTAGCAGCCGGCGGCGGCCGGTCCGGCTTTGGTCAGACCACTTTTTTTTTTAACTCAATGCCAATACACGTGTAGTGCCCAGAATGCAGGATGTTGCAGCCTAATTTCGAAAATTTCCCCGCGGGAGCCCCCCCCCCAGCCAAACCACCTCCAACAGCAGTGCTATGCACCTGTACATGTACATGATATGCAGTTCTCAACCAGGTACCCTGCACCCATTGATTCATGCTTCTGAAGTACTTGGTTCCAATGGCAGCAATACTGCAGGGATAGTTGTTTTATTGGAAGTAGCAGTAGATTGTTGTTGTTGTTGTTGTTGTTGTTGTTGTTGTTGTTGTTGTTGTTGTTGTTGTTGTTGTTGTTGTTGTTGTTGTTGTTGTTGTTGTTGTTGTTGTTGTTGTTGTTGTTGCTGTTGCTGTTGCTGTTGCTGTTGCTGTTGCTGTTGCTGTTGCTGTTGCTGTTGCTGTTGCTGTTGCTGTTGCTGTTGCTGTTGCTGCTGCTGCTGCTGCTGCTGTTGCTGTTGCTGTTGTTGTTGTTGCTGTTGCTGTTGCTGTTGTTGTTGTTGTTGTTGTTGTTGTTGTTGTTGTTGTTGTTGTTGTTGTTGATGTCTTGTCTAGATAAACAAACTGGCATGCAATGCTCAGAATGATATGGTTATGTAAATTGCCATACACATTGTTTATTTTCAAGCACCATTGTAGCCTTGTCATATTTTCAGGACACCCAACTCACAACACATTGTGTAGCAGTACGTTAAAGCCTGTGCTGGGCAACCACTGCAATGCAAGTAAGAGACTTAAGTGGCCCATTATCTCAGGCATTGGCGATGCCTCAGTGCACATTGTGACCCATGTAGAAAGACCATTTATGACAGGTCTGTCCGCAGGTTTTGTAGAAAGACCATTTATGTATCAAGACCGATCAGTTTCCGAGGCTCTTCAGCATGGCCTCCGGATGGCTCTAAACACATCCCACTGACTACACATTCCCACTCCCCAGTGACAATCATGATAATCTGTGTTTGTTCTAATCTGTCGTTTCTTGCTACAGGCCCAGCCGAGGATGGGAGCCCTGAATCGGAAAGAGAAAGAACTCCCTCGAAGGTTAGGCAACACGTTTGTCTGACATCACTTTGGTCATGGTATTGTAATAGATATGTAAGAAAACATCATCATGTCTTTCTCATGGGTCCGGCATGCTGCAGTGTGGCGAGCGCACTCACTTTACAAGTGCCTGGACCCACCATGGTTCTGCAAGACTCGCCTAGCTGAGTGTTTGAGCCAATCATAGAATGTGTTCCTGTGTTCATAATTCATACTCCTCTCAGTATCTTGTTTCAAAAAATGGTTTTAAGTGTTCAATAAATTCCAAACATTTGCCCTCAGTGGGCATCAGTTTGGATAATACTGATGATTATTGATCAACATGTGCATATCAACATGTGCATATCAACATGTGCATATCAACATGTGCATATCGTCGACAATATTTTTTCAGTAGAAAGAGGCAGCAGAAAGTGGTACAATTGGCAAAATTGGGATAATCGTCAAAAATACACATGTGAAGTCAAAACAATTTAAAGGGGAAGTTAAGGCTAAAATCAAAATTTCACCAGTTGTAGTCTTCGGGGTGCTGAGTCGAATGGTCTTAGTCCGAGGAAGCTGAGACGCTCCCTTCCTACTTTAATCCCAATCGACAAGAGCTACACACGCGTTGACGCATATTCTTGTGTTCTCCTTCTTATGTACCTTGTGCAGGGAAAGTGTACAGTCGATCGTCTCGAATTCTTTTGCATTGGGCGGCACCAATGCGTCCGTGTCAGCTGCTAACTATTATGTTGCTAAATCACGTTACACTCCAGTGTCAGGTGGATCACGCATTCCAAAGTCGAAAATTGCCTTGTCCCACCAGCCTTCAGTTGGTCGGCTACATCAACAGGCCTCAAAAGTGAATACATTCACTCTACCATCGGGTGCCGGGGAATCTGCTCAAGCTTCAAGTTCTTTCGAAAACCGCTGGTCCTCCAGGCCATCCTACCAGCAGCTAGATCTGGGATTTGCAAAGCATGCCAAGGAGAACTCGTATGCACACTCATCTCGAGCGCCAACAATGCCTCTTGGCATGACCAAAGCAAATCACCGCACCGATTGGTCTGCAAAGTAAGTGCTGATTGTGTCCTACACACTCCTACTTCATGTGGCTTGTTACCCTAGTATATCAGACTGTCCAGCCGTCCAGCTTTGAGCAGGACAGTCCTGCTTTGGACCAAAACATTTGTATACATTTACATGGGAGACAATTGCCTTTGTATACATTCTGTATAGGTGCCCTGCTTTAGAATGGTGGCAAGGTTGGACAGACTGGTATATGCTGTTTCATTTTTACTTGTCCACTTTCTTAGAATGGGCGGCTGTACACTGTATCTGAGTGTGTAAATCGTGCATGTGCTAGCATAGTAGTAGTCTACCATCTTTCTCGTTACATACACACCGGCGTGGTCAGTTGAAGATAGGCACAAGTGCATGTGGCAGGGACTCTGTTCACCGATCTGATTGTGGATCCGCCTATTTGTTAGTGTTTTCTCCCGTTCGATTATAAAATGCTGTTGATCTCAAACTGATACTGGAACGAAAAAATGTTGGTGGTTGATTGGAGCATTGGCATAGCACTCTCCAAGAAACTGTCGCATATGCTTGCTGTCCAATGACTGCTGCCTGTGCGAAACCTCAAGTCATAGCCAAACCGTGACCCTTTCATTTTGTTTGGGCATTTGTGTGCTCCCTTGACTGAAGGTATGGCGGCAGAAAGTAAGATGATCGAATTGCAAATCTACGACCAAAAGCCTAACCTGAAGATGAGATGGTTGTCAAGAAGCCAGACTATTCACTCCCGTTGTTGACTACTCTTGCACCCGCCAGCTGTGTATCGGCCATGCGGAAGTGAAGACCTCTAGACTTGGTACTGGTATCTTGGTACATGCCACCGGTAGATGCACAGAGAGCTCTCTAGCTGACCGGTACTTGAATCAGCACACTACCACGGCCAATTTCTCTGCCAATAGCGTAAATGTGTCCCTGATACGCACATGCTATGATGGCAGCCATGTTTGCTATGGCAACGGGCGCCATTCAGTGCACTCTGGTGTCCCTCCCTCAAGGCTTCAACCCACAGAATCAGCCGCAGGCACAGATCCCGATACAGGCGTATACATGCCCTAGCCGTTGATCATTTGAAGTCTGTGACTGCCTGTTTGATTTCACGACTACTATTCTGTACACTGTGAATCGAAGTCAGTTCTGGATTTCTTTCCCTTTGCCTATTGTGACTCGTTGTTTGACTCAATCTTGTATCGCCAGCAGTATAAGAAATCTTATCAATCTATTCACGCCGTGATCGGTTTATGCCCAGATGAACGCGCTTGTAATCCACATGCATCATTATGTCCATCTTGATTATAAAACTTGCAATGCTGTTATACACTCTGTATGTGTGTGTGGGGGGGGGGGGTGCGTCTGAACACAAGTGCATGTCCTGTACATGGAGGAAAGATTCAGACATGACTGTGTTCTCTTGTGTTGTGTATACTCAGTATGTAACCCATGCAATGCGGCTGGGTGGGTTCACACTGCCGTGACCAGGCTTGCTGTGGATAGAAGATGCGATAGACAGTTTGGTATAGTATTCTTTTAGTTTAGTACGGTTTACTTCATCAGTCCGGGCCGGCACCGCCACTGGTTTGCTGGGTGCAGCCATGGCTGCAGCAGATTTTGCAGCGCTCATGGAACCAATGCAGTGCTAACAGTTACTACGGGTGTGGTGGTAGTTTTAAGTAGCTACATGACTATACCAGGACGACATCCAGGAGCGATCAAAGAATACACGACGGACGTCAGGAGAAGTCTAATACTCGCCTAGCATAATGAGGGTCAGAACCGGGTTCAACATCCATATGGTTCAAAATGGTCCGCAGGGACCGGGGCTCTGCCAACCGCGGAAGGTTGTAGTAAGGTCACTGTTTCCGAACACAGTGTCCTCCACCTTGTTTCATGCTGTCAATCAAACAATAGTAGTACCCGCAGTAGCCTCGGACTATCCTCATACACTCCTCACTGAAGTCAATTCCTCATAAACTGCTCTACCTGTTCAGTGGGGACTACACGTACTAGTACTTCAATCTGTTTAGGGCTGGCTGGATGTCTGTCTTCAATTTGTTTTGTCCAAGTTTTTGTTTTGTTTCTGTTTTGCTTGTTTTGGGGAACACAGCCCCAGGCTGTGTGATCAGTCGTGTTGAGTGGAAGCTGGATGTCTGCTGCCAACGGAATGTGTGTCTAAAAGACCAAAACATGACCAGACGTGATGCATGAGTAGTCAGCTTTGTTCCACAACCCCGGGGCCCCCACCCCCTCTTGTCCATGTTAGCCTGGAACCAGAGATGCATTCGCCTTTTATGACACTGAACTAGTAGGCATAGACTGTATCGGCCCTATAGCCGACCTGGGGCCGTGCCCATGGCATCCCTCAGGAGTTGGCTCCGGCAATGTCAAGCGAACAGGCAATGCCTTTTCATCAGTCAGGCTGGCCCTCACAGAATGGTGAATGATGTTCTTGCCATCTGGGTCACGTCGAAGAGCCTTCCTACCACGTTTCAGGATGGACCTTATGATTTGGTTGTATGATCTGTCCCGCTGCATGGGGAATGCAAGAGGCAACCGCTGCTGTTTTTGGATCGCCCAGGGCCAGAGTCTCCCACAACACCATTTTGTGAGTATTCACGACATTCTACCGATGTAGCTGTACCATAGCTAATGAAAGCAAGTACTAACTTCATGTATTCTTCGTGCCAATCGTCGGTGAGTTTGCTAACACACAAAGTTGACAGGCATTTCCGCCTATGCTGGTCTGGGACATTCCTGAAGGTAACTGGTTGGTAGATCTACTAGTACTATGTATCATGACCATGTAATACATGCTACGCACTCGCCCTCAGCTCAGCCCCTGGTACATGGGTTAGTTTGTTCAGGCTGCCTAACTTCAGTTGGTACATGTTGTAGCACCGAGAACGTACCTAACGTTAGCAAGATCCTTAACGAACAACAACGACGTGCAAGTAAGTATTGGTTAGAAGAAGTGAAGTGACTTTGCTGACCCCATCACGTCGGCTGGCGCTACCAGGTAATCAGCGCCAGGTCACGCCGAGTTGTTCAGTTCTTCTTACCACGATTTAGATTTAGATTAGAGGTTACAAGTAGCTCTGTGTCTGCTACATGTATGTTGAACCGACGGTCACTTTGGGACGTTTGGGACGACATTACAAGAGTTACAGCGTGGATAATTACTCAGGTACAGTACAACTACGGTAGGTGCTATCCAATCCTTTCACTTCTCCAAACGTGCCGACAGCACGCCATGTGAAAGTGGTGATAGTATCATGCTGCGGGTAGATTTGGCCATAGAGCCTATGCAGCCTATTCTGATTTAGCCCTTGGGCCTCTACATGGCTGTGGTTGCTTGCGGTTGTTTGATTTCGCAAGCCGAACGAACTGAACGAATGACAAGGAAGCAAATGAGGTACGTATGACCCAGACTTGGGAAACTTGGAAAAGATACGTGCAGGTTGGGACTTGAAAGCTCGGCAGGATCATCTACCTGTGCAGGCTGTGGCTGGAAGTGCAGGGTGACGATGGAGAGGAGCTACCCACCTGGGGACAGGGTCCCTGGTATCAGAATACTAGATCTTCCATACGAGTATTGTCTGCTGTCCCGGTGACAATCAGAGCAGGTACTGTTTCAGTTACGTAGCACTCATTACGTCCAATCAGGAGCCCTGAATCGGCCGCGTCTGCGGGCCTCTGACGACACAAGCACTGGCGTCTCTCTCCCTGGCCCTCTCTCGCCTCTGCAAGATAGCGGACACAGAGTCGCAAGAGGCATTCGTTTGAACTTTAGTCTTTGAACCATCGTCTTACTCCTGATTCATGACACTGTGCCTGTGGTTCAAGTAAAACGTTCTACTTGCACTGGGACTGTGGCCGGGAGAAGCATCTACAAAATTAATGTACGCCACTGGGTGACCGCTGTAAGGTGTGTAGTCATGATGGGAATATGGTGGTAGGTCTCAGCGTCAGGTCGACGGAGATAGCTCAGTGAATCGAGGTTTATCAATGCCATCATTAATTTATCCTTCTTCTCATTCATTTGGCCTTAGTCTGATGTCATGTTAGTTTGATCAGCTGACAGGCCGGCCAGTATGTTAGCACTCCAGTACAAGACTGTCAAGAGTATTGCCATGCAGCTTGCAAGGGAGATCATGACGCTAGCTTACAATAGCTACATCACACAACATTGCAAACAGTCTATCTACAGCCATTCCCCGTGTGAAGGTGATAACAATCTAGCCAGAAAACCCCAGTATTCTTGGCATTCCATTGCATTGCCCCACTGGCGATGGGCCAGCAAGGAACGCCTTGACGGCTTCAAAGCGATGCCCTCGGCCCGCAGAACTGGCACCGAGATCCAGGCCACCGCTGAATACACTCCGCATAGCGCCATGGCCATGTGTGGTGTTTGGATCAGTGTTGTGTGGTTTACTGTGGACACGTCGGGCGCGGATGGTGGCAGCTATCAGGCAAAATTTAGGTCAAAACCTGATACCTGGCTATACTGTGTAGTTAGTAGTTATAACTGGTCTACAAGTACAAGTAAGCGATGCGGCACTTCACCCAGCACAGTAACTTGTAGATCTACCGCACGTACCTCCAACTCTACCCTCTGAAATCAGAGTCATGAAAATTAATGCTAGCAAACGTTTGTTGAGGGTTTGGGTCCAGCCATGACCATTGTGTCATCTTCCAGGATGACAGGGCTTCTACTTTTCCCCTTCAAGTACCATTGTTACAATCTTTGTGAGTCCACTACCCCAAACTGGAAATAATTTCGTGAGCAGTGAGGGCTGTAGTCTGTGCATGTGCCCGATGCTAGGAAGGAAAGGCCGAAATTCATTTCTTGGTCGGTGGTTCTTCATTCACAAGGCATTATTCATCTCTCTCCGTGCAAAGTCCATAATAATTATAGTTTGCGCCGACAGTGGCAGTTTTCAGCACAAGTGTGGCTAGTGTGCTCTTGCTTTGAGGTGGGTAAAACCTCCCACCTGAAGCATAACGAGTCCGGGGTAACGTCCCCCAACTCTCCAGACGACAACGGACGGTTAGTTTGTACGGCTGTGCTGGAGTTGGCGCTGAGAGTTAGCAAACATGGCGTTGCCTCCGTCGGCCGTGCGAGTAGAAGGTAGGGTTCTGAACTTCCCATCGATCTTGTCCAACGGCAATGGGCCGGTCCGTGGTGCATGCGTAGATCTATGGGATAGAGACTATTAGAGAGTGCATGCAACTGGAGTTGGTTCTCACGGTACAAGTGCTAGCGATAGTGATGGCTTCGCAAACCTCCTGTCTCACATGCACCTCATCATCTCATGCTCACCTCGCCATCATACCCTAGGCTACACGTCCACATGCAGCTCCGGGCTGAAGTGAACTTCGAAATGGCACTGGCATTGCCTGGGATCCGTATGTCCATTATGCCATGGCGGTCATGCAGTCTTCATTCACATCATGGAAGCTCCCTGATTCACACACAAGCTGCAATGATTGTATGGGGCATGTTGTTAGTGTTTGGTCACTGCATGCAGGGCCAGTAGTAGTTCTACCATCTTGTCAGCATGTTGACCATGACTGTGCTGTTTGGTAAACTGCGGGGGGGGGGGGGGGGGGGGGGAGTACTCAATGCCGGAAGTGCTGAGCATTTTTGCACATAGAAAAGAGAGGGGGGGGGGGGGGGTACAATTGGAACAAGTTGTAACTCAAAGTCTCTTTCCGATGTGCTCCTACATGACATGTATCGGTGGTTGTGTGTCTGTGATGTTCCATTTGTACTCATGTAACTGCAGTGCTGTCAGCAAAGGGCCTATCTCACAAAGGAAAGTCAGGTATGCTAATCTCAGCGTTCAGAGATGTATTCTCATGTCATCAACCATTGTGATGAATCCTTGAAAAGTCACCGTGATGGCATGTGGGTGGAATCATGCGAGGTCTGTACATCTTTCACAACACCCAATACTCACCTGCCTAGTGGGTGTACCTACATAGTACAACAGCAAAGCAAGGCTAGTCAATTCAGTGTTGCAACTCTGACTTTCATACTCAGTACTCAGTGCTATCCTCAGGCAGCAACCTATCACCTATAGCACCAGTTAGAACTGAACTTAAATATGCCAATTAACACTTACTTGACCGCCGGGTACTGTTGATCATGTCTGACATCATCGTTGCATACATACTGGATGTACGCATGCATACAAAACAGACTACCGGGTTATTGTCTTCCTCTGGACGGTTGGATTCTTGATATGGTTGTTCGTCATTTCTCGTTTCAGCTTGGTAATACACCGTCATACATACCCAGAGCAGCTGCTTGGTTAACTGTAGATACCATGAGGGTGTGTGTGCCTTTTACCCTGCTTTCTTCTGTGCAGCATTCAATGCTTTCGTCACAATGCAGTTGACCAATGGAGGGAAGAAGTTTGCAACGGCCACTATCAACCACTCGGCAGAGCCAGTGTGGGATGAGGAATGTCATTTGTAAGTTGCCCACAGCTTGGAACGCAGGGCCTTCTCGCCTTCCATGATGATACAGTCTGTCAGTTAGTCAGTCACAAGTCATGTGTGTTTTCCTGATCACAGTACATGTAGGTGTGGAACGTGTAACACTGTCCTCCGTGTTTCTTTTGTAAATGTGATCCGACTAATGTCCCACCAGTTGGCAATTAACAAATCCGGATCAAAGGGGACCGGATAAGCAAGCTATGGCTGTATAGCGTAAACATTTGTTCACATGACAATGAGGATTGCAAGGGTAGTTGAAAGGGATGCATATCACTGACCTGGAAACCTTATAACTAGGGTACCCAGTAAACCAAGTTTGCAACACACTGACATTGTTGGAGCTCCAATTATTCAGCAGTTTTGTGTTGCTGGAACAGCATTGGAATACTTTTAATATAACTGGTCTATATCTGTCTGCCACTGTATGACAGGCCGGTGACAGGAATGGACGCCGACCTAGTATTGACTATTCAACACCGCAACAAGCTTGGTTTGGAGGAGTTCCTTGGGATGCTGACAATCCCTCTCAGACAAGTCTCTTCAATGTCAAGCTGGGCACAGTGGATGGACCTGGAGGGCAAGGGTGGCAGCAAGGAAAAACGACGGGGAAGCTTGAAGGTATAACAACAGCGCCGCCGCATGATGTAGCTATGTTCTGCAACCAACGGTTTGGTTGTGGGCTAGCCTGGGGAGTGGAGATTGTACTGTGTAATTGTAGACTAAGATAAGTCTCTATGACTATGGACATGCTACTACTCAGTATGCATTCAAATGATTGGTACCATGGTGCTTGCAGCCAACTGTCGGAATAGTGCAGCCCAGTGTATACAACATAGAACCCTGACACATGTCATAGATACATGTATGCACATACACATATAACTGAACTACAGTGCTGGCAACTGAAATCCGACCCCCTTGCCGGCACGGCGCGCCGGCAAGGGTGTCGGATTTCAGTTGCCAGCACTGTAGTTCAAAGAAGTATATCCCTCTGGTTCACCGCGTACATGTAGCTACAGAACACCGCTCAGAAGTCGCTCAGAAGTCGCTCCATGGGAGATGCAAGGCTACCAGATTATTTCTTGCCATTTTGGTTTCACTATCTGCCCCACTGTCCTCCCCACTGTCCTCCCCACTGTCCTCTCATCCTAATTGCAGCTATCCGAGCACCCAAGTTTGATGTAGCTAATCACTTCACTGTGCACTGTGCTTGATTAATGTTCGTACTGCTAGACCAAAGTCAACTTCATCTACGATATGAAAGCACCAGCATCACCGAGCAAGATATCCCGAGTGGAGGATCAGCCCTCACCACACGCTGGACATAAGTTGTCCTCAAAGGCAAAGAGTGTAGTGAAAGGCCTGAGTGGAGCATTGCATCATCATGGCCGAGACAAGTCACCCAGTGCATCGCCACGCAAGTCATTTCTGGCAGTCCCGCAAGGTGACCACGCCAAGGTATACGATGGTGTTTCTATGTACCCAGGACACGTTAAGTCTGTGAAAAGCTGCAGGAAGTTAGCATGAATAGCATATTCACTGCTCTCGTGATCTGTTTGCTGAAAGATTACAGATGACAGCAGTGATATTCTTGTTGTTCCACTGCTTGGTTGAGATGCTGATGCTGGAAGACTCCAGAAATGAATTTTCGGAGTTATTGGTTGACTCTAACACCATAAACTGATGATTACTCTGAAAGAGTATTTTCCATGCTAAATCCGCAGATGCCATTGTGTTGTTCTGTTGCTCATGCAGAGGAAGCTATCTGTTGATGAAGTCATGAATGACTTGCACCTGGATGACAGTATGGAGCTTGAACCGGCCGACTCGTCAAAAGTAATGCCTCGATCTGCAACATGTGATCTGTCGACGACATCTACTGCAGGCAAAGAAGATGGCACTGAAGTAAGGATGGTACCACCGTGCTGCATGTAGTGCTGCAATGCCGTGCTGTGTATCCTCTAGTCTTGCCATGTGATAGCACTCTAACAGTTACCATGGTTACGTGACTGGGCTAGAGAGCTGGTCACACTAGTATCCCACCCGATGATAGGCATAGAGATCTCTTTCCCCAGCACTCAGCAGTCCTATGCTCTCTATCCTCAGTATGATCTGCTTTCTCACAGATACCAGATGAGTGTATGAGTAGTTCCATCCAGGCCTTGACACTCTGACAGCATACGGCGTGCCTGCTCGAACCACTTTGACCGTGAAAACACTGCACTTCTGTAAAGGTTTATTTCACCTCCTAAGAGGTTTGAGCTACCTTAAAGGTCACATCGCATACTTGTAGTACAGTATACATGTACACGTACAATGGCTACATATATAGACACAGTCATAGTGATATTGAAGTCTTAGCATGACAGTTGCAGCAGTACGACGCTATGCACATTCCTGCACCACATTCTCAAGCTGTTTCTCGTTTGTTGATTATGGTAGTGAAACAGTGAATGCCGGTACGGTACTGGGCATTGCCTCAGACATGTACAATAGGCTTCCTATGGTAGAGGACACGGTGCAGCCATGAACATCCTATTGCTCTTCTTGTGTAGGAGACTGGGAGCAGTTGGTCGAGGAAAGGTTCGAAGATGCGCCGTCGTCTGTCAATGCCTTCGATAAACCAGCACGGCAGTGGAGCAGGTCGGGGTAGCATGACCAGTGTGAGTGCTATTGATGAGGCTACCGAATCCACAACGGCCACTAGATCAGGCTCCGGGTCGAACACGCCGGTTTCGGGCTCATCACCAGTTTCCCATTCTAAACACCGGCGTATCAACACCATAGCACAAACATGTAAGTCATGATTCATGAACCATTGATTTTAATTCTCCAGACAAACCCTCCAACTTTTAGAGTAGAACCCATCTTACATTCTCGGCTGACATTGCACTCATGTGTCTTCCTTTCGTAGACTTCTCTTTTTCTTTTCTTTTTAAAGTCGTGATTATCCCACAGAGAAGCCACAGGGAATGAAAACCTGTCAAGGAGTCCACTCTGATTTCCAGAGGACCACTACAACCAGAACCAAATGGTGTCATTTCCGGTTCAAAACTTCTGGACAGGGGAGCGCATGTACGGGGTTCCTTCAGTGACCAAATCACGAAAGACACATTTGGGGAGGGGCTTGATCGGTCACCTCTAAGACAGGTTTGGGTCCCTTGAGCTCATGGCAGGTCGTCCTAGATTGGTTTGCCTATGCATTGCACTGTATTGGATGTATTGCTGAGTGCGAGACGACACTGAGACGACACAACTGGTGTGCTTTTGTTTCCATGCTTTTCCCGGCCAAAACTCAACGTGATCCACGATAGGGCTCAGCAGAACAAGATCAGCAAGTGACACAGGTGTGGTGCCAACTGAAGAAGATCTTATCGCACAAGGAAACTTCACATCTCTATCGAAACAGGTACGGTGATGTGCAATGTGCATGCTAGTTGAGCCACGTCCGTTCTTTCCGGAGCCCATCGCAAACACATAGCAATTACAAACGGTGCTTTCAAGTACACATATGCATGATCTACAAACCGGCAGTAGACGACTCTTCGCATCCCCATGTATATATGTATCTGTGCAAGACATCTGACCGTACACACATCCACATACATGCAGTGGTGGTTTGTACAAGTTCCCCATTGGGCGATGCCACTATTGAAAAGTGGAAGACAGTGAGAAGGAGAGGGAAAGAGGGAGTGAGTGGGAGAGTAAATCCTCAAAAGCAATGGTTTCTTTGCAGCATTATTATTTTCACCAAAAACTCCTTTCACCCTAATCATGGGCCCATACCGAACGGCAATGTTGGCTTGAAAGAGTTTTCTTGAGCTGTCTACATTGTCCTGAGTATCCCGAGTGAGACCGTTTCCTGTTTCCGGCTGCCCTGTAATGCCACTTTCAGACACTGCTGAAGGTTGCCACTCGCCAGCATGAGGAGCTAGCTGAGAAGAATGAAGAGCTGGCTAACTTACGTGGCTACATTGATATGGTGCTGATGAGGGTGATCGAACACAATCCAGAGCTTCTTGTCAACCTGTCATCACCCCAGCACACAGGCAGGGAGCAGCGAGATGGAGGTAGCAACAGTTACTATGCCCAACGACCACTGGTACAAGCCTCGCATACATCTGACTCTGGCTGTGGCTCCGGCAATACCAGCCCGGAGCGGTTCAGCCAAGACGACGCCCGGCACACGCGCTACCAGAGGTCTTCGAGCAGTCCTGTGGTTCCATCGCACTTGCGACGGCCATCGCTAGTCTCAGCAACGTCGTCGGACAGCCGGGAAGTGGCCTTCCATTCTTCATTCTCTGGTTCCATGACCGGCCATGGTACCGATGGCACCACCGCACATCAACGTACTGGTTCGGGCACTTCATCTCTGCTGGATTCAGGCTCGACATCACTCATCACCAGTACTGCTGACAGAAACAGCCATGACGGTAGCATGCAACATTCAGCTCGCTACAGGCCAACAGGATGAGTTAGCGGCACAGTGCCCTACTTGAAATACACTGTACATGATGCATTGAAGCAAGTTCTCATCAAGCACATCACATGTCTTGTGGGAACCTTGAAAGGGGAATGATGGCGCCAACGTAAACGAAGTGTGCGCTACGAAACTGCTATGATATAAATTATTCTATTTTAGGGGAAGTATACCCTAAAATCAAATTTTCACCAGTTGTAGTCTTTGGGGTGCTGAGTCGAATGGTCTTGGTCCGAGGAAGCTGAGACGCTCCCTTCCTACTTGAATCCCAATCGAACTCGCGCACTTCCACCGAAACTGGGTGACTGCGCCCTACTAGATGGGGATTTGTATGCAAAATGTCACTAAAAGCGCCATTTCGTTCTTATAAAAACACGGATGACCGCGATTGGCCCATATGTTGTAGTCTTTTGGACGCTGAGTCGACTGGTTTTGGTCCGAAAAGGCTGCGATGCAGCGTTCCTCCTTTATTCCCAATCGAACATGGTTGAACAAGCGGTCACGTGCTCCTGCGTACACCAGTCACCTGGTCACCGTGCCTGCAGGGTACAACTTACTAGCCTGTTTGACCTTTTTTGGGTGCAGTCCTGTCACTCGAGTTGAACTCGAGTTGAACCTTGGTGTGAAAGTTCTCGCCTGCTGGCGCGGTGACCAGGTGATTTGGGCACCCAGGAGCACGTGACCGCTTGTTCAACCATGTTCGATTGGGAATAAAGGAGGAACGCTGCATCGCAGCCTTTTCGGACCAAAACCAGTCGACTCAGCGTCCAAAAGACTACAACATATGGGCCAATCGCGGTCATCCGTGCTTTTATAAGAACGAAATGGCGCTTTTAGTGACATTTTGCATACAAATCCCCATCTAGTAGGGCGCAGTCACCCAGTTTCGGTGGAAGTGCGCGAGTTCGATTGGGATTCAAGTAGGAAGGGAGCGTCGCAGCTTCCTCGGACCAAGACCATTCGACTCAGCACCCAGAAGACTACAACTGGTGAAAATTTGATTTTAGGGTATACTTCCCCTTTAAGGTGGCAGTCTGGGTTCAGAGGGTCAAAAAACAAAGTTTCGATTTTCTGTATTTTTTCACTGGCAGCGTCTTGTGTATGGTCCAAAGGGTTTATCCTGAAAATTTGAGCGTAATCGGGTGCTTCCTTCCGGAGATATAGCCGCGCAAAGTCTGCACAATTGTTTTTGAAATACTGAAATATCAGCAAATTTCTACAAAATTTAGGTTTGCACACTATTCCGATTTTTACCGTCAATCTTTGAGCGATTTCATTAAAATTTTCTGGAGCGACTCCTGGTACTCCTCTGCGCTGCAGACTGACAGCCGCGCACGATGTTTGTCACCATGGCAACCAAGATAACTTTTGCGCATGCGCAAATTCAAAAAAATTCAAATTTCGACTCTCATGATCTCAGCTGATCGCTCTGCTGTTGAAACTAGTTACTTTTGGAGTAATTGTTTTGGAGTAATTGTTTCTTGGAGCTAACCCCTTCGTTGGCTACTATGGGGAAGTCTAGAGCCAAGGGAAAGCCCGGACGATCTAAGAAAAGGAAAAGAACGTTCTATGGAGTGTCTCAGGCGCCGAAGGCTCCCTCTGGTAAAATTTCGCCTGCAGAACAAATTCCTGACTTGCCACTGTCTGATGACGACCTTGAAGTGCCAGCTGAAGCCACGTCTTCAAACAGCGATAGTGATGGAAGTGGCGGTGAAGTCGACAGCAGTTCCTCCGACAGTGACTTGGATGAAGAGTGTGAGGAAGGGGCGCATGGATTTCGCCTGATTGATCTCGAGTGCCTTCAGCAGCTTTTGTCAGCTGCAGTTTGTTGCAGTGGCTGTAATGGCGCAGTCACGATCAGCGAATCGCAACGGGGAGGCCTTGCATCATGCCTGGAGCTTTCCTGTGTTAACTGCGGCGACATAGCAAGCGAATTTATGTCCAAGAAGTTCAATCGGGTCTGGGAGGTGAACAGACGAGCAGTATTCGGAATGCGACTGATTGGCCGTGGACGTCAATCAATGGTAAAGCTGGCGGGTGCACTGAATATGCCATCACCTATGAGTCGGTCGACATTTTACAGCCATGCTAAAGGCCTGCATTCCGCGTCCAAGAGCGTCGCTGAGCGTAGCATGACTGAGGCAGCTGAGAAAGCAGTGTCCGCAGCAGATGGGGGTAGCGATATCGCTGCTTCCTATGACGGTACCTGGATGCGCCGAGGATTCGCATCGCTCTTCGGAGCCTTCACTATAATTGCATATGATGTCGGCAAAGTGGTGGACTGCGAAGTGCTTTCAAAGTTTTGCCACAAGTGCACGCACTTGGCGTCTAGAAAAGAGAAGGGAGAGCTAACCAAAGATGACTATGATCGACAGATTGCCGAACACGATTGCTCAGTCAACACCACTGTATCAGCTCCTGCCATGGAGAGTGCAGCCGCCAAGACTCTGTGGGCCAGGTCCTTTGAGAGCCGCAAGCTGAGGTACACCACCTACATTGGTGATGGAGATACCAAGAGTTTTAAGGCTGTGCGTGACGCTTGTCCGTATGGGCCCGAGGTGCCTGTAGTCAAGGAGGAATGTGTCGGCCACGTTCAAAAACGCATCGGTACCAGCCTAAGAAAGCTGAAGAAAAACCTTGCGGGCAAGAAGCTTGCTGATGGGCGCACTATAGGCGGACGTGGTCGCCTCACGGATGCCATGATCGACAAGCTGCAAGCCTACTATGGCATGGCTGTGCGGAACAACAGCGGAGACTTGCAAGCCATGGCCAGGGCCATATGGGCATCCCTCATGCATCGTGCATCCAGCGACAGTAAACCTCAGCACCAGTATTGTCCGCCTGGAATTAACAGCTGGTGTAGATGGCAGCAGCAACAGGCAGGTGGTGATGTCTACGCCCACCACAATATCCTGCCAGAGGCAGTATGGAAGGAACTGAAGCCGGTCTACATTCGGTTGTCCGACCGGAGTTTGCTCGAGCGCTGCCAGAAGGGTGCTACGCAGAATCGCAACGAAGCGTTCAATGGACTCGTGTGGCAGTTGTGTCCAAAGACAGGCTTTGCATCCGCTCCCACTGTCCAGATGTGCGTCTACCTGGCCGTGGCCTGGTTCAATGATGGAGGTGTGGCAGTGAAACGCGTTCTGGACGAGATGGGCCTCCCTACTGGACACCATACGACACGTCTCATCAAGCTGCTAGACCGTGAGAGACAGGCACATGCTGCCAGAAAGAAGTCAGAAGAAGGGAAGAGGTCACGAAAGAAGCGAAGGAGGATCAGGAAGGGCATCCAGGATGAGCAGCAAGAGGAAGAAGGTTTGACATATGAAGCTGGTGGCTTCGACTAAGTTCTAGTAAGTTCTAGTTGGACAGACATACCTCCATCTGTACTTGCACAGAGCACTTTTTTCTCCATTTTCCACTGAGTCCCGTACCTCTTAGACAGCGTAGCGAAGAACCTGTAAGTCACAGACCCCATAAACCATACATTTTTGGAAACTGTGAGCATTTATCAAGGTGCTAAGTGTCATGGATTTTTATATTTGTCTAGTAGCTTTGAGTAAAGTGCTACTGATCGAGGACCTAAATTTTGCGCGATTGCATGATTTTTGTTTGACAGCTTGAGTACTTTGTTCTGAATATGATTTCAAAATTCCGCTCCACTTAGCACCTAGGTATATGTGAAGGAAATCCTGTGGAGCACTCAGTTTCTACCCAGCTTCTTTCTGCGTTTGCATATTGCGTCTAAGGTATTGGTGGTACGGCATAATCGCAGATTTGACTATTGTGTCTGCAGATTCCCATGTGTGAGCTTGATTTATACTTCATTGGACTTAGTGAAATACACTGGGTATGTGGTCAAGATTTGAGCAAAATTCATCAATTATTATGGAAGTTACGGCTGTGTTCATGCGGTCGGGCCGCGAACCCAGACTGCCACCTTAAAACAGTGGACACCGCAAGGCTTCTCTTCTTTTTCACTGTGCGCCTATATTGTATATTGCAGCAGTACTTGACATTGACATTGGTTACAATCAGATCAATATTTTTTGTTACCGAAAATGCCACGCTAGATTGGTCGATGATGGGCCCCCATTCTGTAGCAGGTGTGCGACTTGGATTACATAGGGAGGCCAAATATGTGATCACTATGCACACGATTGCATATTCAGGCACACCACCATGACAGCAGTATGTTTGGGTGGGAATGGTGCATAGCGCAGTTGCGGATGGTATACGCATGGAAGAGTCCAAAACACCCGACTACATGAACTCAATGTGGTTCAACTACTGTTCAGTTTGTGCTGGCAAAGGATACTGTGAAAAGTATTCATACATGTAACTAGCCTGTTGTCATGGTTATCTCCTCCAAGAATAACTCCTAAAATAATTAATTATTGTCCTTGTTCTCGCAAATGATTGAGAACACTCGTATAGCTCTGTCCCTTTGGAAAAACGCAGCGAAGAATTCAAAATTCCGCGGCAAATTCCGCGGGGAAAAGGGGGGTTTTCTGCGGCATTTTCTGCGGTAAAATCAAAAATCTGCGGCATTTTCTGCAAGTTTTTCACCCTCCTCGTAGAGGATATGACAACTAGTCGCATGAAGGAGTACTTTTCATACTATCCTTTGCAGTCACAAACTGAATAAGAGTGAAGAATCATGGAGAGACCTGCACTGGCAAGAGAAATGTGCTCAAACAGATCGCAAAGTAGTTTTTCTGCTGCTTTCTGAGTAGTAATTTTAGTAATTTTCCCTAAAAAATTCAGATTCCGCAGGCAAAAGTGTGGATTCCGTGATTTCCGCGGATGATGGCAACTTCTGCGAAATTTGCCGCGGCCGCGGAATCGCGTTTTTCCAAGGGGACAGATAGCTGGACTCTTCTGAGCAATCTGTAGAATTCACTGCATACTGCTACACTGGCTAGTGGCTACACAAATGTACATTCTCACCCGCAGTATCATGCTGCATGATGACAGTGGACAGTGGTTGGTGCAGCGGCGGTGCATATTGCCAGGAAGTAGGTCCAGACAGATTTTGCCGGCAATTCTTTCGGCGAACATAACCCAGGCACTCACTAATGGAGGTATTCGACTTGCAGACTTTAACAAGTGCGCATGCCGTATTTACAACACGCTACCTGTCAAGAGTTATCCGCACAGTACATCTAGGCTCGTTTACAACAACTGTGCGCAAGTATCAACAGCAATGACAAGCTATATCAAAACGACAGCACATTTGAGAGATAATACTTGTAGATAGATAATAGGATAAAGACTTAAAGAGAGAGAAAGTGGGGGGAGAGGGGGGGGGGGGGAGAGTGAGAGAGAGAGAGAGAGAGAGAGAGAGAGAGAGAGAGAGAGAGAGAGAGAGAGAGAGAGAGAGAGCACAAGTACTACTCTGAAATGGACGCCTCCATATCTCTGGTCATGCAACAGTGTGGACAAATGACAGACACATTAAAAAAGTTGTTCAACCACAGTCATGGATCACACAATTAAACAAGACAAAAGTGAATAAAGTTGGGAGCAAATCTGAGCAAAAATGGGAAAAATCCACAAATATCAGTATAGCAATGGGCATCCCTCCAAGGAGTACACACTAGGTGCATGATGCTGCGCAGCAGCCACTGCTGCAACACAAGACCTGTACTGGCTGTAGTAGTTACAGAAACCACCAGCTCATGGTGTAGGCGATCGATCACGCGAACGACGCCGGACAGGGCTGCGAGAGACTGAGCGGCTGGGTTGACGTCGGCGGCGGTACGGAGATGGTGATCTTGACGGCGATCTGCAACATAATACACCATCAACAACAAATTAAATACACCATCAACAATCCACAACATAATACACCATCAACCATCAACAATCAACAACAACACACACACACACACACAGTCTCTCAAGCAACATAATACTGTAAAAGCCATTATTCTAACGAGGCGCATATATAACGATTTCCCAAAAATCGACTGGTTTACGTGTACCAAAGGTAACGATTCTCACTTATTCTCAACGCTCAATAGGACAGTATAGTATCGATTTCTGTATAACGATTTCTATTTTAACGACAGATTTCTCCTCGTTAACTCGTTAGAGTTAGCACTTCGTTATATATATGGCTTTTACAGTACACATTGCAGCAGAAACCTGCTCACTATCCAAACATATACCCACAACGAGCTGTGTATGTCAAAATGCTCGCATTGTTGCGCAGAGTTGCAATGTGCACCATACACAGATTTTGCGCACTCTGAGCTGGCGAGCACAGCGAGCTCACACTCACACACATGCACTAACCTGCGACGCCGGGGTGGCGAGCGAGAGCGGGATCGTCTGCAGGTAACAGATAACAGGGACAAGAGCAGCAGCACATAACTCATACGGATAGCCGACCAGGCCCATACCAGCAGCCCTTACAGACACTGCATGACAAGGAAAACCTGCCACTGAGAAGGGCAGGATGCAAAGAGTCAACACACACACAGTTACATGCTGGACAATGCAACGGCATTAAAGCTGTACAGTCTTCACTAAATTAGCAAGTAAGTTCAGCCTGCAGGTTAGTTGTGACGTGCTATTAAAGAAAAAGAGCCGGCAGGGGGCACACGGTTAACAGTACTACAGCAGGATCTTCTGAAAATCCTGTTCAAAATGATAACAACAGGCAGGTACACAATTCGTGGCCCGATTCCAGGCAAATTGCACATTCTATCACACAACAGTCCGTACCCATTGAATTTGACATGAGCTTAGCTGTGCCAAAAGCAAGCCCGAGCCATTCTGTCAGTAGGGGCGGCTCATGTCAAATTTCTCCAGCACTCACATCCTACAGCACCTGCATGCTGCTTATGCTGATGGTGACGGTAGCAGTAGTAAATTAGATGGTAAAGATGGTCAAGTTGTTGTTGTTGTTGTGGAGGTGGTGGTGGTGGTAAAGATGATGAAGTTGTCATGTCGCAGTTGTGTGCAGTGCAGAGTGGACGAAGGTAAAGTTGGAAAACCTAGGGTCACTGTCACTGACAAGTGTAGTAGTCGAAGCAGTAGGCCGTGAGAAAATGCTGTGGGCCTGTTCGCCACACATTAGCCCAGTGGCTGGCGGATCATGACCAGACAAGAGTGGTAACAAGCCTCAGCGGCTCAGCAGTTACACAAGCGGCAGCACCGCAATGTATCTGCTGCCCTGTGCGCTGGGAGATGCTGCTGATGATGAGTAGAACAATGCCTACTCGCAACTGAAAAGAATTCACACGGACATGCCAAAACAAAACATACCACTGACCATGGCAACTCTGCATGTGTACAAGCACTAGTAATGACTGATGCAGTGGGTTGGGGTGGCGAGGAGTGCGGGGGGGGGGGGGGGGGGGGCAATAGTTACCAAATGAGCTGGGGTTGGAAGGAGAATGGGGACACTAGTAATTGCCACGCGAGTTGGGGTAGATAGGAGAAGAGGGGGGGGGGGGGGATAAAAGTAGCCACCAAGAAACTGAGGAAACGTGCTTCTTTGCCCCCACAGTAACATCGGGTGCCGAAGAACACAAGGAATCTCCGCTTCAGGCTACTGATGCTCTGATCTTAGATAAGAACATCAGTAGCCTGAAGTGGATGTCCCATATCTTATTCCAGCCCCTCTCGGTTTACTAGTATACAACAACATAGCAAAGGTGGAACTGTGCAGCAAAATCCAATATATATTTTTTGAAATGATCAAGTAAATATTGATCCATGTTTTGCTCTAGCAATCGGAATTTCACCGATTTATAATTTTGTGCAAAGGAAATGCATAGCAAAGCCAGTCGTAGGGGGAACTTCTTTGCCTAATCACAAGGCCGCCATCATACACATTGCCAAGCGTTTCTCCGTATTCGAAATGAACTACAAATTGGGCTTTAGCCTAGGCCAGCAGCATCAGGCCAGAGGGCAAGAAAAGCAGAAGTATTTCCTCGCACGCCTAAGTCCACACTGGCCTACATCCAGCCTGCACACATACTGAACTGTCTCTGATGTCCTTAACCTGATGAACTGACACCATATCTGCATGACAAGCACGGAAGGGCACGCGCACTTGATCGTACTTCTGCCCAAAATGATGCAAAAAGAAAAAAGGACGTCGGTGAGTCCGTCACAGCGCAAGACTGGAGTTGCACAATCTTGGTTACGCACTCTTGGTGCCAGTTACTTTGACCGTTGGGGCAAACAAAAAGAAGACTTACTAACGTCATATGACTTGGATGCGACGTGCGCTGTAATTATTATGTGTATGTTGGCGAAAGAGTGATTGCGCTTTTATTGGGAAGAACGAACCACAAACTTTCCACGTACATGCGCGCCAGTTGTGAACAAAATACATGTCTACATGACTGTATTTGAAATGATGTATTGGTGTCGTGCTAGGATGATAAGCTCTCCCTTGGGGAAAAAAAGAGAACTGTACTTGTATAAATGTGTACTTGTAAGTTGTAACAGACTATTTCTAAATTCCAGTTTGAGTGTCACGGGCGACGCAATTCCCACAGAATGATTTAAACTAATTCATACCTTCTTCTACTGTGTTGGCTGTGAATTACTGTGTCCGGCGCTGGACCATCGTCCTCATACCTTCGTTGCCGAGGTCGCTCCCGAGTCTTGGCCACTTCCACTCGAACTCGCTGACCGCACAGAGTTCGACCATCTAATTTACGCACCGCATCCTCGGCATCACGGAAATCCTCCATATACACAAAGGCGAATCCCGGTGGGTTCCTCGCCACCCATACCTCGTGCACACTGCCATAGCGTAGGAAAGATTCACGGATTTCTTCCTCATTACCACTGGTACTCAAATCACCAATATAAATTTTGGTCATGTTAGCTCTGTTCGCACCCCCGCGGTACGCCATTTTAGAGCCAGAATACAGTGTTGACCTTACTCTTCCTATCCCAAATGGCCCTGGTTAGACAGTGGTCTCCTACCAAGACAAGATCGAAACGGGAAGAGATGAACTGCAAGAGAAGACTCTCAAAACGGTGCATTCAACCAAAGAATTGTACATGACTGCTGTACTGTTTCTTTTGTGTGCATGCATTTACAAAAAAAAGTTTCACACTCGACTCACGATTTTTTTTTTCAGGGGGGGGGGGGGTACAGCTAGCTAGTAGCTAGCAGTAGCATCAAGAGTCCATAAACATGCACTCTTCATGCACTCTTGGTAGCATCAAGAGTTCATAACCCCCAAGAGTGTGCAACTCCTGATCAGTCCCTGTATGGAAGCCCGCTCGGCGGAATTCCTTCATTGCGTCATTTTTGGTGCAGTGCGATGAGTCACGCCGATGAATTCTTCTAAAATTTACAGTCAAACCAGGATGCTTCCCCAGGGTAAACTGCCTAAACTGCGATTCTAGTCTGAGCCTCGAGTCAAGAAGCAAAAGTGAAACAAAGTATGCACACGAAAGACAAAACTATTTTTTCGATGCAAGGGTGACTCTTCATCGCCTTCTTCTTTCACCAGTGCAGTCAGTCTCTTCAAGAACAATTTCTTCCCCAGGCCATCGGCATATTCCTGGTGCTTTCCTGGAAGATAATTTCAAATGGTTGAGGAACTTGAGAATACGTCGAAGGAGCATTTTTCGGCTGAGTTACACAGCTATCAGAATGATTGTCCTCAACGGCAATGCAATATTTTTAACAGCTTCCTCACTTCTTCCTGTCGCGATGTCCATGGATTCTTGGGCCGTGATCGTTTGGTCGGATCCAGATCCAGATCCATCGGATCCACTGGATCTGCAATGATCGATTGGTCGAATCCGGATCCAGATCCTTCGGATTTGGATCCGAGCAACCCTGCCCCGGGAGCAGGGTTGACTGGATCCATCGGATCCAAATGTGACCTTTGTGCGTATATAGTGGGTAAAAATCATTTTTATACTCATTGTCGTACGTCTAGAGGACTTTTGTTGACTTTTCGTACGACGCGGGCGATCAGTACGACTTGTGCCTTTTTTGGGTGACCTGTCAGCGCCATTTTTTACTTCGTCAACATGGCAACAGCCAAGGTCCGCAAAAAAGTGTTCGGTTGATTCTGAAGGATCCGACGGATCTGAGATTTGGATCTGTATCTGGGTCCGACCAAACGATCATAGTCTTGGAGAAAGAGTTTGTTTTTGAGAAAGTACGACTTGTACGTCCGAAATGTCTTCAAAAAAAGCTTCGAAAAGTCGAGGCTACACTTGAGTTAGGGGCGGTTCAGGGTATAGTTTCCAGAAATCGCAAAGAACCCAAATTTACCTCGGATGACAAGCTGCGCATGACGTAATGTAGGAATTTCGCCGAGCGCTGGGTCTATGCCCGTTGCACACTCTTGGGGGTTATGAACTCTTGGTAGCATGCATATGCACGAGTTGCTATTTTTTTGAGCAGGAAAATACACTCCCTGGCCTGCTTTATATTTATAGGCTAGCGTATACGTATAGCGCGTAGTGCATTATCATGATCGCATGATCAATTATTGATCAATATCAGGGAGTCGTAAATACCGGTATTTTACGACTCCCTGATCAATATGATAAATAATGCGCTATATGCGTAGAGCGACTCACTGACAGGGTCGACCACGCATGCTGACTAGAACGGAGTCTGATCGTCGATAATGGTTATTATTAGTGTAGATGCCTAAATTAATTTATGGTTTGAAGATTCGTGTTACATAGCTTTACAACCGGTCCGGAATGTTGACCATACTGGTCAGTGGTGATCATTTCTGGCAGTAATATAGCTGATTGCGTAGAGGAGGCGGGGCCTCGCGGCCGGTTCGCTTGAGAGTGGATATTGGAACGTTTTCTAACGGCCAGGAACCCGAACGATTACTTATCCAAGTATTCTGGAAGTATGGGGAAAGTGGACAAGAAATCTCAGCGGACCGCTCCAGCTTGTGGCGGCTCAGGGATTCACTATGGTATCCACGTTGCAGTCATAGCGGTTGGATTATTGATGTCCATTCTTGCATACAATATTGAATGGCATGGCTGGATAGAAAAAGTTGAGAAACGTGACGTTGCACAGAATTCTCCTGCAGGGTCAAATGCAAATGCTAGAGCGATGCGGCAGACCAAGCCGCCAGGCGACATAGACACAGTAGATGTGAGTAGTGGCGAATCCGCTGGAGTTCCACTAGGTCACATGCAGCCTCTAGGCTCTCACCGAGAACCCAGTGTAGATATCCCTGTCATCGACTACGTTCCCAATTCGGTGGATTTCTACGAGCGATTCGTACGCCGCCGGCAGCCAGTGCTCATGAAAGGTGCTGCGAAACCTATGCCGGCATACACACGCTGGCCACGCGATCCGCACTATCTCAGAGATAAGTTTGGAGACTCGCTGTTCAAAGTTGAGATGAGGAAGTCTTTCGACAACTCGCCGTATGAACGGGTGGTCATGAACCTGTCGGAATTTCTCGACCGCTACGAGAAGGAAGACATTTACATGGACACTCCGGCTATTCACAGCGCCATTTTGGATGACGTCACGATACCGATGTGCATGGCTTGCCCAGAGCTGAAGAATTCGGTAGGTTTGAACTTTGAACGACTGGCCTTGTAATCGCGGCATGCCACGGGGATGTCGGCGTGTTGTAAAGCACTTCACGAGTAGTAGCACAGATATCAGAGATGATGCACAGTTCTATAGGGCGTCCAGCAGAGTCTTGTCGGTTTGTGGGATTTTCTCTACACGAGAGTGCCATCCCTACTCAATTCCACTGTCAAACTACACTTCTCAGTACAAAATCTGTAATTCAGGCAGGTAGTAGGATTTTGGCAGTTTCAAGCCAATAAATCATGGTACTTTTTGCGGGGGGGGGGGGGGGGGGCTGTACTGTGCGGAATATGCAGTATACGCAGGGGCATCGGCAGGTATTCTTGGGTGGTATGGTGATTCATTGGTGAACCACAGGTGGTGAGCCTTTAGCAGAGCTTCCTTGGACTCTCCCCTGAACATTTTGAAATCTTATGACAAATGTTTTACATGTCTATGTGGCACGGGGCAAGAATTGGTACGAACAACACTGCAATGACCATGGAGAGTCCGGCGCCCCTGATACAGGTAGACATTATGTTATTGGGAATCTAGTTTGCAGGCTTGACTGAATGATAACATTTTAATCCGAATGTGTGCGAAGTCCCAGTAGAGGGAAAGAACCGGGTGGCTGTTAGTGTCTAACGCATCATGACGAGATAACAGTACTAGTTAAAAGACCATTGTTGGATGGAATAAACCCGTGCTCCCGACACTATTGTTGTGTGCAAGCCTCTTGCGCGTGCTTTCTTGCAATGTCCTTGCTGTAGATTGTCAGCTCACATCTGCTGTTCAGTAGCGGCGGTACCAGTTCAAGCTACCATTTTGATGGCAGTGACAACTTGCTAAGTCTTCTCTCTGGCCGCAAGCGTGTGATCTTTGTGGATGTTGCATATCACAATCATTCTTATGTCAATGATTATGTGCTCCATCAACCAATCTCACCAATCAATCCCGATGCAGTGGACCTGCTGAAATTCCCTCGCTTCAAAGATGTGCCGTATGGAGTGATAGAGATGGAAGCAGGTATGGTATGGGGGCACATGTGAAATGTATTCAGAGCTCAGTTCACACCGGGTGCATTTGTCGGCAGCAGACGGTATAAAGCCTGCTGGTTACAGTGTAACATTGTCGGCCGTATGGGCGGATGTTGCAGCAGCTTCTTGTGCGGTTGAATAGCATGCATCTCATATGGTGAAGCAATGGTCTCCGACAACCTCTCTTTCACAGACCATATTCATATACTTGAAGTATTATCACAACACTCTCCAAGCGGTCTCTGGCCTACACCAATCACTGAAAAAAGAATAAAATAAAACATCCGAATTTTCGGGCGAGGACCATCTTAAGGAATACAGTCACTCATACTCAATCGATCACATTCTTGGGACACACCGCTGCCGCGGCCATGTTGAGGTAGAAACGACAATCGAAAAGTTACTCCAGGGCTCGTACTCGTCGTACTCACCTGCCCATGTGTTTGCGTTCTAAACGCGTACAACAATGATTGTTACCCGCCAAACACGTACAAACGTAGTGTTTGGCAAAAATGAATCCGTTGGATCTAGCCAACTCTGCTCCCGGGGCAGGGTTGCTCAAATCCTAATCCCATGGATCGGGACTCGACCATCGATCATTGCAGATCGAGTGGATCCTAGGTATCTGGATCTGGATCCGACCAAACAGTCATAGTGTCAGGGCATATTCGATTGGTTGGATCTGGATCCAGATCAATAAGCCCATTGCAAAATGACGTACATGTAATTTGTACCATAAACACCCCACACAGCCACCTGGGCATAGTCGTGTGGGGCGTTGAGCAGTGCATTCCTGATCCCAATGTATTGACATGCATTTCTCATGCACTCCATATTTGACAATGCGCAATGGGCTTATCGGATCCACTCAATATGTGCATGTTCGTTTCAACGAATCAGGGTCCAGATCCAATGGATTTGGATTTCACCAACCCTACTCAGGGAGCAGGGTTGACCGGATCCACCGGATTCTTTTTTTGCCAAAAACACTTACTATGTACGTGACCAAGAGTACATAAACCAGAGTGTGCAACTGTGCATATCAGATCTGAAACAGCGCAGTTCGTGCACTACGTCATCCTGATTAGGCCAGCCAAGCCGCGACTTGCGTACAGCTCAAATTTTCGTGTTTCATAGCCCGGAAATCAGCCAAGTTTGCTTGATTTTAGACGTCATGTTTCAGGATTTCGGTGTTTTTATGGGACTGTGTACGCTGCGTACATCCACCGACAAGTAAATTCACCAGGCTATCTGTATCAAAAAACCGAAATCAGGACAAACTCAGTGACCTGCACCACCGTGACTGGTTACGCAACTTTTCACCGTACCTGTGGCTTACCATGCCGTCAGAAATGACGTACTGCACGAATTACGCTCCCACAGGAACCATCCCGAGTTGCACACTCTGGTTTAGGTGCTCTTGACGTGACACATGTACGAATGGCGGGAATAAAAGCGATGATGCGGAAATCGTTGCTTTCTCTCATGGAAACTCTCAAAAATCACTAAAATTCGATAAAGGGCAGCATTTGATTGGACCTTGGTACATGGTGGACCCAAATGATCCACTCAATCGATCTGGATTCGGATCCAACCAATGGAACACCCAAAATAAATGTCTGTATTTAATAATGTAAATAAGCGTCGAGGTGACAATGTTAATCGCAATTCTAAAAGTATTTATAATGTGATTGAGTATTTCGCTCCTGCTTTTGTAGTGGTTGAGCACTCTCATGTGGGGTAGTGCCTTTGCTGTTTGCATTACGCAGAGCTCACTGACTTGTCAGTTTGAGCACTCTGGCAAGGTACGGTCGGGCCTGGTTTAAATCTGGCTTTGGAAATTTTATTTTCATTGCTATCAGGTCCGGCCTCATTTTCTCTGTGCTGCGCTGATGAGTTCACAAAGAACGAAACAGCATGCTGTCCGCAGATTGAGTAATGTGATTGTATTAATGTCTGTACCGATGTTCAGGTGACATCCTGTATAATCCGAGCCTGATTTCTCATCACGTTCGCTCTTACGACTCTCCCAATATCGCTGTGAACATCTGGTTTGAAATATTCTCCTACGACAAGGACGTCACTACTCGACTAGGACTGGACCCCTCGACGGACCTTGTTGCTTTCAACGCTGCGCTGCACAAGACCACGAAAGAAATGTCACCAAGGACTATCGAATGTGATGTGGAGTCTTCACGTCTTTTCTCTTTCCTGAAGAATTCCTCCCTAGCCAGTGATGTGTTTACTCCAGATGAGAAAATCAATGGGTCAGCTTTGGAGCCCTTCAGGCTTCCAACAGGATACTTGAGTAAGTGGCACACTACACGACTACTGCACATGGCTGTGCTTGAGTAAGTGGCACACTACACGACTACTGCACACTGCACATGGCTGTGCTTGAGCTATGGACTACATGTACTGGGTTTTTCCATTTTGACAGCATGTTACAAGCGGCGAGGACGCATAGTGCTCCTGACTACAACCATAACCCGGTTGGCAGAGTCCCGGTCGCAATTATGGTAGTAGGCAGGAGCACTATGCGTCCTCGCCTTGTAACATGCTGTCAAAATCGAAAAACATGTTAAACTACCAAGCAAGGCTTCTTTATAATTATGTACTGGGTTGTAACTACTTATCATTCCGCGCCCGGCCCGGGGTAGATGTATGGTGCGGTAGGACTTCTCACATATTAACTTTGATCATATACTACGAAGGTAACACTCTGCCTTTAGCAGGTGTGTGGCTTGTGTTTCATATTTGGACAAATGCAGGGGAAATTCCAAGCTTCATGATTGTCATGTTTGATGCTTGCTCTTTTCAGTGCCACGTATGGGATTTGGCAGCCCGGCTTATATCTATGGAGAGAAAGCAACTGCAGCATACCTAGCTGCATTCAAAGCTGGCTATAGGTAAGGCATTTTCCTGAAGAACACAATACGTGTAGCTTTACCGACACTGTAACTCCCGTATCTATGCAAGAGAGTCGAAGAGACGTTACGGTTAGTGGCGTATGGCGCTAGTCAGGGCCCACGACGCTTTATCGTGTATGTATATGTACAGTCAACTTCGCTTATAACGACACTCGGCGGGGCATCAAAAAGGTGTCTTTATTCGCGAAATGTCGTTATACCCGAAGTCTCATTATATGTATTACAATGGGACGGGACTTTGCTCTGGGCATGGAAATTCTGTTGCTATTCGCGAATTGTCGTTATATCCGCAGTCGTTATTAGCGAAGTTGACTGTATGTGTCCAGACAGGCGGGCCTGATAATGTGATTGATCAAGTTAATTCGTATATCTGTGTGCGATATGTCCGTCAGCACGTGTTAGAGCGCAAAGGGCCGCGGCACGCCAGGCCTGGCGCGCTATCCCGTACTGCACCGTCAGACACAGCTGGCCTCGCGCATTCATCCACATATGTCCAATAGGGCTTTCAACAACAGGATCATAGTGTGAAGCAACTTTGCAGAATATACCGGTACATGTGTACGAATAGATAGTGAGGGACTATAAAGCATCAGCGCCGGTTGAATCGCGAGTTTCATGTATGTGTGGTGAAAAAAATGAAAAAGCGAGAGAGCTGCCAGCTCACGGAAGTGACGGCTCTTGCTATGCTTGGTATTTACCTTTGTCATCATACTTGTACGTGTTTTTAAACTGATTGAAACGTCTTTTGCAATACGGATATCGGGTGCATGCTCTTGTATTGCAAAGAGGCCTCGACCAGTTTGAATAACACTCACGATGACCGAAGGCCACGATCACACCGAAACAAGCCACTTTGGGCTTGTTATCGCTGGGGCTCAGCTGGCTTGCGCGCTCCCTGAACAGTGACAGTGGATGGCGTTTGTGAGGTGATGGGTAGACTCATCATTAATTTTTTCGCAAGTTCAACATTCTGTGCTGCTGTTGTTGTTGGTTTTTTTTGAATTCTTTATTCTCACGATGGCACCATCGCCAATAAGAGATGTTGTTGTTGTTGTTGTTTGTTGTTGTCGACGACGAATTTTCCTTTGATTTTTCTGCGTGACTGTTGCAACTTTGTTTCTTTTTGTTTTGCCAGGATGGTGGACTGTGCACAGCTATACGACGAAAAAGCACTTGGAGCAGCTTTGCGGCAGGTAAATATTCCTCGCTCCGAGATCTTCATCATTTCCAAAATACATCCGAAGAATTTTGGCACCGAGAACACGCTGAGATCGATAGATGAATCTCTCGACAAGCTCGGTCTGGAGTACATTGATGTGATGCTGCTTCACGCAAGGGATTGTAGGGGTTTGCCAAACTGCCATGAAGAAGGCGGTACTTGGCAAAGTGCCTGGCACGGCATGGTACGTGCTGTGGAACTTGGCAAAGTTCGCAGCTTGGGTGTGAGTAATTTCGATGAAGTTGCTGAAATTCAGGAAGTCCTGCAGCTTGCTAGAGGCAGACTGTCTGTTATTCAGAACTACATGGACCCATTTAACGTTCCGATTGAAGTACTCAACTTCTGTTCTCACCACAATATAACATTCATGTCGTACGGCATTCTTGGTCGAAGCTACGTTCAAGATGATGGCATGCCAGTCAATCCTGTTCTTACTGCTAATCCCGTGGAAATCGCCAGTGAAGATCGTCAGTGTATGCCGGCACAAGTAGTACTCCGCTGGGCAATGCAGCTTGACGTGGCAGTCATCCCCAGCACAGTGAACACAGTGCATCTGGCAGTTAACCTGCACTCGTTCGATATACACCTGAAGCCTGATGAGATGGATGCCATTACTGGCCTTCGGACTAAACCCCCAAACCCCCAGCAAAAAGCACACACTGGCAGTGTTAGCTCGCAGTCTGGGGAGCAAGCTGATAGTAGTGAGGTAGTGCCTGCTGAATATCAAGGTCATGTAGCATTGTTCAGTGCAGAGGCTAACATTCATGAACTGAATGTGTTCGCTGGAGGTGATGACGGATACTTCATCGCATTCAATGGTCAAAGTGGTGAGATACTGTGGCAGTACATGACCTTCAATGAGTTTGGCTCAACTTGTGTTTTCAGCCCTGACCATTCTCACTTGTACTTCTCATCAGAAAACAATCGTGTCTACTCAGTGCAAGTCTCGACTGGTGAAATGGTGTGGAGTGTGCACACTTCTCATGCCTTCATCGCTACACCGCGCCTCTCCACTGACAAGTCTGCTCTGTTGACTGGTAATCTCGGTGGGCAATTCGTCTCCATCGACAGGACTAGCGGTGAAATCAACTGGAACAAGAAGTTGGGAAATGGAGAAATTTGGTCAACTGCCAACGTGGCTGTTGTGGATGGCAGTGAAATGCTGTTCGTTGGAATGCTCAACAGTGGTCTATATGCGCTATTCGTTGAGAATGGAAGCCAAGTTTGGCGCATGGATGTGAATGCTGGGGTGTGGAGCTCACCTGCCATCACTGCTGATGGTAAACAAGTGATTTTCTCAGGTCAAGATGGCAGGGTGTATTGTGTTCACAGTAGAAGTGGGTCCATCATTTGGACATGGTACACACGTGGCCGCCTTGTTTCCTCTCCACTCCTCAAAGGAAACATGGTGTTTGGAGCATCTGATGCTGGTGCTATGTTCGCACTCAATGCTCGGACGGGCGAGAAAATCTGGAAGATCCGTATCAGCTCAAACACGGTGTCATCACCCAAGCTAAGTCCCGATGGGATCTTGGTGATAGGTGGGACTGACCGCACGATACGTGGTTATGACTCATCCACGGGTAAGCGTGTGTGGACTGTTAAGACAGGTAATGAGGTATGGGCCAGTGCATCTATCACATCAACTGGAGTAGTGTTCATTGGTTCCACTGATGAGTACATGTATGCACTCAATGCAAGTGATGGTGCTGTGCTATGGAAGACTAAAGTGTCACCATTTGCTGCCTCCCCATGCGTAAGTCCAGCGTATAGCTATTCACCCTGACAGTGAGCTTTCTTCCTTTGTTAGAGTACACCACGTGTGACGTAAAAAAGAGCCCGGACTGCTTTTCTGGCACAGTCACTTGCTAGACGCTGAGCATGCCCTAGAATGTGCATCTTGAGCTGATAGTTATGTTATTGGGTTGAGTTTGCTTGTACTTATTGATACTTCTTTGAGTCAAGAGAAATCTATCAAATACCATTGCCTCATGTTGACCGTCAAGGAGAATCCTATTGCTTGGACGTTGAGCTGCTGCTGGCCTTGAACCATAACTTACTAGTAGTACAAGCAGATCGCATGCTCAATACCATTGTGATGTTTTCGTACACACTTGCTGGATGGACCAAGTGCTTTCAAGAGACTCTTTGTTGCTTTGCATACAGGTTTGTACACACTTCATTGTAGGTCATATTATGGTAGTTACTCCACCGATTTGGCTACCGGGAATCACACGCACGCATGCGCGCGCGCGCGCGCGCACACACACACACACACAGTGACGCACACATATACACCGGCACACACACATACACACGCACGCACACGCACACCTCAGACCTGCCCATCGCTGAAGCGATGACGCACACACACACACACACACAAACATCTGTGCCCGCTTCTTCAGTGCTACACTGCTCCCCTCATCACAACAGGCTGTGTCCTCATGATGCACCTACTCGTGGGGTTATGATGGGCAGTGGGTTCGAGCCGTTGTCAGGCGGCAAATGGGTGCAACAGAAGGATCCACGAGCGGGATTCAAACCCAGAACCTCTGTCTTTCTGGGACAGTGCCCTACCGACTATGCCGCTAGTACCGTGGATCACACATATCCTTGGGCCCGTCTGGCTACAGTACCACCCAAGTTGTCATGGCAACTACTTGAAGTACAGTTAGGGCGAGTGAATCATGAAGCTGCTACACTTACATCAAGAGTACATAAAAAGGTTTATGTAGTATGTTCTCTTGCTTACATGTATAGCAATGAATGCCACCCGACCTTGTTGGTATCCTGCGCTCTCCGTCTCTCTCTCTCTCTCTCTCTCTCTCTCTCTCTCTCTCTCTCTCTCTCTCTCTCTCTCTCTCTCTCACACACACACACACACACACACACACACCGTGGCAGTGAAGGATGATGATCGGATGATGAAAATGATGATGCCGATTGAGAGCATAATCCAGGCTCTTTCAGTCTTTGTTGAACTTTTTTCAAACATTGTAGCCTGAGGGAGTCCGCTGCACCTGAGCAGGCGCGTGCTTGGCGATGGGCACGGGGGGCACGTGCACCCCCCAAAAATTTTCAATCTGGGTAATTGCAATTGTAATGTATGCAAATATGCTCTAAATTTCAAGAAAGGTTGCAAACAAATTGCAGAAAATTGCCGGGGGGGCTCCCCTCGGCTCCCGTGCACCCCCCTAGTTTGGGGGCCGAGCACGCCCCTGCCTGAGTGCCTTTGCAAATGCTCTGAAAATTTGTATCCTACCAGTGCAATGTGGAGCAACAGACTGATGACAGAGAAGGAAGGGGTGTACTGTTCTTATGGCTAATGCAACTAACCTGATGAATATCCGGGACTAAGAGAATCACTGCAGCTGGACGGGAAGACCGAGGCTTCTCCAGACAGTGATCACACTCACACAGGACAGTTAGCTTGTGTGCTCTTCATTTTTACCACCAATAGTAGAGTTCACACGGCACGTCGGGCACACAGACCATACAAAAACACTTTTGCCACCACTAATTCTATGGCTTGTAGTTGTACTCTGCCTGGTCGGTGTGAGTGTGCACGTGCGCGACAGGGAAGTCGTAAAATACCGGTATCTTACTACTCCATGGTCTGCTCACTCTGCAGCACAGACTAGACGTCGACGTCATGTGCAAGTGCAAGTACATGACACGTACATGTGCATGTACAAAATCCATACGCCACGTGAATGCATGATCTGATATGATCGACTGATCGTCCACAAACACGAAACAGAATGAGAAAAGACTCTGATCTGATCTGTTTGAAAAATTTCAAACTCAAAGATTCCTGACTACACTAGTCTTGTTGTAGCTTGTTCTCGGCGACTTTGTTGTTGAGAATTGTTATTGCTTCAGAGTTGTCTTCGCGTTTCTGAATCTACAATGAGTACCAGTGCAGATGCTGCACCTACTGTTCCAACCACGTCGACTACAGAAACCATAGCTGCAGATGGTGAGCTAGTAGCTGATCACCGGTCAGTTTCGTTGAAGTCGAATATGACGAAAATGCTCGACTGTTCTTTTTTTCTTTGGCAGGAGCTACTATTCTGACGGCCGACGAGAAATTAGATCGAGAATCTCCAGAACTATGGCCGATTACCCGTAAGTTAGAAAATGTTTCGTGTGCCTGGGTCGGAGCTTTAGCGTCACCAAGGGTGCACCCAGTATTTCACGATATATGGAGAATCAGCAGTGAACTCCCGATCCCAACCATACAATATGTGCATGTAGCATGAATGGCTCATTTAATACTAATCTAAAGTGACATGCACGTATATACAGAGTGCACCTTTCTCACATTTTAGCAGTCTCAGATTCAGTGCTAGGAAAAGTATGGCTCATTTTTCAACAGTGACACAAGGGGCGTTGGAAGGTATTGGACATTTGGGTGGCCATATGAAAAGGTGTGTGTGTGTGGGGGGGGGGGGGGGGGGAATTATTTTGGAAATTAATTATTTGGGCCCAAACAGCCCAAATTGTAGTGCTTCGTGGCCCTGCACCAGGCCACTGTTCGTGTGGACCTCCCTGTCACTCGAAGGGTGAAGTAAGGACGGATTTACTGCAAACTGTGCAATGTGTGTACTGTGCAATGTCCGTGCCGTGCGTGCTACAGACAGGAATCGCTCATTCGCCCCACTGCCAAGGCACGATCTGATGTGCTGCTCTGCATTTGGCCACAGATCTGGAAAAGTTGTACTGTTTTGGCTTTCTGGGGTTTCTCTTGATGCGTCGTATTGCCACAGCTTCTGGTGATGTGACCCACCTCACACATGTTCAAGAAGATTGGACTTGTCCCGTGTGCCAGTCGCCAGTAACTGACCGTTGTTCAGTTTTGATCGTGTCGAAAGTGATATGTCCAACTACCTCGCTGTACTCACTGTCAATCACTGAGAAAAGCGGCCTATTTCGGAGATGCCACTATCAGCAGGACTTTTAAAATGAACATAGAGAGTTGTACACAAGAGAAAGGACCAAGGAACTACAAGTTACGCTATACTGTCCACTAACACCACCAGTTACTAAACAATCAGCTCATGCGATAACATTGCACGACACTGACCGACGGTACTGACGTTCTTTGGTCCTTTCTCTTTTGTATAAATTAATTCTTGGCTCTCCATCCGAGTCCATAGAGAGTTGTAATCATTGGCACCAACAAGTCTATCTTACCAGGCGACTCACTACCCAGTAGTTGGTTGGCCATACTGAATGTTGGCTGTGAGACACCTGGTGAACATTCCTATTCCAGTCCTGCACTATCTCCGGGCACTATAAATAGCAAACCACTCTGAACGCTTTTAAACTTTGAAAGGTTTTAAAAATATACAGTAGAGTCGCGCGTCCAAGAACATTGTTTCCAAGGGGTTAGCCTGGGGCGTTCTTAACACTTCAGGCTGGACGTTCTTCGGTGCGGAACTCTAGTATCCATACACGTCCAAGTGATCCACTTTCAAATTGGGTCGGATCGCCAAAGTTTGCAGTGTACTGCGGTGTATGAACCAATGTCAGTTTCCGTTACTGTGGAACACTTGATTCATCAGAACGTTTACACTGGGTAGTCCCGCTATCTCTGGACACGGCTTGCTGTGGGTATGGGTCACAATGGGTAGGGATCATCTATGCTGGCATCCTTGGGGGTAAACACTGCTTTTTCTTTGTTATCTTGTTTTCCTGCTCTATTTTGTAGCGTATGCAGAACTGATGAGCCCGTTCCGAACTGCGGTGAGGAGTTCCATAGCATTGCTAGCTGAGAATTAATGTCTGACAGTTGACAACCCTAGCAGTATGCAGCGTTGATCTCCAAGCTGTGGGTGCCGTGTGTAGCGAGCTGCCTTCATTGCACAGTGAAATGACGCTCAAACTGACTGACACTGGATTTGGATTTTCTTCCAGTTTAGGCTCAACGATTCAACGCATAAATGTTGTGGATTCAGCTGCAGCGCGAGTCATCACACATAAAACCTTCCGAAAATGCATGCTTGGAAGCTGGAAACGGTAACACATGAATAATGACACAGCAGCCCAGCTGCATATTCTTATGGCTATGCAGTGACAACATGCACTCTATTGCTGACACTGCTACCACTCACTGGATGAAATTCTGCATGGATGTTAAGGATTAGGGAGTAGTAAAATATGTTTACTACTGAGTACTCCCTGTTTAGGATGGCGTCTTGTCTGTTTTCAATCCTTGTTTTATACTCTGAGTGAATGCTTGTTCTCACATACCTAGTAGTTGCTGTACTCTGGACTTTCTTTGTGTGGCACTTGTTTTCTACTTTGCAACTTCCAGTTCTTCGCATCACCGCTTGTCCATAATAAATGGCAGGCAGAACTCGGCAATGATGACTTCAGCATGCTTCAGGGTACGTATCACAGTGCAGGGTACAAGCAAGCCGTTTCTCCTTTCTTGCTCCAACCAAGAGCATAGCAGTCTGAGATTATATCTGCCCTACTGTAGCAGGTTTTCCGTGTTGAGTGTCTTGTGCTGTGTAATCATCTAAACCCAGTAATGTGTGTTGCTTTCATACTCGTTTACACCTTAGAACTGGCAAGCCTGACACAGCAGCAGCTGCTGGAGAAAGTGAAAACCCTTCAAAACCTAGCGTACGAGCTTGGGCGTGAAGAAGGTATGTGCTGTGCCGTGGGTTCAACTGGTTTGCATACATGTGTTGCTAGTTATGACCTGCTCTGAGAGAGAGTGTGTGTGTGTGTGGGGGGGGGGGGGGGGTAAATTCACAGTAGGTACTACATGCAAGAGTACAGTAAACCTGTGTTTGCTGGACCCTGTACCAAGTGGTCTCCAGTATTGACCGGGCAAATTTTCATGCACCGATGTGCTGTGGATCGAACGTGCGTCCCTGGATCAAGTGGAATCCTGTCATATCAGGACAGTTTCCGCAGCATCAAGGTCGTCCAGTTAGGGCAGGTTTTACTGTACTTCGGTGTATAACTCCAAGAGGTTAAAAGTAAGTTTTCATGATATGTTGCCAGCTCTGTGTGTATGTACCAAATGAACTAGCACAATAATGTTGTGTAGAGTCAAGTGGATTATCAAAAGTACATAAACCAGACTGTGCAAGTCTGCTTCTATGCTGCAGAAAACCACTTCTACGGTGAGGTTTTTGTTTAGGTCATCATGGATCGTAGGGAAACCCGTTATACCGCACTAACCGCAGTCGCAGTGCCCAATCACCGTATCACACAGGTGATAGAAAACAGGGAAATCGCGTGTGTTTTCAATTTTGGACAACAAGCAGCGATGCGCAATAGAAATTTATTATAGTATTAAATTTCAAATTTAATACCTTGATGGTGGTAAAATGACTGTGAACCGGTATGAGATGCAGTAATGATCAGTTATTATGACCATGTACTTAAAAAGCCAAAACCATTCGCCGTCGGTGCATTCTCCCGTAGCTGCACACTCTGGTTTACACAATAGTATGACAATACCCTTGATTTTATCATGAAAATGGCGTAATCTGCGTAAATGCTGTGGATCGAACGTGCGTCCCTGGATCAAGTGGAATCCTGTCATATCAGGACAGTTTCCGCAGCATCAAGGTCGTCCAGTTAGGGCAGGTTTTACTGTACTTCGGTGTATAACTCCAAGAGGTTAAAAGTAAGTTTTCATGATTATGATATTCGCCGTCGGTGCATTCTCCCGTAGCTGCACACTCTGGTTTACACAATAGTATGGCAATACCCTTGATTTTATCATGAAAATGGCGTAACTCGGGGAAACGAATCGTGATGAAAATCAATGTGGACTTGCCCACTCTTGAGTCTCGACTCTTGGTACCACTACATATGCAAGTACAGTGTTCTTCTCCTGATGCCAGAATTCTACATGGGTTTCTTACATGCAGAACGGATAAAGAGCTCTCCCCCTGGATTGTTTGGAGCTCTGCAACTTACAACCATAGACCATGAAATTCCCATACACTGTACCAAACCACAAACTCCGGGTAGTCAATAAAAGAATCCAGAATTCAACACAGGCTTTAATATGATGAGTATTGAGTGTTATCACACCAAGTATCACTGAAGAGCAATCGTGCACAGTAGCAACAGGAAATATAGTCCAAAGGGGATCATCTCAACACGTGATGTCCTCCATATCGGTTTGGATCTAAATGAAACTGTTGTAATCCAAAAATGTTGTTAATTTATTGTACACACACAACAACAAACGTAACACAAATGAACTCTTGTAGAAACTTAAGTATGAGAGGTAAGACCTACATGTAATAACAGCACTGAACAGTAAAAGTGATTCAAACAATGAAAAATGAGAACAACCAACTTGCGGGTACTAGTTTGAGTGCAAAATGGCTTCTAAAACCATTGTACTGTAACCTGTCACCATGACAACCACGGCACAGACTAGTGAAACAAGAATCAGAATACGAGTTACAATCAGGACTAGCTACGAGATGATTCTACACTGAACAAGTTCTCTTACAAAACCTACGTACCACACTGTGACTCCCACCACCACTCATATTCACTCTCTCTCTCTTCCTCGCTGAGCTGCTTGGCTCACTGCTTACATCATCCGTTGTGTCTCTGCCAATCCGACACGATCATGTTGCATGCGGCATCGCCTTCTTTTCTGGTCCGTCCATTTGTCCTGTCTGTTCAGTGCATACGTCCTGTTGTAATTTGCGGTCGCTCGTCTCGGTCTGTCGATTGTTGGTTTATTGAGTAGTTGTTGTTGGTTATGTCGCTGGTGTTGGTGCCATTGGGGCAGAAGGTAGGTTTGTTTGAGTAGTTGATTGTAGTGTTGGTGTTGCTGTTGGGGTTTGGCGTGGCCTGCCACTGGCACGTTTCACCGCCGCAAACTCCGATGGCAGGGGAGCCCCGGGCAGTAGCAAAGGCGGCGGCACATGCTCCTTCCATGGTCGGCCTTGTTAAGTCTCCTCCGCCACCAGTGCCAACAGGTCCACAGATTGGGTTTGGGCTATTTGTGTAGGTACTTCAGAAGTAATAGTTGTTTTCTTGGTCTGCCGCTTTGGGGTCTCTGTTGTTGTGCACTTGGTGGACGTTTTTGTGAAGTGCTATGCCTGTGTAACAGTGTTGTTTGCGTACAGCACAGTTGTACACAAAGACAACATTGTCAGTTTCATAATAATCAAAAGGTTTTCATCATGACCACAGAAAACAAAGCCAGATATATAAAATTCAAAACTTGGCAATCACTTTTTCAAATACTTTAGTAGTTGTTTTACTAGGACAATGATGCACTACAGACTGAAGCACCTTTCTACATGTGACTTTTCTCCACTAGAAGTGCTAGCTTCAGTTTAGTTGGGACATGTTTCCTAGACATGTTGGTTGAAATAGTATACGCGTAGCGTAGTTTTCAACATAAGCATGGTCTTCAGTATAACTTAAGCTCAGTAGGGAGGGGTATCAGGTCTCATGCCAGCTTTACTAAAAAAAAAGGGTTCAACTAGTACACAGCTTGCCCAAGCGCTGCGAACATGGCGCAGCGTTGTTTCGATCTTGGTGCGAATTTCACTGGCCAACAATACACAGTGCCAGCCAGCGGAATTTTCCTGTATGCGTATACCGGCAATGTTCGAGCCCAGTGTTTGTAGTGTTAGGTCTGTGCACCACCCAGTGCTATATTATTCATGGCATGAACTTCACTAGTCGGTACTGTCTTCTTGTGGAAACTCAATGTGTTCACTTGTGTTATTATCTTCTCTTGTCTGCAGCACACGAGGCCACCCGTGGCCGGTATTTGCGAGTGCTCGAACCTCAGACATAGCCCCCAGTCGCACCTGTCCTATCTACCGGTATGTTCCTTTCCGGGAACACACATGCTCACAGAATACGTCCAGTGCAGTGTGCTGCTGTGCACCAAGGCTCTGATGAACCGCTTGTAATATAACTTACTGTACATATCGCAATGGACTTGAGTTTGCTGTTTATTTTACTTGTAAAGTCAACTGAAATAGTAGTATCTATAACATCTGTTCCCGCATAAACCGTGATTGCTACTTCATAACATGCTTTTCTGTACATATGCTCTATACATGTAACTCGCTGAGATTGAAGAATGTTTAGTGGCACTGTGCACACCTAAATGTGTGCGGTTCATTTGCTGCTTCTTGCATTGTCGTGTTATCAGCAATAGTGGTACCGATAGTGTTCAAAGTTTGATACACTTATTGTGAGCTCTGGTTGCCAGTTCAACTTGTAAGGGTACAGTTGGCAGGAAGAAACACGTGCTCCGGCGTTGGGAGTAGCCTACTTTTCACTAGGATAGAGAGCTACAGGTGATGCCACAGATAGGAGCTGTAAGGTTTCAAGTACTGTAGTGGTTAGAGCATCGCTGGCTACAAGCGAGGGCCCCTGGTTCGAATCCTGGTGGTGACAGTCAGTTTTTTCTTCGGACTTTTCCCGTTTGTGTCTTGTCCCTCAAACCAGTTAATAGTAGTGCTACTCGTCCTAGTTCTCAAATGCCCTGTACAATCCTGTAGTTGGAAGTAGTACTGGCCACATACTATCTACCGTTAGTGTCTACACATCCAGCCCAGAATACAACAAGGTTAGCCAGCACAGATAATGCCACATAATGTGACATTGAGCAGAGGTTCTTTGCAATCGTACTCAGTCACCCAGGCCAGAGGAAAGAGAAAGACTGGCACCCTAATGAATTGCACTCTGAATCTAACCCGCGGCAAGCGAACCCTCGGTGGAGGAACTTCAGGCCAGGAAACTTTCGGAATCTCCCACTGCTACTAGAAGTATGTAGTACTGCAATGCTGTGGTAATGAATGCCACTTCTAGCAGTCACTCACCAAAAGTCAGCCTAGTGTTTCACTTACTGCAGCATCGAACGCGGAAGCAGCAGCAAGATGGAGTCCCATCAGAGCGGTGTGTCAGTGAACGTGACACAAACACAGCGGTGAAGAAGTACGCAAATCCGACACTGCCATTGACAAGTGTACGGCACGACATAACATCAACACGTCCTGATCCTGTGAAAGGAAAGGAAGAAAACTACACGAACATAAACAATGAGCACCGATGAAACAACAAACTACTTCAGCTCACACAGACCACGATGGTTTTCTACAGGAACCGGTTAGAATTGGCAAGTGTTTTCACAGGAGTCTTTCGGTTACTCAACTGTGCTGTCAAGAAAGGAATATCTTGTATATACCTGTTTTATGCTCTTCTTGATACATGTATGTCGACTTCCTGTAGTAGTACTAGTACCATAATGCGGGAGACGTGGAGTGTGATCTCAACTGAAAGTAGGAGCGAGCATCAGTGAACGGACGGGAATATGCCCAATAGCCACCGCAAAGAGTGGTCCCGACGAGAATGCAACTCTGGTTTACCTAGGAGCTCTGCACGGTGCGTTGCTTTGATCGCGCAGTGCAACAACTGTCAGGCTGACTCGCTAACTCTTCCCCACCCAATTCACGAGTAACAATTCCACAGGGCTCAGGGCATAGTAACTGGTGCGGCAGGTGCGGCCAAACCACACCAAATTCCAATACTTCTTGGAGTGTTGGATGAATGAGGAACCACCCTGACTTTGACGAAGTATGGTAGAATCTAACCGGTAGAAAAACCCTCATGTCGAATGTTGGTGTGATTTTCTCTGTCCCTGACCCGGGCCGGAGCCGGTGCCATTTCAGTTACTACCGGCAGATGCATCACTCTACTGTGAAGGAAATAATTAATTGATCCAAGTGAGTATGGATTAGTGCTGGGATGAATGTCATTTTCTATGAAAGAATGTTCTTTCTCTCATGTTTGAAAAGTGCAAACTGCAAGACTCCCACAGCAGCTTTAGCAAAAACAACAGAGGAAGACGGAGAATTCATCACTTTCTACATGTCTGGGAACAATGCGAAGGGTGTTAGGAAAGCTGCAACACGATTCGACTGTGCATGCACTTTCTGCAAGAACAGTTTGTACATGAACCTGTCACTGGTGCTAATACTCTACACTGCTGTGCAGAGTATGAGTACCCCCATCAAATGCATCGCTTGGTTGAACGTGTTGCAACTGGTTGAACCCTACTAATCCCAGCCCCCTGCAATCTCCACACCGAGACTATTGACAACAAATCAACTACATTGAAATGGAGTTCCTTTACAAGGGGACGACGGAAGCACACCCGAATGTTAAAGACTCAAGCTGAAGATGGTTTGACTCTCCGCACAACCAGCAACACGGGCATGCACCAACAACAAATAAACAAAATAACGCACTTCAACAAAACTTTTATGCTGATCAACATTCGAGCGTTCGAACTTCAAATGCTAATTTCAAATAAAAGGGGCAAAGACACAAGGTGAAATGGCGGCCTTCCCACACAAGCTCCGTAAGCTTACAACCTGGCACAGAGCTCTCCCTCTCACCACCACCAAAATCAATTTCTGCATGGCGGCCGGTCAAAGCAAGACTGGTGGTATCTGACATAGCGGGCTGGTACAAATGGTTCGACACACAAGAATTTTGTAAAATGATGATGGTAAGAAGGAGAGCTCTGCGCTAGGGTGGGCAGACGTGTGTTGACGCGAGTTCGCTAGGTACTAGGCGTGTCTTGACCACCATAGCATTCAACGGTCTGCAGTCAGTGCATAAGTTGTTAACCCACGAGGGCAACATCAGGGTTATTCAACCACATATTATGCAGCTGCAGTGATGTCTTCAAATGCATTCCCCGCTTTGCACAAGTGTTGTTAGCGCCTTGGTGCGTGACCATAGGCCAGAAAACAATAAGCCTCCTCCCAGTACAGCCAGCCCTGAGTACCTGATCTACAGACTCCATGCCAGAGGGCACAGTTCCCCTGGTTTGAATACAGGTTTAATAGTACTTTGGGAATCCTCTCCATGCCATTGAGGTTCTCTTGAAATTCCCGAACCAGGGGTGTAGCGACTACTTACTTTGAAGTAGATCAGTTCTATTCAGGATTTGGCTTGCCATACAATTAACCGACCACATTTTAAAGGGGAACTACACCCAAAAATCAAAACTTCATGGTCCGTAGAGTTTTGGACTCTGAGTCGAATGGTGAAGGTCCCACTTCGATCCGACCAAGCGTTCCTGAGATATCTTCGGTTTAAATTGTACTTTCGGGGGACGCGCCATGACGTCATGCGGCCGCGACACACCCCCAACACGCCCTTCTACGTCATTGAGACTCGCTTGCTTGGGCCAAGCTCAGAAGTACAGGTATTTTGGTATGTGAAAGGAATAGTTCTGACAAAGACGTCCTCACCATGAGCGATTCCGACGTATCAGACGAGCTTGAAAGCTCAGAGCCTGAGCTGAAAATGTTTGGCTTCGGGCATGAGCCGAAATTTTCAGGAAAGGACATGGCAGCGCAAGCGGTGGCTTCCATTCGGACTGTAAATGTGGATGAAGCAGAAATTACTGCAATTGGAGAAGTCGCTCTCCATCAGCAACATCTGGCAACCGGTTGGCTAGGCTATTTCGAAATGAAGCGGCAGCCAAAGCAGCTCAGACAAGCCTGACAATCCGTAAGTGTTTTCACAGTATAGTCCTACGTAATGCTCACAAATCGAATCGTTCTCTTCATATCGTAAATAATAATTGTGTGAAATTTTGTATTCGCACAGTACTCAGATCAATAGTCTCCTCACTCGTACTCCTGTACATGGAGTTTGCTGCGTAACATGGCTAGTATTATCTCCGTGCAAGTCGTGCAATGTGTATCGGTTCACTTATCTCACACAAGTGGACTGCACCTCAATTCGTATAGTGGCGAAATACATTCTCACCTTTTGCATTATCACTTAGTCTTTACAGAATGCTGAGACGTTCTCTTGTATTTCACGTAGCTGTGTACCAACAATTACGCTGTGCACTCTAGCAGCAGCAGCAGCAGCACAGTAGCATATTGAGTGCGTTTTGCCCTACTGTGGTGTCTCATGGCTGCATTACCGGAACAGCTCTGTCCTTCTTGATTATCATTCTAAAATGTGTGCACATATCCGCCTGCGCCCCACACACACGCACGCACATGTGCTCACCTTGGTGGGCACATAGTATAGTAGTCACACATGCTCACGCACGCAGACACGCAATTTCACAAGCGCGTGCGCACACGACTCCATAAGCATACAAGTGCCTGTGCACATGCTCGTGCACGCACACATGCGCGCACTCATGCACTTGGTTGCACACGCACACATTCCTCAGGATCGCTAACGGCAATGCATCTACTACTTGTCATTCCATGTCCCTCCCGCAAGGGGGAGAGAATGACATAAAGGAGAACACAGAATAGATGACATGAACATCTTTGGAATGTTATAATTACATTACACAAAAGCACACGCATGTGCGCGCACACACTCACGCAATTGCGCGCACACACACTCAGTGTCACGCGCGTGCGCGCGCACACACACACTCACGCGCGTGCACCCACACACACAATAATAATAATGTCTGTCTCTCACGCGCGTGCGCGCAAACACACACACTCACGCGCGTGCACCCACACACACACAATAATAATAATGTCTGTCTCTCACGTGCGTGCACGCAAACACACTCACGGGCGCTTGCACGCACACACTCACGCTCGTGCGCGCACACTCACGCGCGTGCGCGCGCACACACACATTCGCGCGCTTGCACGCATACACACACACTCACGCGCTTGCACACATACACACAATAATAATAATATTGTCTGGCTCTCATCTGCATCCATACTGAGAAAACCCAACGAGTTCCCGAATAGGTGTACACTGTTGCCGGTATGTGGACTATCTTCTCTCCTTGAACTGCGGGTCATTGCGTGATGTAGCTTATCAGCAGTACATACTGTGTGTTCATACAGGAAAAAACATGCCAGCTAGAGGCGCTGGCGCTGCAAACAGTCCTTCCTATAACCTTGGGGCGGTGGCAGTGGTCGTAGCTCAACAGTGAGTCACTGCGACCGATGGTACAGCCGCTCTTGATCTTCTTCCTGTAAAATCAAGAACAGCAATCGCAGACAGGTTCATCGATCGCACGCAGTATAGCCTAGGGAAACAGGAGATCTACTGCCGTCCACCTCATCAAGCCGGTTTCGGAAAGCTTCACATTTCGTCGTGATGTAGTCCAAAACAATTCTACAAATGCTTTGGAAAAGAAAGAACTACATACAGTAGCTAGTGTTTTTGAAATATTGCACTCACCTCCGCTTTTCGACTGACGCTTCACAGTGTGGCGTGCGAAAAAGGACACACCACAGTTTCATCCACCAGCGTCCGCATCGGATGAGTGCATAATATTCCTCCTGAAAATCCTCCTCTGCCAAATGGCTGGAACACACGCGAAGGATTTACATTGTAGTCCCGAAATTGTCAAGCAAATAATTATGTCGCTTGATAGCTGCTATGGCGCACTGCTCGGCCTGTGCCAAGCACAATCCTTCGGAAATTGGTGCAGGTTCATCCCAGGGGGTTACCAGTAAGATTATAGTAGCCAACAACACAGCCAGAAGCCATGATGACATAAATACTCTCTTCTTCCATGGACAAACAGAAAGAAGATGCGAAATCCCAGTGTTTCTGGATCTGGCCAAAGGATCACCAAGTCTCAATGACGTCACGGGTTTGTGACGTCACGGCACGGACCCGAAAAGGACAATTGCAAACTGATATATCTCAAGAACGCTTGGTCGGATCGAAGTGGGACCTTCACCATTCGACTCAGCGTCCAAAACTCTACGGACCATGAAGTTTTGATTTTTGGGTGTAGTTCCCCTTTAATGTTACAGACAGATTAAATGCAAGGGAAATTGTCAACAGCAAACCAACGTACTGTCCCTCCAGGAATTCGCGATTCCACGGATGCAACAAATTTCGCGATTTTCAGCAAAATCCGCGATTTCCCCGCGTTTTTTGTTGTTTTCTGGGCTCTATCTCACATGTTTCATGCACTTTTCACACAGTGCTTTCCATAATCATGTACGTTATTTGCACAGTACGACTAGTACTACTCCGGAGTAGATATACGATGCAACAAATTTCGTGATTTGGCCCAAATCCGCAATTTTCTGCAAATAATTCCGCGTATTCCTGGCAAATTCTGCATCATTCCGCACTTTTTGTTGTTTTCTGCCGCAATTTCTTGCGCAAGTTTTCGAGAGTTTTTTCCGCAAATTCCCGCAGGGACAGAACGTATTGAACTGCAAGACGTAAATCTAACGCTTTAACTAGTGACATTTCTTCGTTAAAATAAATTCTGTTGAGGCCGTAATGCCCCATATGTGTTATGTGCGGTTATGCCTAAAGTCGTGAAGACTGCAAGATAGTTAGTGTATCTTCTCGTTAACCTATGAATTGGGGACAATCGTTAAATTTGCCACTCGTTATAATAACATGTCTTACAGTATTGGCCAGACCTGGTGTACAAATATGTGATGCATATATTTTCTTGATACGTGTACCAGTCCAGATATTCAAATTTTTGATGAAGCTCATAAACATATTGCTCTGAGCCAGGTTCTAACGTTCTGCGCTTGAGCCTTGTTCAAGTTCTGGGTCCAAAATGCAGATCATACTTCGAGGGTGCAGAACAAGTGCCTAGTTTCGCACGCACCTGGTGTTTCTTCTTCTTTCTTTTGCTTCGTAAGATGTTGCGACATCGGCGGTAATTAATGAAGAAAGGGTCTGCACCGGAGCTCGCGCTTCCTGCCGACTGACAAGTCAAGTGTCAAATCAGTCGGCAGGAAGCGTGAGCTCCGACGTTCGGAGCAAACACTTTCTTCATTCTTTTGTTTCCTTTCTGAAATGGACTATAATCCAGTAATGATGCGCTGCAAACTTGCCCAACTTCTACTATGTTTGTAAGCAATCCAGACTAAGCAAGGCAAAGCAACAGAATGCTAAGGTACGCATGGCATTTCACGTGATCCAAGCATACATGTAAGTGCAAACAATACCTACACTGCACGTACGCAAGACCCTCACCCAACACTGCCCCAAACCAAACCAAGCAGAATAAGTTTAGAGGGGGGTATCCTATTGGCAGAGATCCAAACACTACAAGTGAGTACAGAAATGAGCTGAGTTGAGAAAGAGTACCCAGGACCGAAAAAAGCAAAGCAACGCCTAAAACAAACACTGAACCCACACACACAAGGTCAGTTTAGGAATATGAACGTGCAGTGAAAAATTGAAAATGAAGCACAGCATGCACACATGGCATCACAACAACCTGGGTTTTTTGAGTCACATAGATTTCAACAATGATACCAAACTGTGACCAGTGCCAGTGACTGCTACCCACCCGATTGCACTGCAGCGTGAATGTACACACGCACACATGATCATTTTGATGTGGCGGCAGCATACACATGCTCACGGCCGATCTAGAGAGGAAACCGCGACTATGACTGCTTATCGACCCTGATACAGTAGTCTAGCCAATCTCATCATCATCATCATCACTCTTCCGATCCTAATAGACCTTAGGGCTAGTGATTATCCTCCAAATAGCCTATGAACATAAGTAATAGAGCATAGAGCACAGACAATATACTATGGTAAGATAGGTGACATGGGGCCTGGCCAAACAATAACACCAACCCCGAGTAACCAAGTGCAGTCAACTCTCGCCTACCCGCCACCACAGACTAGTGGCTATCCTATTACAGAGGGGGGGGGGGGGGGGGCGTCGACAAAGCATGCCAGAAGCGCAATAGCATCGGCAATGTTGACATTATTGTGTCTCATGTGTAACAAGTTGGGCTTTCGTTTCTCTTGTTTTCTATGGGCTGGGGTCAAAACTAAGCGGTGCGACTAGCCGAGAGTTGACTGTGATGCCTCCTTCCCCAGCACAAGCAGTAAGTCACCTTGCCCAAATAATTCAGGGCAGCAAACTCCCCTCCTACAATAAGAGCAATCACCTATGTGCTTGCATGTCTTCATATTTACTATTCTCTTCTCAAGCATCACACTCAAGTTAAGTCTTGGATTATTTTCTGCTGCTTTAGTTTACATGTGCTGAATGCTGACTCTTTGTCAACATGTGAGCTCAATCTATCCACCACGGTGGGTAAGGCACAGCGCTAAAAAAAGTAGTGGTGAACGTTTGAAGTGAGATCCCAAGGTTGAGTTACTTTCTCCGATCGAATATTCGAGTACATGTATCCTTGTCTCCTATAAACACGACACAAGCTCTGATTGAACAGATTGCTGACCATCTTTTTAGAGTATATTGATTGGTGAGTAATTGGGGTTTCCTGCGCTGAAGCAGCGGATTTTGGCAAAAAATGCATGTATTGAAGTACAACGCATGAACAAGTATTCTGATTTATTCCGAGTACGGTTATTATTCTAAAACCCGAGCGAGAATGTTCAGTATAATTTAGGAGTTTGCGGACAATTAGAAATAATTGTTTCTTCCTAAAAAAAGTCACAACTGTAGCAACACATGTCCACCCAACCAGACATGTGCCAAACGCGAAAGCAAACTACAGTACTGGCCGGACTACTGAAAAAAGCTAAGGGTTCGCACGTTGGTGGTAGCAACTGGGATTTTCGGCGTTCAAACACACGTGGTGGATCTGATCCAGTCATCTCCCACTTGATCCTTGAGGACGGTGGCATTCCTACGGATGCAGAAGGTTCAGTCGGACTGAGTCTCATGCAAACCGTTATTTTTTTAGTATGTTACACATGAGAGAATGGCACGCAGAGTGCTATTTTGCAAACATTAGAGAGGTTCCGCATAACGTAATTACGTTAGTAAAAAACGTTGTCGATCTACGGAAAGTCTTACGTAAACTGCATGCGCATCTGTGTTCCGCCATACGGAGTTTTCAAATCACGTAGCTGCCCTTGGCAAATCCGAACGTGGCAGGGTACGACCAGATCGACCTGGGGAGAGAGTCATAAATTTGTACCCTAATCCACTTACGGACCAGCTACGTTATCAGAGCCCTATCTACGTACTCTACGTAGACAACTTTCCGTAAGTGGAGTGCAAACTCGCGAATTCACGGGTTTTTCCCGCCCACTAAAGTTGCTCAACTTTACGTAGTGCGGAACCTCTCTAATGGTTTGTATACAAAACGGGAAGCAAAGCTGGGTGAGAGTATTGATAGACTTTCGATTTTCATGTTTGCGAGACCTTGAAGGATCATACTGGTACCGTTACCATACGATCACTACTACAGTCCATTCATCGGAAACAGTCCCGCTGCCTTTTGAAAGTCGGATTTTGGCCGAATTGAGGATCAAAAACCCACTTTAAATCTCAAAAATCTGGGTTTTGGATCTGCTTCTCCATTTTGCCATGACATACCTGTCCTAATTTTGTAAAACCTGACTGAATTTCTATTTCCCTGTTCTTGGACTTTTCTGGCCTCAAATGTGTCAAGGAGTAATTGCACGGGTCACACAATGCAGGATGCACTGTTATTTTCACGATATCTACAACTATGTGTGGGAGACACCAACAAGTTAAGGTGCCAGTTTCCAATGAATGGACTGTAAACAAGTCTATATTCATGTACATTACATACCCCAGTCAATCATAGGTAACTTAGGTGCAAGAATACATGACTCTGGTGTAGGTGAACAATCGAACGCTTTATGTTTTGAAATTTGAATCCTTTGAAAGTCAACCTATAGGTGAATGAGTAGACACCTATGCACTCTAATGAGAATGTTCAAAAGATCGTAATTCAGTCAAACTTCGTTTCCATTATCTGAATTATCCTGGCTAAAAAGAACACTCAGCTACCGTTCACAATCTGTGAGGTGCTGCGATCAACAGTTCCGGACACAAATCGCTTCCAACTGGACCAGCTTTCACTGCAACAAGAACGCATGCACTTAGAGCATTTTTCGCTTGGTCGCTCCCCCACCAGCCCTGGAGACATGGCTTCATGGTTATTATGGTCAACCTCATTATTTTTCTCTTGTGGAGACCTTTCCAGGAAGCCCGACTGGGAAGATCGAGGGAGTAGAACTGAAGTTACAATTCAAAGACGAGAACATGCAGATCCCCCCCCCCCCCCCAAATGGCTCTGAAAGGCTAACGATCATGTGCTTGGAGTGCAGAGCAGTGGCGAAAGACAAGGGTGCTGTACTGGCAAAGCAGTAACAACAAACTTCCAGATATAGTTGGTATTGCCCTACCCACATAGCGTGAAGATGAGGGGATATTTGGTATTTTGTCAGTAGCAGGCACCTGTGGTTGTTCAAGGTTCACCCATGTAAAACCATTGAGCCTAGACACACCCTCATTTTGAAAGTCAATATACAGAGTAAACTACACTTTCACAAAAAGAAACAGACAAATCACGCTTCTGCTGAAATCGCACTCTTCATTTACGCTTTAAATCACCCACAGCACAGATGGTGTGCGTAAAGTGCCAATCACCTAGCCAGCCAAAGTTAGAAATCACACAGGAAAAAGTCTGATGACACTCACCGGTAGTCAACGCAGCATGGCCTAGTAGGGTGTGAACGAGTGGCCACTGCCTCCATAAGCGCCAGTTGGACGCTGCGCACTGTAGTTCGTTGGCTGCTGCTGATAGCTACCACCGAAGCTTGCTCCATATGTTGCAGCACTTGTCGCATCAGCTGGTGCAGCGTACCCTGCAGCAGAGCCACCATAGCCCGAAGCACCTGCCGCCTGACCGTATGCAGCAGACGAAGCAGCGGCAGCAGCGGCTGCAGCGCCATATCCGGATTGCCCAGCATAGCCGGCCTGCTGGGCTCCAGTACCGGCATAGGCTGCGTTGGCACCATAACCACTGCCATAACCGGCTGCACCGTAGGCAGCAGACCCACCGGCTCCATAGCTTTGTTGTCCATATTGACTCTGCTGGCCGGCTTGGGCACCATACGCAGATGGGTATGCTGTGGAACCACCATAGCTACCATAGCCTCCCTGTCCATAGGAGCCACCATAACCACCAGCACCGCCGTAGGCCCCTCCTGAGTAGTTGTCTCGGCCACCATTGCCGCCACCACGTCCACCACCGTAGCTGTTATTGTAGCCGCCTCCGCCAAAACCACCACGGCCACCGCCGCGCCCTCCAAATCCGCGTCCGCGTCCTCTGAAGCCACCGCGATCACCGCCACCTCTGCCGCCGCCACGGAAACCTCCACGGCCGCCACCTCCTGTACCACCACGGGGAAGAGCTCGTTTCACCTCCACTTTCTTGCCAAGAACATCAACATACTGCTGCGAACATAGTTTATCGACGGTTTCCAGATCACAGAAGGAAACAAAAGCAAATCCTCGCGATCTGTTAGTCTCCCGGTCCAACATCATCTCCACGTCTTCAACTGGTCCATGTTCGGACATGATTTCTCTGAGTTGGGCACCCTCTACATGGAGGGGAATACCACCAACAAAACATTTTTTTGTTGAGACATCTTCGCTGCCGCCATTTGATCCGCCACCGTAGCCGCGACCACCACCGCCGCCGCCGCCGCCACCACCCATCTGATCCTTGGGTTTTGCAACTTTTGCATCGACCCGCTTGCCATCCAAGACATGTGGTAGCTTGGAAAGAGCTTCATCCACGCATGTTGAATGTTCAAACGTGACAAATCCGAAGCACTTGGACATTTGAGTTTGGGGATCTCGCGAAATGAATAAATCAGCTATCGGTCCAAATCCGGAATAAAATTGCCTCATACTCTCTTCCGTTGTGTCACGGCTCAACCCTCCGATGAACATTTTCCTCTCTTGCTCGGGCTCATTCTGGAGTAAAAGCAGGAAAGCAAATCAGGAAAACAAAAACAATCTACATTCGTATAAAAAACTTCCATTTGTGGACAAACAGTTTGGTAACTTACGCCCCCAGGTCCTCCGCCGTAACCCTGCGACATTGCAACTGATGAAAGCTCTCTGGGTTGACTAGAAGGAAAGCTACACAGGTTGGTAGCAGTAGTTCCAGGAGAAAGAAGTAGTGAGTGACCAAGAGAAAAAATTACCGAAAGGTTAAAAATGCAGAGACAAAGATCAGTAGAACTACTAGAAGTACAAGTCGGTTGAGGTCATGAGCTGTGCAGATATCAGATAGCTAGCTGCATGCCGATTCGCTAGTGTTACCCTGCATGTTTTTTACCAAAATGGCGTCGGAGTTTTAGCGCTACAACTAGCGACTACGAGTACGTAGATCAACGAGCGCCTCACAGTCGATGCGCCAAGCCAGCTGAGTGGGTCTTTTTATTTTTTTCGCGCGAAAGTTTATGTGGTGAACTGTGTTGGTAAAGATGAAGATGTCAGTCAATGAAATTTGCTATATTTCTTGTGTCTAACCAACCCTGTACGGATCGAACTGACGATTCCCGAGTGCGACAAATGTCCTGAAGTCTGCTCCTATTAGCTAGGTATCTAGAAATTTCAACTTGAGTGTCAAGTGAAGACTTTGCCAGTTGCAGACGAGGGAATTCTCGCTTCACGATTTTCCTGGTGTGTGGAGATACGTCGGAATGCCGACCCACCACACCCGACATGATGCTTCGGCCGGAATGCAGGTTGGTGCAGATAATTGCCTAATAATATATGTCTAAGCGTGTATACCTTTCCTTTCGTTGCATGCTTGGTTAATCCGACGGCACGAAATTATAGACATTTCGAAATTAACTTGAATATTATTTGGTCGTTGTATGTCTTAGTATTCCCTGTCAGTTTGTGCCTTTTTGTCGCGCTCGCCGACTGTATATGATCTAGCGACATTGGTACATGGTGGACAGTTAGTCATAACTCGTAACATTTTGTCCTTATTCTTTTTATCCATGATTACATTGGCTCACCATCCGAGTTTATTTATATATTTTTGATAGGGCAATATGTAATGTACACACACACACACACACACACACACACACACACACACACACACACACACACACACACACACACACACACACACACACACACACACACACACACACATACATACACACACCACCCACACACACCACCACACACACAGTGACACACACACCACACGCACACACCATCACATTACGACAAAATCAAGGCAATGCCGGCGAAGCTCTATAATTTTCTTGTGCCGCGTGCTAGGAGCATAATGGCATTGCCCGATAATAGCACTTGGTGTAAATGGGTTCCCATGTTCACACACACATACACACACACACACACACACACCACGCACACACCATCACATTACGACAAAATCATGGCAATGCTGGCGAAGCTCTATAATTTTCTTGTGCCGCGTGCTAGGAGCATAATGGCATTGTCCGATAATAGCACTTGGTGTAAATGGGTTCCCATATTTGTGAAGTACATGTATTATTTGGTTGCTGGCTATCAATTGTGCTGTGAGCATGGCAGAGTGAGGTCTTCCAGCTTTGTTGGTGTTTGCTCTATCTTGTGTTTACGCTCTGCAGAAAGGATCATATGTAGTGCCTTCGCAGCATTACATTACATCCATTGCGTAGCAGCAATGTGCCATCCTTCCGCGACTTAGGTGGAATGACGTGCAAGTGGTGCTCCAGGGTCAACTTCAATTTGTCGAGCACGTATGCCGCTGGCTTGGGGTCAGCAGCTGGGTGCAAAGTCTCTGTATACAAATCGTGCACTGTCGTCAAAAATATGGCATCCTTGTCCAGCAATTCCCGTCCTGTAGCGGCAATGACTATAATATTGGGGAAATCACTCTCGGCACCTTCCGTGCTGTACTGAGAGATGATGCTTCGCAATTGGTGGTCTGTGCTTGGTGCATTGTCGGCAGGGAGCATGTCAATTTGCTTTTGGTAGCAGCGTCTACAAAATCGACTCTCGTCTGAAATCCTGACATGGTGCATGCTACGCAACACATGCTCTGCAAGCTGAAAGTTTGGTGACTTCCACCTGTGTTCTGGTGTGAGCCTCGACTTACACCAAGCACATGTTGCATGGCCCACACCCTGCTGGTAATGGGTTGGGCACAGAAGCGGTTCGCACTGTTCTTTCAGACTGTGCACGCGCAGTTTGTCTGCAGGACAGTGTACGGATGCCGCTCCGCTGCAATCATGTACACTGCATGTGCTTTGGCTAACTGGTGGCTTATTTTCTTTCGCTGCTGTGCATACTTGGCGTCGTAGTGCTTTGACGCACTTGCAATAAATGCATTGGCCTGACGTGATGGATGTGCATGTGTGTAGCTTTTGCCAATGAGTCATGTGTAAATCGCTTGTCAGATGGCACTTTGGAGCAAATGCTTCATTCTGGGCCACATGGTCGTCAAGTATGTATGCTTGTGCTAGTTGTGGCATTGCTGGGTCTTCCTGCCGCTGACATCTGTGCACACATGCATGGAAAATATACGTAAAAACACTAGTTAGAAATCACGTCACCAGAGGCATGCCCTTTTTTCGGCCAGAACATAATTTCCGCTCCAATGTCACAAAGACTTACTCTTTCGATACGTCCAGCATAGAAGTAGCGAAATGCCTGGTTAATTCGGTGGCACGAAATTATAGGTCGGGCGACGAAATTTCGACGAAAAAAGGAAAAGAGACAAACCGACGTGTAACGACACCAAACTACAGAATTTCGTCGTTCTTGAAGAACTCATAACAGAAAAAGGTGAAAGGCGACTACTGAATCCTCGAGTGTGACGAATAACTCCGAGAAAGCGTGAGACTGGCCACCACGTACATACATGAAAACGATCGTATGTTGAGAATGCCTTGAGAAAAGTGCTCAAAAAGGGTGCTTCTGAAAAATAGAACTCTGTGTTCCGACGTGATTTTTCAAATCTGGCGCATCGACTGCTCATGCTCATGTCATGACGTGAGTCGATCGATTGCGCATGCGAGCTGCGGGCCGGATCGCGGAGCTCCGGCCGGCCGGAGATCGGGGCCACCATGCACCACGACCATATCCCATGTACCACCCTGGGCCTGGTTACATCATCATGACAGTTTCTTTTCGTAAAATCTAGACGATTTGCAGTACAATGTCATTTTTAGTATAAACAAGGCTCGAGTCGAGTATATCGGACCGGTCGAGTATATCGGACCGATTATTGCACCTCTCTGAATCTTGAAAGGAAGAAGATGTGAAGAAACTCTTTGCATTGAAAAGCATTGAAGTTTTAGATGCCATATCCATCGCCTGATGTGCCAGGGCACAAGACTGAAGTTCAAAATTTTTTTTGAGTTGTACCATTGATATTATCGAAAATGGACAGTGATGAGGAAGATCTCGAAGCACTTAGGCAAGCTGCCCTCCTATCATTGAAACCGAAGCCCGAGGATCAAGTAAGTTTAATATTTAAAAAACGAAGTTTCCAGAGCACATTATTTCCCTTTACATTTCCTCGCACCCCCCTATTTCAAGACTTACAACGAACTATTTATGTGCAAGAGAACATAGCCCCTTAGAGTGCAACAGCGCAACTCTACTATCAGTACAGTGCTGCCCCGACAGAATTTCAAGTTGACATCATTTTCATGATGCTATGCCCAGTGTACATGTATACGTATTATCAGACGTCCTACAATTGTAGTATCCTGAATCAGTGGTGGACGAATCCCCCATTGGATCCTTATAAACTAGTGCAAGGAAACACGTGTGCTGTGTTGACTCCCAGACGTCCCAGTGCAAATGTAAATCACTCATGCGAGAAGTATTGCATCATGAAAATGACGTCAACTAAATTCTGTCGGTACAGCATGGCATGCGGGAGTTGCACATTCTTACTATTCTTAGGGACTATGTACTCTTGGTGTGAAGGATTTAGTTCGTACATCCAAAGCTGTGTTCACAACTGGTGCGTGTACGCGTGAAACCACGCGTTTGTGCGTATTTTGCTGGCTTTTGGGGCGCCATGCGTACGGAAACGCGCCGAAATGGAAATTCCAACATGTTGGAATTTTCAGCGCATATCAGGCGCGTACCAGCGTACATGCCAGTCACTTTGACTGGCGGGGTCAACAAATTAGTACTCGAAGGTGTCGCACGCGCTAAATACGACTCGGATTGCCATTTTTTGTGAAAGCCTGAGCGCGCGTTTGGGCATGCATGAACCGCAAGCGTACCGCGTCCACGCGCCAGTTGGGAACACAGCTTGAAACTTATCATATTTTCCGGAGTATACGCTGCAGAGGAGTATAAGCCGCACCCAGATTTTTTGTCACGAAATCTAGACATCTTCCCTATTTGCTGGTTTGAGGGAAAGACACGAACGGGAAAAGTCTAAAGAAAAACTGTCACCACCAGGGCTCGAACCTATTTATCACCGTATTTATCACCGTTCATTTGACCATCATAGTATAAGCCGCACAGAAGCTTATACTCCGGAAAATACAGTAGGTGTAACAACACACCAGCAGGCAAGCTATGTGATTGTCCTAGGTTTATCCGATAATTTACTATCTGACGGGGCATACTAGACACACGAACTGAGGGCATCATTTTCCTGTCAATGTTCATGATCTGTCGGTATTACCAATGCCGTTTTGAACGTTGTCACGAAACAAGGATGAGACGAATCCCACTGAGCGCAGCCAATGAACGAAGAGACACGCACTCATATAAACCAGGCTTTCTGTTCTTAGGAAACCATCCTCGAACCCAGATAGCAAATGAGCATTTGACTCGTGCTCATACTCGTAAGAAAGTGCGAACTGTCTGTCTGTTTGAAAAAGGTGACGTGGAGACAGTGATATTAATATAGCAATGATGTGAGCAATGAATAAAACGATGTGCGCACTCATGTCACAATCATAGCAACGGATGAGGAGTTCCAGAACGTTTTCTCGTCACAATTTTCGATGGAATCTCGTGACTGAAGGGAATGATGAAACTACAATAGGATTTGTACATTTGGAGTGAAAAGAAAACCGAGAGTACAAGATTAGTAAAAAAATAGCACGTACTTCGATAACTTATTACACTGGTGAAAGCTAAAAATACAGATGAGAATAAATAGGACAATCAGCAAAGAGACTGGGATGGTGATTCGTGGTTTAGTGTTGTTCGTTCTGCAAGTAGTTTCTTGCAGTTTAAAGTTTTTGAAGCAGTGTACATTCATATTCAAGGTCCTAACCTTTGCAAGCAAAACGAAAACTGTCACCGCACTAACACTCTTCCAGTGAATTCGCACTCACGCTCAGCTACACGTAACGTTACTTGTACACTGTCACTTGTTTGTACCTCACATCATACCTTGCTCTCTTTGCTGGTTGTCCCGACTGTACTTGTATATGCAAGTGTGACTGTATTGGGTCTAATGTATTGAAAAGGTCAACATGTACACACCGTACTGTTGATTTTAATGTGGAGTCAGCAGTGCAGTGTGTAAGGCAAAGTTCGCAGCATTGGATATGCTGAGATTAGTTGATTGTTGGAGAAATTAACCTGTAGGGTTGCCGTATTATTATTTGTTTGTATGCGAAAGCCACATGGGAGCGCACATTTCCTGGCATGTCAGCATCGTTTCCTTATGCATGAGGCTGTAGTTGAGGGTCCCGGGCAAGTTACATGAATTATGATTACCCCAGTGGCAACCTCTTCAACCGTGCCACTTCACAATGGGCCGGTTGTGCATGGAGTCATGCCTAACCATGTTGTTGCGAGTGCTGGACACTGTGGTAGCATGCTAAGTCACACGAAGCTCAACTACTTCATCGACTGTCAACGATAGTGGATTCACTGAGCAACAGTACATGTAATAGTCTAGTAGGTCATATCGAGTCATGATCTGATGTACTTTTCAAATTGTCCGTTAACTCCAGCGCAGTCACTTATACATGTATAACTCGTCACTTCTCCGACTCCCCTGTGTATACATGTACTCCGGATGTGACCTGTAAGGGACCCGTTATACCTTGAAATAATCCAAATGTTCGTCGAAGGAGGAGGGGGTGCACATTGTGCGCCGGCAAATCCTGCAAGTTGTACACGCTATCCCATACCTACTTCAGCTGTCTTTCTGACTATGAGCTGCATTTTTTGATTAAAATCTAAAGAAATAGTTTTTAAGTAGTTCAGTGTATTGTCTTGCATTGCTGTCTGCTTTGAATAGCAAATTGGCTCAACAACAATATCTGCGTCCCCCAAGGATAGTGTGCAAAGTGCTGATGCTGGTGAAGAAGAAGAAGATGACGAAGAGGAATATGTGCCCTGTAATAGCATCAGCCAGCTGGTAAGCGTTGGTATTGATGATGAGCCCTACTCTCCCAGTAGACCGGCTATGGTGAATGGAAGGCCGCGAGATCCAGCTAGCACTGCGGCTGGCTTGCTGCGAGAGCCCAGTGCTGACAATGAGCAAGATGTGGACGATCTGAGAAGGGCTGCTCTTCTCTCAACAAAGGTTAGTACTGTACTACACCAGTGGCATACTCAACATGCACTATGCCTTGCTGTACATCAGTTGGCTCAACATGCAGTTTGTCTTATTGCACACCTGCATCCTTACAGTCCATTTCAAAACTATAGACGCGTAGTGTTTTTGAAATATTTCAAATTTGGCTGGAACGTTTTGAGAATAGTTTTCGGAATATTGCTCAGGTCCGCTCCACAATTACTCTCATATTATAGTTTCTACAAGTAAACGATTGGATAACAGACGCCCGATTTGGAAAAATTTATGCACAAAGTGATCACAGATTTTATGTGGTATAGATGCTGGCATAACGGTTTTTGCCTAGGTACGCGTCTATAGTTTTGAAATGGACTGTAGCTGCTGCATCCTTACCCAAACGAAAACTTACTGCATGCATGGGGTGTTGGGCAGGTTCCACTGTCGTCAGGTTCCACTGTCGTCAGGTTCCACTGTCGTCTTCATGTCAGAAGGCAGCTTTGCCTGTTTGTTTGCACAACTCTAAATAAAATTCCGCGACAACAGCAACATTTCCGCTGTTACATTCAGGCTCTTCTCAGCCGATAACAATAGGAGCAACCCGGCACACGCGTGCACATACATGTACATACATGCATGCACACCCGCACGTACACACATGCATGCGCGTCCACGCACATACACACCCGCACGCACACCCACGCGCGCGCATACACACACACACACACACACACACACACACACACACACACACACACACACACACATGTGCGCACAACAATATTTAAAAAGGCTGCTGGGCCTGAGCAAGCATGTCCTGCGCCGCGATGTGACCTTATCCGGTGGGGTAAAACTGTGGCATAGTTGGCAGCCTTGCTCCTGTTGGTAGTTTGCTATCTTCTGTTGTATAGAATACAACAGAAGAATTTTTACGAAGTCTTGAGCTGGACAGGGTACTCACTGCTCAGTCATGCTTTTTGTACTGTCATTAGAGAGGTTAAGTTTCACGTAAAATTCTTACGTCCGTGAACTTTTACGTCAAAAATTAAAAACTCACGTAAAACTTGACGTGTTTTACGTGAGTTGACTGTCCCGAACGTAGTGTCGTGACGTGGGTTTTTGGAAGTTTCGTTTGGTCATCCCAATCGAATTTGTGTGAGTATCCGTAGTTTTATCGAGTTTGTTGGAAGGTTTGTTCCGACTTTGATGAATACTGTTTCTGTATCTCTCCTTGAAGAATACATCCGTGCAAGTGGACAAGGATGTGATGACAAAGACCAACCACTCTCCAAGGGATACCAAACCAGATGTCTTGTTGGATAAAGGTAACTGGTAGTAATTTCAATTTGTGTACTTGTACATTCATGTGCAATACAATTGGTGTAGTACAGTGGTAGCAACTGAAGTCCCGCCCCAGGAGCAATGCGCTCGCAATACACCAGCACAGCATGCGATCACACCAGCCTCAAAGCGTTGCTGGAGCCTGTTTTTTTTAAATATTTTTTTATATTTCCTTACCCCACTCGCCTTTGCTCTATCCACCTTGTTATTCACTTGGCTGTCATTGTAGAGCCCTTTTTGAGCCTATCCCCACCATATAGGTGTCCAGTTGCCGGGTCACCCAGACTACTCTCTCCGACTGAGGGAGCATCTTCTTGTTTCCATTGACAAGAACCTAGTGCCACAACTCCAGAGACTTTCGCTCAGCGTCTTGTGAAAACATAGTTCTTTCCAGTTTGAACACTGGAACGGAACAAAGGATGACACACTGCAGAACCAAAAGCTTTGTTTTCCTCAAAAGACAAAACAACGCTCAAACAAGAAGACTCGAGCTGGAGGCAAGCGCTAGGTTCAAGACTTTGAAAGTGCCCGCAGATGAGTGCATCCGCGGGCAAAATGCTCCTGGACACTTTTGATTCCCGCTGACAAATTCCGTCGTGTGAATCGCCTTTAACCCCACTTTTGAGTATAAAAATGTATATTATTACTATATGCCCCCAACCGAAGATGAGATGTACTTCAGAGTAGGGGTGAAATGACTGACCCAAATTCCTTATCGACTAGATTCAATCCTATCGACTGGCTATCGACTGGCTTTGCCCTCACACATGAACACAAGCACAGCATGTTTACGCTTACCTACATGAACACAAGCACATAAATGGTCACACACCCATGCACAAGCAAACAGAAGCACGATATGAGAACATTGTAGGTTTCAATGAAGCACACCTTGTACGTTTCTACGTTCCAACGGACCCATGCGGCATGTACTTCTGGGCATTTGCACATGAATTTTTTAACGTACTTCAAGTATGTACAAGTTGATAAGGGTTTTCCTTCTATCCACTCAACCTTATCGACTGGCCAGTCGACGTATCGATGCAGTGGTTTCACCCCTACTTCAGAGGTAGAACATTCACCTTCCGGGCTGCCGAGAACTGGAGCATTCACCTTCCTGGCTGCCATACTGTATCTTACTGGTAATTGTGCCCGGCCGTTGTTCATTCGGGACTGAACACAACAATGTGACACAGATGTTTTGCTTGCAGACCAGTGCATATCTTGCTCTCTACCAGTACATGTACATATACATCAATACCCGGGCCGGGCCGGGGTAGATAGGTGTCTGAGATCCTCAGGTAACTGGTTGTGTGCAGTAGCACAGTGCTCCTCAATGAAATCCAGTCGTGTCACTCAAGCTTGCACCTTGCATCATTCCGCAGCCCAGTGTTGGCAGGTCTAGGGCTGCGCAACGCCCGGCGTGTACTTGAGTGACGGGACTGGATTTCATTCAAGAGCAACACTGTAGTATAGTCAGTGCTCGCTCTATGTCCAGTGAACATAGTGCGAGAATTGTATACCAGGGGTATGCTGGGTACTTCTACTTCTTCAAGGTTGCTGCTGCCATGCTGCCACTTGTTGCCACTGTCAACAGGGGATGATCGTGAAGAGCTGGATCTACTCTACGGTGACCTCAACTTCAGTTTGCTAAACGAAGATGAAGGTGAAGCCGATAGGCCCAAACCCAAGGAAAAGCGGCCGGTGCAAAATGAAGTGAAGCCGTTCGTGCGTGAGCAGCGGCCGGATTTGAAGGTATGCTGTGTGTGTGTGTGTGTGTGTGTGTGTGTTCACGTGCATGTGTTGTTGTTGTTGTTCAGGCGCGTGCACCGTATGAGTTTTTTGGTGTCTGGAAACCACCTTTTTTCGGGCAATCTTGCCAAAGGAAAAGCGTGCCTACGCTCGTACTGGATTGGTTATCCTGCATACGCGTCTATCGACGGGCAGTTTGCAGTACAGTGACTATGTCCTTATTTCGAAGTGAGAGAGAGTTGCTTTGCATGCAGTTCGAAATACAATATTCTCTCTTTCTTCAGTGGAGAGTATCCACAGAGAGATCGATCTCTAGCTCTGGTTCGCTCCTGGATTGGCGGTGACGTTTAAGAAATCCGTTTTGTCTCGAAATTCGAGTCAAGCACGCGCGATGCAAGTCAGTTCAAGGATATGATTGACGACATCTCCTTCCAAACTGTTGACTCAAATCAAGATGACAGCCTTTCGTTCTCGCTCATGTGCGCAGCAGAGATGTTCGTCAAAAACGTTGTCGACTGGAAGACGTAAAAATGTGCGTCCATGATCCACTTGCGCTGCTTCAGAACGAAGCGCAGCTCCGGCCGCGACTCAAGGGCTCGGGGCTTCGCTTTTCTCCCGCGAGCTTCCATCGAAGCAAGGTCCATAACTCTTTATTGAACTCATGTGGAACATTGCCAATACATGCCGAAAACTTCGTCATAAGAACAGAAAGAAAGAAACGTCGAAATAAGCAGTGTTTTGATGAAACAAACATGCCTGCATGGAGTGGATTAGTGAAGTACCATAGACATAGTGTTATACTTATAGACTGTAGTGTATACAATTCATGTAGCCTGGGCGGCTAGGCCTATAAAACTTTTACGGGTTTAATATGACAAACATGTACAGTGTATATGAGTACATTTTAAATTTGCACCGTCTTTGCAAATACTTTTTGAAGTGCTGGTATGTAGAAGGTAACCCGTGCCCGTTTTTTCCTGCTACCGGTTATACATGTACATGTACAATGTAGATCTACCAACATTTCCAAGTAACATCGTACCCTCCCTCCATTCCTCATTACTCTTATTTCTGTCCTTTCTACCCCTGTACCTGGTGCCCTCTCAGACGCGTTTGTGCCGGCATGATCTGATGATAGCAGTCGGACGAGCCCCGCATCTCATCAGCACCAGTGTTCATTGGTGCCCTGCACCCCTGATCTTGAGTCTCCCCCCCCCCCCCCCCCCCTAGTCTCCTCCCTAGCCCTCGCCGTTATCTCCGACGGGATGTTCGGGCATGCGCATGTGCACAAATACATGCTTATACAATGGGTCTCCAGAAAAAAATTACCAACTCTAGAAACCCCCCTTTCAAGACTCGGTGCACGCCACTGTTGTTGTTGTTGTTTCTTTATTTTACTTCACCAGAATTACAGGCAGTAGAATGCCTTCTCACTAGACCAGGTCTAGTTCTCACAAATGATGAAGAATGTGAATGAATGTGTGTGCACGTGTGTCTTTATGCTTAGTGCAAATGGTGGCAGGCTGTAGTACATGTACCAGTGCTGGCTTGTCTCCGTCACAGATACAACGTACGAGTTACTGCATGTCAGTTCTGTTACACGTTGCAGCAGTACTGTACCGTTATGTTTGTGTACGTGTACACTCATATCCTTTTGTGTACAGGGTAGTCAAGCACACGCCTCTGCTATGAGAAAAAGTCATGACATGCAGCACTTGCTCCGGGGCGAGCAATCACTCAAGCACCACCACCAGCAGCAACAGCAACAGCAGCGCTCATCCAGCGGGGCAGTAGCAAGAGGTACCGGTTCGACATCACCACTCTCGGTAGTAATCAATACTCAGTGCTATAAGCCTTTGCCATGGCAGGACCCATCCAACTCTCTTGCTGCTGCTGCTGCTGCTGCTGCCGCTGCTGCTGGCGCACCTGGAAGCATTCCCGGTTGGCTACCTCCCCCTTCCTTGTTACCACCAGCTCTGTTCCACCTCCAACAGCTGGCAAACAATTCCGTCATGTTGTCGCAGCAGCAGGCTCGACACCACCCTCGTTCTGATGCCTCAATGCCTCCGTCCAGGGAAGGACATCGCAGATCTAGTCGCCGTCCTCCTAGCCCGCAAGACCGGCCCTACACTGACAGAGATCGGCATTCGCATGAGCCACGCCATTCGCATGAGCCTCGCCATTCGTCCTCTCACAGTTACCGGCACCGCTCTCATGAGAGATCTCCATCGTATCGGGAATCCGGCTCTTATAAAAGCTCAAGAGATTATGAGCGAGATTATCAATCACGTTTCAAGAGATCAGACTATTATGACGATCCTTCTCGCCACCGCCGCCACCGCTCGCCCCACTATCGTTATTCCCCACCAGCTGACAGGAGATACAGTCATCATTCTGACGATGACAAGTACGGACAGCCAAGACGACAAGGGTCTTCGTATCTCGTAAGTGCAGCAGATAGTTCTGATGGCGGTGGAGAGCACAATGCCAGCAGTCATGAACGGCACTCGCAGCACTCCAAGAAGCACCGCCACCACCAACACAGCGGCCATCATCACCATCGCCATCGACACGTGTGTAGTCGACACCAACGACAGCGCGATTCCGATGATGATGGCGGGGACAAGTCACCGTCGAGATCACGCCATTCGTCTCACACCAGATCACCGCTACGTGAGAGTAAGCGAAAAAGACACAACAAGCAAAGACATTCCCGTCACACTTCAAGATCAAAATCACCTCGAGCCTCACCCAGTCCGAAATCTAGTGAAAGCACGTCTGGTGATAGTGATGGAGATGATAGTGATGGAGATGATGCATCATCCACTAGCAGCAGAAGTAGATCTCCTTCTACAGATGTACCGGTAGAGGAGAATGCTGTAACAGCAGCTGCTGAATTGTCAAGTAAGGAGGAGGCTGTGGTGCCACCGCTGCCGTCACGATCACCATTGCGCTCATACATTACAAGACCAAATAGGGGTGTCTCTGTCACTACAGGGCAAGATGCAACACTAGAATGCGGTGAAAAAACCTCAACGCATGGAAGTGCAGACGTGATTGATGTGCATCATTCAAGCAGCAGCGATAATTCTGCTGTAGCAGGTGAGGATGAAAGCGAGGATGGCAACAGCAGTGATAACAGTGATACAAACACACAGGCTGTTTTCACCAAACCCCTGGCAATGTCACCGCCGCGATCTCATCAATACCCCCGACGGCGTGTGCAGCATGTACGTAGGGGTCCAACAGCACACCGCCGCGTTGCATACCACCGGTGATGCTGACATTGCTGCTACTACTGTCTGCTGCTGTCTGCTGCTGCTGTGCTGCAGCTTTCTGTGCAATGATGGCCTTATCTTGTCACTCAGTCACTGCCCCTGAGATTGTACTGTTTACAATCCTGCTCTAGTTTTAGCTCAGTGATGTACTCTTCTTAACCCCCCCCCCCCCCCCCAAACCGCTGTATTGTGATTTTCTCCAGCTTAATAAATAGTCCGCGCTACGCTTTGTTGAAGTTTTATGAAACCCGCACAGTACTCTCCCCGTTGACGCAACAGGCATACTTGCCACCCGCTTGACCAGTTCAGTTGAGTACTGTCAGCACCTTTCTTAGCCACATTTCATGCATTCGAGTGTTGTATGAACCATGAACTAACTTGCACCGTGTGCATGCACTTCTACCCCTAGCCTGAATGACACTGGCAGTTGTACTGCTGCAGCCTTGCATGGGCGCATCGAGTAGTAAAAAAATCCATTCAAAACTCATCAGGTGTAGAATATATTCCTCTCATACAATTCGAAGTATAAAATTCTAAATACTAGCGGTCGAATAATGCTACCTCTTTTGATCTAATGGTGAAAAAGCCTCTTGTATGGACAACATAATAATTGCGCATATCATCAAACAAACTCGTATATTGGTATAATGGTATATTGGTATAATGGTACTAAGCTAATGGTACTAATCTCTTCAGATAACAAGATACTCAGAGCTATAGCCTTACAGCACTGTGTGAATTCCATATTCTAAGGTAATAACAGAATGAAAGGATGTAAAGAAACACAGCTCGCAGTAATGAATAGGCTAGACAGATGAGGCAAACTGGGCGGCCTCTCCACAGGAAAGCCATAGCACCAGAATTAGTTTGGTGCAACGCGGCGGCATGGATACATTGTGCGTTGAGCGAGCTGCAGGAGACATGTATTACGATCCAACTGGCTCGATGCGGCTCTGTGGTACGAATACACCGTGCTTGGGTTCGCTGGAGTGGGGGAACAGGACAACAAACAATGGAAGAAGCCGGGCTTTCTATCACCAGTGATCCAGTGTACAGGCATATTACCAAGAGCACATTCATGTACCAGTATCCCCACAGAGTTTGCAAATTCAGTGATTCCATCCAGACGGGTGCAATTTGAGGACTACATAATGTTCATCATGTCACTTGTCCCCCTCCTCCTCCTTGTCCCCCCCCCCCCCCCCCCCCCGCCGCAAAATATAATACAGAGGTTTAGCAAGACAGATTTTACTTCCCAGTTCGCACTCCATTGGAAGACGACCTTGTAGTGAGGACATTCGTGTTGTGATAAGGATTGGCAAACAAAACTCGCACTTGCATGACGTTGACAGGTCACGCATGTGTGCAGATGTACACATGTGTACAGACAGTGCAACCTACTTTTTTGAAGTACTTTATGACTGCCTGACACGAATCCGTAATTCGCATTCCCGCTGCTTTTCCAAACAAGAAGCGTGAAAGTTCGCATTTCAGTTCGCGAACTCGAACGCGAAATTTGTCTTGCAAAACTTTCGTAATAATGTGCAAGTATCCCGCACCTATTCTGTACAAACTACAAAGCCCCATCATTACCAGCCTGTCGTTGTGATTGGTAATGCCTACGCATGCTTCGGAGTCATGCTGTTGGTACCAGTTCAAGTACTGTAAAAGCAGAAATTTTCGGTGGTGTTTTATTTTCGGTAACTTCGGTGCCGACAAGTTTTACCGAAAATAAAACGCACCGAAATTTTCGGTACAACCGATACTGTATACATGTAGTACTAGTACACTTACCTGGAGAACGGGTTTTACCGAAAATTTCCCTCTACCGAACCGCCGATTTTGGCGAATACCGAAAATATTACACCACCGAAAATTTCTGCTTTTACAGTACATGTACTAGTATTCGTACTTGATGCCAAGTGCACCAATCTGCTATGGCTAGTGTAGCTACCGGTAAGTAGTTGGGTGCTGTTCGCTGCTTGCCCGTCTACCGTGTCAATGATAAATCGATACTACGTGTACAGGGCTGCTCAATGAAATCCGATCGTGCGGATCAAGCTTGCGCCCTGCACCAGTTCAAATCCTTTGTGCTCGAAAGTCTAGAGCTGCACAGCACCCAGCGCATACTTGACCCAGCGATCGGATTTCTTTGAGCAGCACGGTACGTACAATCATGTTGATTTGTCCCACGGGCACCAACATAATCCTTTGTACAAATCTTGTTCATTAGTTCTTACCATTGAAAATAGGAGCGACCTCTGTGTGTGCCATTATTCTTGCCATGTGGATGTGACAGTTCCACGCCGTAATAGTCTGCTTCTCCGTCAGTACCGTGCAGTGGTCCAATATAGCGCACAAAGCCAAAGTGCCTCTCATTGTTGGTGCGCTTGACGATGACTGGATCCCCAACAGACACACGCACTGCATACTGAAGTGGCTGACTACCCGGCGACACGTGTCCAGTAAGTGGCAGGTGAGTGGCCGGGCGTGGGTCCGGCATGTAGCGGGCATTATCAGCTGATGCAGATCGAACATGACGGCGACTGGAGTGACTACGTCCGTCCGGATCTGCTCGCTGGCTGTCAGCTTTCTGAGACTGTGAGCGGTGTAGGGATCGGCTTCGTGATGAAGCGGATGGATGGTCCGCCGGAGCCAAGCTGATCGGCACGTGCTGCTGGTGCTGGTGCAGTGCATGCGTTGCTTGGTATGCGTCCATGTCCAGAGGTGCGTGCCCGGTCGGGGAAACAAACTCTGACGCTGGACGCGTCGCTAGCATTGGACCTGCACTTGATTGAGATGTGGCCATTGACTTTGGTGTTGTCCTGGTGCTCGCCACCCTTCCTCTAGCCTGCTGATGTGGTTGCTTGTTGGGACTACTGGATACCACCGCTGGTGAATAGTGCTGTGACGTTGTGACTCGGTGCTGTGCGTCGTCTTGTCGGTGGCCTGCCAAGCTATCCTGACTCACACCATCGGTGCCCGTAGCTGGGAGTGGCACCGACTGCGGTGTTGTTTGCTGCGAAGACATTGGAGTACCCAGGCCACTGGTTTGAAGTGGAGATACGTTTACTTGCAGACGAGAGCTTAGCTCGGCCACCCTTTGCTTGTAGTGCTCCCTTTCTCGTCTGTATTTTTCAGCAGCCTTTTTCATCTTGTCTTTATCGTGGATGGCTTTCTTCAAATTATCTTCAAGCACTTGAACTTGATGTTCCATGTAAACAAATCTCTCTCCTGCTTGTTGGCCATGGTCAGACGAACCGAGCGCTTGCCTGGAATGCGTTTCCATTCCGTTTTCTCGGCTTTGACGTAGGAGATCAGCGATGTCTTTTCGCAGCTTGGCGACTTCATGGTCTCGCTCTCTGTGAACTCGTGCCAACTCGCCTTGTAGTGCGGCATTGTTATTGCGCAGTGCGTTGCATTCCTCGGCTATCGTCTTCTGTGCAGCTGGGACAACCTCACCGTTCTGCTTCAATAGCAAAGCATCCCGTTCTGCAACCTCTTGCAAGGCAGTCTGAAGGTGATGCTGTGACTCTGCCAGCTTCTGCGTGAACATTGCCTCTCTCCCTTGATATGCCTCCTGGAATTTGTGTAGTTCAGTTCTGATCTGCCCAATCTCTGTCTTGTATGCGTTGACTTCTGCAGCACCCTGCTCGCGTTGTGTCCGCATTGCTGCAATCTGCAATTCACAGCGATACACAGAAAAATGTCACATTTGTTCACAAAGAACGAGGTGCCACTAGAACGAAAGTTTTTAGTTCAACCCGGCAGTACTCGGCAGTACTCTTCTTTCATGCTACAGATGCAGATCTTTCTGAGTGTTTGGCATCTTGTCATACGCCATTTCCAGTAGATTGTTCTCACATGTGTCGCTATGTACAGCGCAGTGGTGTGCCTCCAGGGCATGGTTGTTTTGATCATGTACAGAGGTGCAAACAAAGATTACTAGTACGGTAGTACCTCTTCCTCCAGTCGGTGCTCCTTGGCAGATATTTCCTGGCTCATTCGTATGTTGGCCTCCTGCTGTTGAGACAGTTCTTTCTCCAAGGCTTCACTTCTGACCGACTGCTGGCGACTAGAGGCGATGAGCTCTCTGTTCTGCTGGACCAAAACATCTCTGTCGGCTTTGGCCAACTTCAATTCCTCGCCCTGTTGCTGGCACGTCTCCTGTAGCTGCATTGCCGCCTGTACAATCTAGCAATACCGAACCACACCATTCAATGGAAAATACAGCAACTGTGAGTTGGCTGGATTTACTGTTACTGATTAGCCTACCCCCCCTCTCCAATAACATCATGCATCAGACATGTACTGCTGGTGAGAAAGAGTTCCAATAAACTGACCAGATGGGGATTACAAATGCCTATCCAGGGGCGTCGGACACGGTACGGTCATTACGGTATTGACCGTACCCCTTTTTGCCCCAGGTACCCCGTGAATCAATAAAATACACCGATCTGGGCTCTAAATATCCAAAATTTTCGGCTCAACCACCCCTCCTCCACGAGTAAATTGCACTAATGTGACTTGAGATGGCTGACCGTACCACACTAAAATACCCGTTCCGACGCCCCTGCTATCACAACGGTAGTAGGAGGAGTACACTTGGTTGTAACTGGTAGCAAGGGCACATGGCAAAAGCAGACAGTGTGCAGCTGCGACTGGTAGCTGTGATAGTGAAACGCAGCCTGCCTTACATCACTAGTATATGCTGTAGTGATCCGTTGTGATCAGTCATGTGTGAAATTGAGATTCAAGTATGTCTCCCACTGGCCCGGCTGCTGCTCAATTGTACAAACTACTGGTATGTCCCTTTGAGCCGATCACCCGCATCAAGCATGACTAATCCAGGAAGTTTGGCACGACAGACACGTGAAAGGAAGCTGAGTACTCTTCCTTTTCATGTACACATACTCCTGGTCATAGCATCCCCTGGCAAAGCGTGCAGAGAAATCATGATGAGCAGAAGAAACCACTCACCTTTTTGGAATTTTGCAGCTCTGTGTGAAGCTCTTCCAACTGCAGTACTTGAAGCTGTTCAGTTTCCTTGTGCAAAGCTGTTTCATTCTCCAACCTCTTTATTCTAGTTGCCTGGTGCACAGACAACAACACAGTTTCCAATCGAGATCTTGTAAGTTAGAGAGTGACTTGCTACTGTGTCCATATTGTACTATGCGGCAGTGCAGTGGAGACATCCTCCAGAGCTGTAACATTGTGACTAAGACGCACCGGCATGGCAGGTAACATCACAACAAAGTTTGCACACGTGTTGTATACAAACGTGTTTGGAAACACAACCAGCTGAAGACGTTTTTCACGTGCAAGTCCAGCATCATGCCATGGTCCATGTAGCTACAGCATGTCCATGGCCTTGAATCAGCAGCCATGCCCATCTACCAAAGACACACTACATACTGTTGCGTCTTCTTGTCACTTTGATAACAGCATCATTGCAGGATATCATACCAGATCAGTGGTACATGCACCATAGCTTACCGCTGCGTCCAATGCATTGCGCAGCTGTGCTTTCTCCTCTTCGTTTGCTTGCAGTGTCTGTTGAAGTTGCTGGTTGGAGGATTGAAGCTGTGTTACTTCTGCTGCTCCTGTATCACGCTAGAGGAAGAACAATTTAAAAAACAAAACAGAACATTTTACACGGAGCTCATATCCGTAGCACCAAAACAAAAGCATAGTTCCCAGACATCCCACAAGTTCTCTAATGCCGGATTCCTTTTCATGTCCTGCTGCTCTCCATCCCATAGCATAACAGATCAAGTCCTACGGTACGGTCTTAACTGTATCTTACTCAGTCTGGACTGCCATGGTATGATACGATCTTGCCAGCACAATGTACTGTGTGGTGTGACGTTGGTGGGGAATCGTTTGTGGCATCGTGTTGGTGGGGAATCACTGTAGCGTGGTTGGTGGGGAATCGTTGTGGCATCATTGCACACTATAATACAGCATGATATTGTCATACTGGCACCAGTGCTCAACTGACTGCAAGCATACACAATGCACAGGTGCTTACCTGGGTAAGCTGACTCTGCAGCTGTTCAATGGTCTCGTCACGACGTCGAATTTGACTCTCAAGATGTGCCCTCTGACGTACCATGTTCTGCTCGAGAAGTTCGCAACGTTGTTGTAGCTCAGTGTTGGGCTGCTGCTCTCCATCATTGTGTCTGTCTTGCTGCTCTCCATCATCGTGTCTGTCTTGCGCCGCCACGGCCTGGGTAGCAGCTGGAGATTTCAAGGATTCTATTTCGTTCAGCCGCTCATTCTCATCGTTACTGAATTCTTCATCTGGCTGCTGCTGCTGCGAGTGGGGTTGATGCATGTGGCTGCCTGACTGCATGTGGCTGCCTGACTGCATGTGGCTGCCTGACTGCATGTGGCTGCCTGACTGCATGTGGCTGCCTGACTGCATGTGGCTGCCTGACTGCATGTGGCTGCCTGACTGCATGTGGCTGCCTGACTGCATGGCCATCACACCGCCGGGAGTAGATGTAGCAACTACAGCAACAGCTGCGGCATGGCTGGCTGCCACCATATCTAGTGCATGCGGTTCCACTGATCTCTGTTTCATGCCCGGAGCTTTGGATTTGCCTGGGCCAGCACTAGCTGCAGCACCTCTGTTGTCGTTGTCATCCATGTCTGAAGGATCAGACAACTCCAGGCTCTCATTTCCAGAGTTCGCTTGACTGCCATACTCAGAAGCCTGAACATCGGACAGCGATCCAAAGGACGAAGCAGCAGAACGTGTACTTCCATCACTCTCATCACTCTCACTGCTGTCACATGGTCTCTGCTGTTGCCGACGCTGCTGATGACCCTGATGGCGCCTCTGCTGGTGCTGCTGCTGCTGTTCAGAAGTTATACTCTGAGTTTGGCCAGTGTTCACCTGTATTGGTGAGTCCTGAATTGATGTACTTGTCTCTGTGGCTGTCTTTCTTGGCCCTGGATTCTGCAAAGTTCTGGGTAGTGCCATCGTTGGCGCAGTACTGCTGTTGGTAACACTCTCGTAGAGAGCTCCGGGCGTGAGAAGTGATGCTGCCTGCCCCAGACTTGAATGGATACCAGCGGCATGTGCATCAGGACTGCCAACATGGCCAGCTTGTGTCTGGGGTGGCTTGAAGGGAATTGCACCGGGTGCAATAGTCGATATACTGCCTGCGGCAATGGGACGGCTTGAACTTCCAGGCGAAGAAGTAAACACTCCGATTGAGAGGGGAGTCTCTACTCCTTCCCCAGCAGCAGCAGCAGTAGCAGCAGTCTCTACTCCTTCCCCAGCAGCAGCAGTAGCAGCGGCACCAGTGGCTCTACTAGTAGTGGTCTCTCCATTCCCACTCATCATATCTGTGGTAGGTGGTTTGAAATCATTTGGCCGCCACAAGTAACTCTCAGTTTGATCAACGGGTGCTTTTCGCCTAACTGGTGCACTGTTTGGTCGCTGCTGCTGTTGTTGTTGTGATTGCTGGCGGCGATCTGATGATGGCAGGGCAGATGCATCTCTCAACACACGGATATCACTGATCACAAACGTCTGTCTACCACCAGATGTAGCACTCCTGGTTGTTGCATGTGGAAGAGATCCTGCCACAGCTTCTGATGCATGTGTGGTGGCTGTGGCTTGACCAAGCTGCTGATCTGATGCAGACCCAGTGCCCGGCTCAGAACCTTGACGTGGTGAGGACCATGCTGCGGCAAGTGTGGGTCCTTGCGTTACCCGTGGCAAGATGCTGGATCTGCTTGTGACAGGCTCGTGGCTGCCAACTTCTACGGAGGACTGGTTTGACAGAGGAGCTGTTCCACGCCGGAGGTTTCCCAGCGAACTCGATAGCGGACGGCTATCTCCAAGAGGAGTGAAGAGCTGGTGAGTAGTAGATGCAATGGGCACAGGTGCTGTGTCACCATGACGAGCACGCATCGCCATTCTACTTCTTCCAGTTCTTCCATTTCCCGCAGTGTTAGCAGTGCCAGCAGTGCTAACAGAAGAAGTAACTGAAGCTGGAGAAGCCGTGCGTGCAGAGGGCACTACTGCTTGCGGTTGGGTGTGAGATTCCTCCTCCTCGCGGTGTGCATGGGTCCTTTCTGATTCATGGAGAACTTGCCTGCTGATAAGACTGTCATCCTGGCCGATTTGATGGAGAAGCAGCTCCCGGTAGAGAGTAGAACTTGCCGGAGTTGATGAAGCTTCAGAGCTTGCTGTGGCAGCCCCGTCGGGCCGTCGACGCACCAAGGAGTCTTGACCTCTGGGATCAAGGTCGTCTGAAATACCACCCACCGCACTGTAAAATCGATCAGCATCAGAATCATCATCAATTCCGGCAACACCACCGGCATTGTGATGAGGAAGAGCAGGAGCTCTATGGCCAGAGGCAGCTGTGCTAGACAATTCCCCATCACTGCTATCAGAATGTTGTGCGTAGGCCGATAGGGGGTTGCTCTGATGCATACCTGAAAGCAAGGACTGGCTTGGCAGCAAATCTGTATGCATAGGCAAGCACAGTCATGCATGAAACACACACACACACACACACACACACACACACACACACACACATACACATGCACACGCGTGCGCACACACACAAACACACACACACACCATGTACACACACACACGCACACACACACACACACACACACACACACACACACACACACACACGTGGAAGCAAAGTCAGTATACATCAAGTTTTATGATTAAAGCTCTGCTCAGCACATAGACATGCACCTCTACAGCAATGCAGCAAAATGACAGTGCATGCACAATGCAAGGGTGCACATGTATCCTGATAACACTCCCGAACTAGTTACGGAAATAACATGTTCAGACATGCACACGTTTTACTGAGCTATTCTTGTATTCCTGTAGTGTTGAGTGTGGCATTTGCACATACCAAACTTGTTCTCAGTGAAGAGGTAAACGACAGTCGTCCTCTCTGTAACTAGGAATGATTGCAAGGCCAACATGTCTCCCTCTTCCAGCGCCAGCTGACAGCTGCTATACTCGCCAACATCCACGGGGATTTTCATAGAGGAGAAATTTCCAGATGCTCCCGCGTCCAGGCGCAGAGGATTGCCCTGTATGCATGACAGGCACATGAATAATGATAACACTGGTCTTTCCAAACAGAATGAAACTTGGACACAGGCATGTAGTGATCTACATGTACTATAGATTGTACCAAAGATCCTTACCCTAGTGTATTCAACTATGATCTCTTTTCGGTGATGGGCCAGGTGCGTGGTACGCTTCCTGTATTACACCGGCATGCAAATCCATCCACACACCTCGGAAAATCAAACACCACACTTTCCCCGCATGTACGGTCCAAAACTAACCTTCAAACTGAACAGAAGTTCAAGTACCCAGAATCTACCGATCGCGGCAGGATAGGAACGAATCAAGCAGTATTACTAATAATATGGCTGTGCTGGCGCGAGAGATCGTCGTTTTGTGTGTATGAGTGCAGAGCATGATGAAGGCAAGTTACAAAATGAAGGCAGTACGCTGCACACTGACCCATAATCACAGCTGCACACGTTAGGTTTCGGACCTTTGATTGTACTGCAGTCCAGAACATCTCACACTGGTTCCGTTTTCAATTGGCAAGCAACTTTAACCTAAACATATTCGCAAACTGACACAAGTTGCGGATTGTCCGACTGTGGACCACTCAGGATTTCTACAAGAGGGATTCACACTGAGCCTAGTAAACAGCAGCTACCGCTATGACTGGACAGATTGTCAAGCCGCTGGCACATACTAGCACCAAAAAGTAAATTATCGTCTCTGTTCCCAGGGGAACTCATGACAGCCGCTAGCACCCGGAAAATCCAGCGGAAGATGCAGCGTCTAAGAGTGGGGGGTGAGGGGCTAAGTCTCATACCACTGGCACAACTTGTGTCAACTACCCCATACTAGGATGTGCTACCCAATGTTCCATGCTGCTGCCCAATCTTACCCGATTCAAGGACTTATCTCCAAACAAGTGAACATTTCTGTCAGAAACAGAACGATGAGGAAGCCACTTGAAGATCACATTGACACTCTGTTTACTTGCCGATGCTAAACACAAGAAGCAAACACATATAGCCGATAAAGATGAAGCACAACCCCACTAAAATGTCTTTTGTCTTTCGTCAGTTATTCGGAAACGTGTACTAAAGTATACGTGTGTGTGGGGGGGCTAAAAGTCATACTTATATTCTCAATGGCATGTCAACATGGCTGTACAAAATGAACCAGATGGTTGATGTACACTAAAAAATCTCTATCAAACCGCTCAAGTGACCCCCAAACGTGGTATATCTGCGTACCGGAGGTTGTGCCCCCTTCTCCAGGATCATTCGACTACAAACTGTGGAGAAAACCCTTTATTCCAAGGTTTAAGTGGTCATCTTGGACAGCTGGTCACCTTGCCAGAGTGGACTCTTCGACAGGTTTTACTCTTTGCTTAAAATGGAACACCAGGGGCACCCTGGGCTGTTACTGATGGGAAGCGTGGAGCAGGAAGATTGTCCAGCGGGCATTTCACGAATACCGATTATCTACCAAAGGTGAGTGACTTGGGTTTCGAACGAACAATCAGTTTGCCAAGTGCTCTCCTTTCTTTTGTGCACTAACCAGTTTTTTTATTTTTTATTTTTTTTTACTATTATAATAAGTACACAACCTACTCGTCAGAAGGGGAGAAGACAACAGAGTATACAATGACAAAACAGCAGGGAGAGTAGGGGCTGCCAGTGCCATGTTACAGATTTTTCTCTTTCCTAGATGGGCGTTATCTATTTTGGTTGTCCAGCTAGTCCGACATCATCTGAGAGCTGAACTTTAGCGGAAACATATTATTTTCCAAGTCAACTGAACTACCGGGTATAGTTTGTCCTGGAATACTCTGGAACATACGTTATGCCCTCAAGTATAACCGGCGTCAGCTGGCAAACTTTGAAATATGTTTGGCTGCAGTGCAATTTACAGTGTATTGTGCTATGATTCACCTAACAACAATTTCTCATGCCAAATCCACACTCAGAGCTTTAGATTTTGTTTTAATTAAACCATACGAGCAGTTGTTAGCACTCAGGATTTCACTCTTTCAGTGTTTGGGGATGATCTCATGCTCCCCGGGCCATATCACGTCCTGGTGTATTCTCGCACCATGCCAGTATGAGCATCATCTGGCATGGAGTTGGGCCGAGCTGCATCAAAGTGCACATTGAAACTGTGCCACTATGTGTCATGTCAGTCTTGCACCAGGCGTTCAAACCGTTCACCTGATCCAAACATGTGGATCAAGCATGCAGGTCAGTGGCCTCAAGGGGTAGGATGGGTGCAGTTAAAATAATCAAATATCACAATCAATGCAAAAATCCTTCTTTCGGGAAAGATTTGCTGGCGGAACTGAGTGGTGCGGCCCGTTGCTGGTTGACATTCATCAGTACCAGTTATAGGTATGTCTCAGAGGATCTTTTGCGCACAGCTGCATGCATGCGAATGGTCTGAAACCACACAGGGAAACTAACAGTCCCTCTATTGTGCTGCTAAGTCAGGTAAGGTTCCCAACCATCGCAGCAGCAGCAGCAGTGCGTATACTACACGATGATCTGTAACCAAATGCCTGAGATTAGGCCACTCTTCAATCGGCATCAATTTAATATATTTATCATATTCTTTCCTTCTTTCTTTCTTTTTCTTCTCTTGCCATGGCTGGCTAACGCCCCCTCCTTTGCATTGGCTTCTGCCATTGGACGGTGAAATAAAATAAAATAAATAAAATACGTATGTAAAATTTAATGTATTCAGTTGAAATGTGACTGTGATCTGTTTTAGCATGTGTGCGTACTGTTGTGGACATAGAACTCCGGTGGAATGACAGGGGCCGGATCCTTTACTTGCTTGGCGCGTACACGCAGTGTAATACTGTAAAAATGGACCCGCAATGCTCACGGCTGCACGGGCAGCGCCCCGTGGCCGCTTGAGTGCTCAACGAATTTCAATGTCCGCAACAGTAGCTTATAACTAACTTCAACAATTTATTTATTTATTTATTACAGCATCTCATAGCACAGTGAGAACACCGGCCAATACAAAGAGAGAGGGTTTTAGCCAACCACGGCAAGGAAGGGAGAAGGGGAGGAGAAGAAAAAGGAACCGGCATGGATAAGCAGTGATTGCAACAATTGCTGCCGGGTATTGGTGCAGACTGCCTAAATGTGTGGTAGATCTAGCTTTCCATATGATCCAGCCCTCTTCACACCCAGCACATGTGCCCCCGTACACTATGATAATCACGACCGCTGAAATATGCACGTGCCCAGCGGGTTACCGGGTTAAAGCACGCATAATATCATTGGTTGAGAGGGGGCAGGGACTACGCTCACCTCCAGCATGGGCTAGTGGTTCGCTACTACATGTTGTAGATGTGCCGTGTGTTCGCGAAATGCTACTTGTGTGCCGGTAGCCGGACGATTTGCAGCTGCTTCTGAAATGCTCCAGCAGGTCGCTCCCATCCGACAATTTCTCGCTACAGACTGGACAATGATCCATACTGTACAAGTACGTCCAGGCAGACACTATCTCACTTACTATTTACTTTTCTACTGGCAATAATAACGGCTACGAACAGTACAAAGGCTTTTCTCTAGTATCCCTTTTCATGTTTCTGGATATCCTCCTTCAAAACGTGAAGATAATTGTTTCGGAATGGCGTGACTTGGATCGTGGAGTACAAGCATCATGTCACTACACTACAGTACAGCGCACCTGCCGAGGCTAGCTGTACAGTCAGTCAGCTAACGTACACATGGTGCAGTCTACAGTCTGTAAACAGTAAAATCGCGCTCTACTCGCGCTACAAAGAATGTTTCGAAACAGATGCACATACTGACATAGTCATTTTTGGTTCACGGTTTGGTCGTTTTCCTGGACCACCAAAATATACCAATCACCATCGCACCAACAGTGCACTGCAACACTGGCAACAGGCAACACCGAAACTTTTTTTCTGCACTGCCAGTAGTAACCATGGTAACCAGGGCCAGCGCTGCCATGCCGCTAGCTACGGCGCTAGGACGATGTATATCATGTAATGCTAGCTCGTAACATGTCACATTCACAAATACCACAGAGACCTGCCTGGTGCCAGTGGTGGGAATCATCTGAGACCTGAACTGAAGTGAAGAGAACCATCTGACAGTCTAGGCTGTAGTACTAGTACAGTGGTCCCTCTATAATCCGGCACCATTTGTGCCACGAAAATCTGCTGGATTAGGGAGGGCATTTTGGCTACTGAAAATTGTGCTGGTTTATCGAGGGTGCTGGATTATAAAGTGCCGGATTAGAGAGGGACGACTGTAGTAGGCACCGGCGGATTATGCCGGCATTGGCATAATTTGGTGGTTGAAAATTTGGAGCATAATTTGGCATCCTTTCGGAGGTAGGAGCATAGCTACATGATTGTACCACCGTTCTAGTACGTAGGCTACACAATTGCATGTCGGAGTTTCCGGTGAGATATAACTATGTCTAGCCCTCGCGATTTACGCGATTTCATGCTCGAACACAGCATTTTTTTAAAGTTCAATATTCTAATGAAGCTGTACTTGATGCAGCTCATCCAAGGCCCTTCAGGCCTTTTTTCATGCTCGAACAAGAAGTGCCTTGGATATTTTCCTCTCACCGTCTTAGACTCTTGGCGATGGAGAAGCTTTTAGAGTCTTTGCGTGACGATGATCAGGCGGCTCGCCGCCTTGCCCGCGTGCCGGCCGATGCGGTCGAAACCCCCTGAGCCGTGGATGCGGGCGTGTGATGACACCCCAAGATGGGCCGGGTGCTTTGAGTGTTTTGCGTCCACGCGAGTCACGCCGTGACTTTGGGTCGTGTGATGTTTCTGGCGAAGCCAGGACACGAGTGGCTGGTGGCTCCAGCCCGGCACCTTGTCGGCACCATAGTGCGTCCTTAAATGTGACGAGCACTAACGGCCTAAACGGCCTGAACGGTCTCACGACCTGCTTGGCCTAAGTGCCTACGAGTCCGGCGGACACTGTTGCCAGTGCCTCCGAGTGTGAGTCTGACTGTTCTCAGTCAAAGACCGGCATACTCCGACTCAGATGAGGGTGAGCACTACTCTAAGTCTCTAGACTAGTCTAGTTCTAGTCAGACTCAGAGCTCAGATGCTAGTGCCGACTCGGAGTCCTCACATCAGGACAGTGTTACTTGCCACCACCTCGGGCGTAGCACGCGGGCCAAACGGTCCCAATCACATCCACCTCACATGTCTGCTGTGTTGCTGCTACATATACATTGTTGCCGCAGCGGCATCTTGATGTGATGGTCTGATGTTGTAACAGTGTACCCATTTGCTAGGCCAGCTTGGTGCGTTTCCGTGGAGTTTGCCGGGGCACCATATTTGTAACGGCGATTCTGTTTGCTGTTGCCGTGGCCGTGTTTGTCACATGATTGGTGCATTCCCGTTGAAGTTGCCCAGCCGGGCACCACGTTTGTCAGTTGTGCCTGTTTGAATTTGCCAGGCCAGCTTGTATTGGTGCATTCCCGTTGAGTTTGCCGGGGCACCATGTTTGAAACGGCGTTCCCGTCTGCTGTTGCCGGGGCCGTGTTTGTATTGGTGCATTCCCGTTGAAGTTGCTCAGCGGGGCACCACATTTGTCAGTTGTGCCGCTTTACAGTTGCCAGGCCAGCTTGCATTGGTGCGTTCCCGTTGAGTTTTCCGGGCACCATGTTTATAACGGCTTTCCCGTTCGCTGTTGCCGGGGCCGTGTTTGTATTGGTGCACTCACGCTGAAGTTGCCGAGCGGAGCACCACGTTTGTCAGTTGTGCCTGTTTGAAGCTACCAGGCCAGCTTATATTAGTGCGCTCCCGTTGAGTTTACCGGGGCACCATATTTGTAACGGCGTTCCCGTTTGCTGATGCCGGGGCTGTGTTTGTTTTGGTGCATTCCCGCTGACGTTGCCCAGCGGAGCACCATGTTTGTCAATTGCGCCTGTTTGAAGTTGCCAGGCCAATCCTGTAACGCGCACCCGTGTGCAGTTGCCGGGTGACATGTTTGTCAATTGTGCTTGTAGCATACTGCCGTGATGTGCGATTAATAACAGGCCGCCGGAGCTGGTCAGGTTATTACCGGACCAACTTTTCAGCCACGAACACGTGTTTCCTGCTGTGGAGGGCAGGTGTACCCGTCATACCCTACACAAAGTATAACGGCCATGATACTACCGGACCACTCAAACGCTGCATCCGGCGGTCCTGAGTAAGGCGATAATAATTACGAGCCATGCATTGGTTTGTTTGCCAATGGCTCTTTGTGGTACACGGCAATTTGCTATCATTCGTGACATTTCACAGAGTGACGAATGTGAGAAGACAAAACAAAAAGAAAAGAAATAATTTTAATAATGGCAAACCCCGGCCCCCACAATTATCAACCTCCGAGCGCTGAACAACTATCTGTAGTATCACCACTTCGCGCTGGAGTCATTGAAGACAGTGCCGGATCACCTGCAGCTAGGGGATGTGCTGATCGGGATAGACTTAAGAGATGCTTATTTCTCCAGTCCAGCGGCTCGATCGTCAGTTTCTCCAGTTTTCAGTGGTACCAACAGATTTCCCAGTTTAACTGTCTACCGTTTGGCTTGCGCAGTGGTCCCAGAGGCCAGAGTCTTCACCAAGACTAGCTCTGCACCCTGTGGTGAAGATGGTACGTTCGCTCGGCCTACACCTGGTGATTCACCTCGCCGACATATTTATCATGGCACGGACAACGTCCGACCTGTTTCTCCCTGTTGCTACCATTCTTCATCTGCTGATTGGTCTTGGGTTCGACATCAACTGGATGCAGTCGTATCTGATTCCCACCAGGCAGATACAATACCTGGGTATTCAGGTCAACTCCGTCACCATGGAGTTCTCATTGCCAGACTCGAAAGCATCCATGCTTCAACAACAATGTGCGCGTCTGCTGGCTGCTCACACCGTATGTCTTCGGGGTATTGCGTCAATTGTGGGCATGATGGTGTCCACCATGGTTGCCGTGGTTCCTGCATCACTTAACTATCGTCGCTTGCAGTGTTTGAAGACCACGTTCCTACGGCAGGGTCCCTTTTACACTTACCGGCTTACTCTCAGTCATGAGTGCCATGCCGAGATTCATTAGTGGATTCGGCATCTCCAGCTGTGGAGTGGGCGACCTGTACGCCTTTCCGAACCGGGCCTCACCATCCAGTCCGATGCATCCCATGCAGGTCATTCGGGGTGGGGCCCCGGTGCATATTGTGCCAATGTCACCACAGGCGGCTGATGGACATCTGCCGAGAAGCAGCTTCACATGAATGTCCCGGAACCGCTCACAGCCCAGTATGCTGTCCAGTCGCTAGCGCCTTCTCTATACCAGGGCAGTATTCTCCTGCAGCTCGACTACCGTGTGGCTGTTCCCTGTTTGCCCCGCACTGGCAGCCGTTCATCACCGACATTAGACAGGATAGCTGCCACGCTGTGGGAGTGGTGTCAGTCTGCTCAGAGATATCACTTTGATTCCCAATATCTACCTGGTGCAGTGAATACAGTTGCTGATTATCACTCTCGCCATCACACGGATACCAGCGCCTGGATGCTCAACCGGTCAGTTTTCCAGGTTCACCAGATCATGTGACCGAGTGCCTGCGACCTGTTTGCATCTCGCACTAAATTTCGACTGCACATGTACGTCAGTTGGCGCCCATATGCACACAGCCCGCATGCCTTCCGTCTCGACTGGTCCTGCCTGCAAGTCTATGTCTTCCCTCCAATCTATTTGATTGGCAAATGCCCGGCCAGGGTTGTTCCACAGGAAATCCCATCCATAGTCATGGTCACTCCGCTTTGGCCCGGCCAGGCTTGGTTTCCAGCTCTCTTGGCACTAGTGGTGGACATTCCGCGCGTGCTGTCAGCCTCTCCGGTCTTGTTTGCTGGACCAGATCACAAAGTTCACCCGTCAGTACAGTCAGCTCACTTCACCCAGGTCGCATGGAAACTCTCCGGGCTAGCAACAGCCGCAGCGGAGTTTCGGGCGACACTGCCACCCTACTCTTGGCGTCATGGCGTTCCCTCACCGACCGTGTGTATCAGTCGGCATGGAACACATGGTGTGATTGGTGTGCTACACGGCAAATTGCTTCCCTGGGTGTTCTCTCCGAGGTCCTCGATTTTCTGACCTCCCAGTTCCGTCTGGCTCGACTGTATCATACGCTAGGGTTGTACCGGTCAGTCATCCTCCCATCGATGGCGTTGTGGTTGGCCCGCATCCTCTGGTGTCTCATATGCTCCCCGGTGCATATCAATCCCGTCCTTCTCAGCCGTGCTATGGCAGCATGTGGAATGTACAGGCAGTCCTGGATTGGTTCCGGAACATGTCCTTCACACATGAGTCTCTCAAAGAACTGACTCTCAGGTTGACTATGCTGCTGGCTCTGACGGGTGCCCGGCGTTGCTCTGAGCTGCAGAAGCTCGATGTTCGTTTTATGGACATTATTGTCAACGCTGCTTCATTTGGGATCCCCACTTTTACCCAGAATCAGCGCGTCGGTGATCCAGCCAAGTAGTTTGTCTTCCCTGCTTGCCCTCAGCACCCTCCGTTGTGTGTGGATGCTCTAAGGCAGTATTCTGCTCGCACAGAGAGAGAGTTTCCCGCCCGCTGCCGCCGCGTCTGCCAACCCTCTGCTGCTG